ATGGAATTCGGCGGTAAACGTTCGATTTCTAATCCAATTTAATGCGCGGCGCGCCGCGCGACAAGTCAGCATATTCGTTTGGCAGCTTTAAAGCGATGCTCCTTGAATAATCGATATTTAATCGATTTTCGCACGTGTGCTAATACGATTAACTCTCCTTTTTTTTCTAGACAAATGAATTTCTCTCAAGGCATATATCAATTAACCGCGGACCGATCTTATCCGTCAACTACGATTAATTAATCGCTTTTATCCATGCGAAGGACACCAATAGCATCTTTTTCTCCTACGTGCATTTTATTAGACTTGCAAATCAACTCGCACGTTCTTAATTGACTTATTTCCAGCTCAATGAGGAAAATATACTTAAATGCTTGTTAACGGCCGTTCGTTATTTCGACATCTTTCTTTTCCTTCGGACGGCAATTTAGACAAAATTTAGAATACAAGTTGAAACGTATCGAAATTCTATAATCGTAGGTTTCTAATAACACGTTTAAGGCATCTCTGATCTTTTTTTTCCATTCTCATGTAGCCTCAGCGAGGAAAAGGAGAGCCATCTCTCTTCTCGATTCCTCTGGGTACAATTAGAAACTACATCGATTATCGTTTCACATGCAGCTAACGGATTTCCACGTGGAAAAAAAAATTACTTTTCCAAAACAAAAAAAAAACAAGGACGCCTTACGATTGGTCAAGCGCCGCGCCGAAACAAAAGCATGGAAGTGGAATCGATTACGAGAGGCAAAGAAGCGAGTTGCTCTCCTCGAGGGCCTATAAGGAGAAAATAACTTTTAATCATCCGCGGCGAATCTTCCTCGCACAATGGCGTCGCTGCTGTGCGCTTTCTCACGTGCGCGCCGATTATGTTTATACGGGCGAGTTTTCCGCCAACGACGAGAGAAGGCATTAGAAACGAAAAGCCTCCGCCGCGGCGCGGGAATATAGCGATTACTCGAATTCTCCTTCGAGATGGGTAGGAGAAAAAGAAGGTGAAAATTGTGCGGCGACGCGATCACCTGCGCCGCACGGCAATCGGCGTGCGTTAGGAAGTTTGGTCGTTTCTGTCCGCCGCGAGGTCTTCGCTAACGCGATGGCTAAATTGAGTGTCATAATATGCCTCGTTAAAGCAATCCTTTGGGGCTTTTCGTGGCTCTTCGGTTACCGTATTCATGTCGCTTCGATTATTTTTACTCTCAAAAAGGGATCCTGATATAGCCAACTCAATTGATTTTTTACTTTGGCGTAAAATCTTGACAATATCGGCAATCACCGTAAACAGATACCACCTTCTAACTCTATCTCTCTTGGGAAAAATCATATAGAAGTTTCTTCCTCGACGCAAGACTACATAACAAACGATAATTATTCTCTTTCGTTTTTTCTTTCATTTTCACGATCGTTAAAAGTCAGACTTTACGACGCTAGCAGAGTTGTTTTCGAAGTGTCTAAATGGAAAAACACGTTGCTCCTGCGTGTGTTACGCTTTCACGCATGGCTTGAAGTTCATTGATTGACGCGTCGATTTCGCGCATTAGAAAACAGATGCGCGGCTTTCACACCTTCGCACGCGCGCGCAGCTTATTAAAGATACATCTACGATCGCGACGACATCAACGCGCCTCTTAATCCACTTTTCGTTTCTCCCATTCCCCTGGGCACGCGAGAGCATAGTTGCGCGAGGATCGCAAGGGATTGACACGCGGAAAGGCCGATAATTTAACGTCGTTGTTCTCGCGCGCGCTTCGTATGCCTCTCGGTGTAAATATTCAATTTTTTCCCCATCGCTGTCAAGCAAAAAGAAAGACTTTATTCCCATGTCAATCCGTAAGAGACGGACTTTCGTTCGTTGTCGTCAAAGACAAAGGTCCAATGAAAGGCATTCCGGAGGAGCGAGAATGCGTGAAGATTGATTTTACGTAAAGACGTTGACGAGTGTCACGCACAAAAGAGCTGCTCGACGCGCCGAAAAGTGAAACGCTTCGCGCGCACGCGCATCACACCTGCGACGTCGCGACTCCTTTCGCTCGTCGTAAATCTCGTGAGCGACGATTCTTATCTCTCTCGCATTCTCTCGTGCTTTTCTTTTTTCTGCCTGCCGTTGTTGGGGTTCAATTTGTCACTTGTTATTCTCGTCTTTATTAAAGAGATCGTCGGCAAGCAGAAGAATTACGCGGTCCACAGGACTCGCTAGATCCGACGAAGCCGCAGCCACGATCACGTTCGCTGCGCGCTAAGATTCAATCGTGCGCGGCTGGAAAATATGACGCAGGGAGTGGTCGTCGGGCTTTTCGATCGCTCCCGTTAGGTCAAAATAGGCTTTCACGGATATGCATATGCGAAATTCGGCACACTTTCGTATTAAAGGTTCGTTGATTTCAAACGCGAGATGTCATTGTGTATTCGTCCAGGGAAGTAGGCCGTTGGCGATTCTCAGATTAAAAATTCTCAATAGAGTCATAGTAATCCGCTGGCTTTGAACTTTTTCATCTGTACATGATTTCACGGAGAGTTTTAAAGCTTATGAAAATCCTCCTCGTGAAGGCGTCAATTACATCGAAATTGATCCTAATCAATGCTGAACGCCTGTACATAGAAATAGATTGGCCGATCAACGCACGTTCCAACTTGAAAAAAAAAAGCAGACAATCTCGTTTGATGCATTATTTGTCATTGCGCTTTCTAGAGGCTTTTCAATTAACCAGCCTCGCATTTATTCATCTTCGTTTCATTCATCGTCGCGCGCATGTGCAAATTTCAGGACTCGACTCGCAAAAATTTCGCTCGTAAATTAAAGTGGAGATAGAATTATACGCAAAACATGCGTTTTAGAAAGTATGAGGCCCCGCGGCTGCGCCGGGTGTGTCCCGGATAACGACGATTCGCCGGCCCGAATTTCCTGTAATTGATTTGTCCGCGGCGTTACTCGCGCGCGCTGATCGCTGCGAGCGGGAGGATCGTAAATTTTGCGGAGAGAGTGAAAATAAAACGGCTTAACGAATCGATTATCGTTCGCGCGAGGCTGGTTTCGTTGCAACGAAGAACATTTCGGCTGTCCAATTATGTGCACTCGGGAGACTCCCTGCGATTGATGGCGTTTCGCTCGAAAATATTAACTCGCCGCGTCTCGAAAAATTGCGCTCAATTTGAACGCTATGCCAATTTTTAATAAGCGTTCTCCGCCTTCGATTTCGTTGAGCGATCGCGATTAAAGCTGGACTCTCGACGCGCAAAACAAGAGCGCAAACCAAACTCGAAAGTCGTCGGCTGACATCACGCTTTCGTCTCTCTCTCTCTATCTCTCTCTCTCTCTTTCTCTTGCTTCCGCGCTGTAACGGAAAATTTCCGAGGAATCAAACGTCTCAATCCCGAAAATGCGCATACACGCAATCAGTTGACGGCGAAAGACAGGATTATTAGCACGGTACTCTCGAACGAAACGCGGCGATAATTACCATCGTAAATTGCGAGATAAAAGGATGCGTTTCTTTTTTCGGACGCCCTGCTGAAGCTTTCTAAACTTTCTGGGAGTTCGACGCCGTCGACTCCTCGGTAAAATCTCACGCGGCGTTGACACCCACCTGCCGCGAAAAGTCGCCTCGTCGTTCCGATTGTACTCGCGCGCGCGACTGAGAGCTCGTCGAGAGCACTTTTTCGAGCGTTCGGCGGCGCGAGCGCGTCCGACAAATAAAAGATCAAACTGCCCGAGAGCGCACGAATGAGTGATTCAATTCTCGAATTCTCGCGTCATCGTTTTCTTTTTCCTACTCCAGCTCGGCGCGTTACTCAACGACGTGCGCGACCGTGTATCCGATGGCATTTTCTCTTTTGCCCTTTGGCGTCTCTGTCATTCGATTCTTGGCATATAAGTCGCATTACAATTTTCACTCTCTATACAAAAGCGATCGGCTCTCCTCGTCGCGCTAACGATAAATCTGAATCGTCGCAAAACAGCTTGACGAGTTGACGATCGATCGCGCGAAACGTATCCGCGCAGCGCGTCGACGAACCCCGCGTGGAAAACCAGCCTGACGATCGAAAAATATAACGTCGACGTCAACGCGTGCAATGATCGAAGCGTGCCGTTCCTCGAATTGGCGTTGCTCGGCTGGCGCGTTTTCCCACAAAAGTGACGATTGTCGCTTCGGCGCGAGACAAACGACGCGCGCCGCGCCTTCGAATCCGCCGTCGTTGGCTTCCCTCGCGGTCTTTTCGAGGATCGTCAATCGTCGAAAGTATTCATCTCCGCGAACGCCTGCGAGGCCGCGACGACGGGGCGCGGCGCGGCAGATGCTTTCTCCGCTCCGTCGCCGTGAAAACACCGACGCCTTTCCTCGCCAACTTCTAATCAGGCGCGCTCGCTCGAGGTTATTATTTATATCTGATTGCGATTCTCGTCCGTCTGATTTACAGCCTATTAATTGCCCGAGCCCATCGAAAACCCGAACGTGGGATACGTTGCGTCCGGCGCGGCTGGTTTTGTTCCCCGACGCGGAGAAAGCGCGCGCGAAAAATGGCCGGAGCTGTGTTTTGGGAAAGTTTAATATATCGGGAATCGGTGATCGAGCAGAGAGTGCTCATCACAATACATACCACGCGTGCGTCCTGCGCTCGCGGGCTTTAATAGACCTACCGTAAATAAAGTTTATGACTGGCAGGCTCGCAAGTCATGTAACGAGCGTACTTGCGATGCCGTGTGTATACACCATGTCGAGATTGTCGAGGTGTCGTGTTGTCGGAAACATCGATTCACGTCGCGCAGCTCTCGAGAGATGGGTCGAGGGGTGGATGGAGGGGGGGGGGGGAGGAGTTGCTCGTTGTAAATTACACTCGCTACGAAAATCCTACACCTGTCGTTCGGATGATATCCCTGAGTCATCGTTAAACGTGTGCGCAGCGACGTCCGTCCGACTGCCAAATGGTACTGCAATCGAGGTGAATTGAAGTACGAAAAACGACGGAGGCGTTTCGCGACGCGAACTGACATCAAGGACGAAAAGTAGACGTGGTGCGGTATCGGCTTGACATCATTGAGCAAACAACAATATTCATGCCTGTAGCGCTTTCTTCGACGCTCAGCGCGAATTGTCGCGAAGCTTGTCGTGAAATGGTAAAGCGCGGAGAGCAAGTTGAGTATCGTAAAGATCACCATGCACACGGCTAATGAAGTTTCCATCCGCTTCGTGTGCATATACATGCTAATTATCTTTCGCACTGCACTATCGCTCTTCGATCCGCGACACCGTCGCGCATTGTTCAACTTTCCCTCTCCTCGCGCGCCAACGACTAATTTGCTCCGGATACATATGCGGCGCTTTTGCCTGTATAGCTTTGTAATTAAAAATGTTCTTCGCTTGCGTCGACGAGATGTCGAGTGGATAGAATAACCATAACTATAATTTTCCCGCTTCGAGCGATATGTTTTATTTAAGAATAAGCGTGTGAATACTCGATCCCGGTATGCGTATCAGCCGATTAATCTTCCATCTTAATTAGTACGTACAACTTTTTTCACAAAAAAAAAACATTAAGAATGAATTCACATGGTATTAATAATAACCAAAATGAAAAAGAAAAAGCAAGGTAAAATCAGTTTCACACGCCGTAATGGCAGCATCAAGAAGACAAAAAAACACAGAGCTTTAATGGACTGTAATCGGTGTGTAACGTACGCACTATACGGAAGCTGCAATTACGACACTTGATTACGTTTGTAATAAATACTCGCGCGCGCGCAACCTCGCACACGCAGACACGGAATAACTGGATTCGCGATGCTTCTCGGCCATGCCTGGGGAAAGTTTGTTGGTCAAAAATTTTCCGAAAGTTCCGTGGCTGATCAGTCCTCGCAAAGACGACGACGTCCGCAGTGTGCGTCATTTGCGTTATATCGACGCGCTCCGCGTCCAACTCCAATGTCATGTTCGCGCGGCGCGTCGTTGCGCGAGAAGAGAGAACGCGCGCGGAAACGCGAGAGTAATAAACTATAGACGAGTTTCCCGGCATGATAAACGTCTCTTATATGCTTATTGATTTCCCGTCGGTGAAAATTCGAGCTTGCGAGTATGATTTTCGCGAGAGCAAAAACAATGCCGGGACTCCTCGAAGAAAGTTCTCTCACGCATATCTCTGTTCTCCCGCGTTGCGTAACTCGCACGTTTTTTTTCTTTTTTGCACGCCAAAAACGCCAACGAAAACATTATTCTCTCTGTTTTTCTTTTTCGGGCTAATTAGACACTCCGAGTGGGCTTATCGGGTATATTTAATTAGTGAGAGTTAATGCGTGCATTGTTGAAGATGTGTTTGCTGAAAGAACGATTCTATTGCTACGACGGATACTAAAACACGTACATTCTTCTTTTGTTTTTAGGCGATTGGGATTTTTTTCATTGACCCCCGAAACATAAATGTTTTTTTTATGAAGCTCTTAATATAATTTTCCAAGATTATCTTCGAACGTTTCCTTGAATTAGATTTATATATGAGAATTTACAGCGTTATCGTGAGATTTTGTAGGCGTGTTTTGATGATCTTTTTATAGCGGGAATGATTCTGTCATAACGAGCACATAAATTACTATATGCTAATTCAGACACTTTGGAAGTTTCTTTATGTATATTACTTTGCATAACTATTCCGTATCATCTTACAACAACAACAACAACAAAAAGAACAAAAATCTCGTTAAAAACACTGAAAACAATGTTTGGTATTGCAGTTAACAATAGGAGTGTTGCTAGCGACAGCCGTGGCTCTAACTATAGCCACGAGCCCATTGGATTTAGTAGACGATCTAATCGCATCTCCCTCGTCACCCGAAGCAGCATCATTACCACCGCCGCCAGTGAAGCTCGACAAAAACTTACGACGCGCGCTGCTCAAGGCTCTTGTCGATTTGGAAGCCGAATCTGCGGAGCAGCAACAGGAAAATTCGACGAATCGACTGAGCGACGAGGACAATGCGACGGACATCGACGAGAGCAAATACGATTTCCTCGAGATTTCAAAGCAGAAGAGCACGAGCTTCTCGTTCGATGGTTTCCCCGGCGAGGAAGACACGCCGAGCGAGGATAAGCTGCAGAACACCACGTTCGTCGAGAACGACAAGTACGTGACTGGCGACGAGGCGGCCAGCAATAACAGACCGAGCAACGCACAGCAGCCGTCCAAGGATTACATCAAGGGCGTTCAGGTATGCGTTGCCCAGCGCTCGATCGATAAAAAATCGCGAGGGCAGCGATTCGCGAAAAGGAAAAGAAACGAAGAAAAATGTACATACGTACAATTGTAATGGCGCATATCTGGCGGTGGGCGCTGCTTTAATAACCATGGTTACTGATTCCACGTAAACGGGACTTTCGCCCCGTGCGCGAGTCGGTCTTAATTAATATAAGGCACGCGGCTACGTACGCGAAAACAATGACTGATAATTTCAGCGCTGCGTCCGATCTGTTCCCGTTCGAGCGCGCACTTTTCTAGCAGCGCCGGATAACAGCAAAGAAAAGGAGAAACAAAGAAATTGCGATAGCACGTGCGAGACGCTGGCGAGCGGCACTTTCACGAGTATCGGATGAAAACGCGGCGCGCGCCTGGATTTTCTCCCGTTCGGAGAGACGCCGCGCCCCGCGGCGCGGTCATCGCTGCCTGTGTGTATATACACGCACAGGCGCGAACTCTCGCTTCGTTCTGATTGATTGGCGCTCGCTCGAGTATTCATTCGCGCGGCTGTCGCGCTCGCTGTGCTTTTCGACAATTTGTAATTCGTGACTAGCTGTCGCCTCTCCTTCTTCTTCTTCTTCGTCTTTGACTCTGCTTTACGACTTTGAAAATATACGGGCGTCGTTAAAAAGTCGTAGTTTCTTATATACACGCCAAGGCGCAGTAATTGATTACTATAATGATCAAGCGATTTCCTCATCAAAGTATATAGGACGGCGCGATGCTCTTTAATACGTAAATGAAAGTCTGCTCGCTTGTAGATTTACGGGTTATACCGGGGACGGTAGCTCCGCTTTTAAAAATCGTTCGATGGACAATTAATAAGTAATTGTTGGCTGCGGCTCGCCAACGCGGATGTTCTTCAAAGACCGTTGTTGTTCCTTTTCCGAGGCGCACGCACGCCACTGTAGCCCTCGCTCTCAATTCATATAAGAACAAGCGATTCCCTTTGCGTTGACAGGTGCATCACGCAGTGTCATCGGACAAGTCGTCAGCGATTTACGAGGCGAAGCAGCCAGGCGAACTGTTGGAAACCGTGGAGAGCCGCAACGTCGCATCCTCGACCTCGTCGTCGTCGGCCGAAGCGCCTCCGACCGCGTCGTCATCGTTGTCATCGTTGTCGACGACGAGCAATAGCAATGACGGCCCACTGGTCCAGCAAAGCGTCACGTTGGCACCGCTCGTCGAAACGTCCCGGGAAACGCTGACCGCGAGCGCCAGTGGGAACATCGCGTCGGCAGCGGCAAACTCACTGGTGGCTCCACGGCCGACCGCGGCGACCAACGCGAACAACGAAACCACGCCGAACTTCGGCTCGAAGATCGTGCAACTCAGCGGCAAGAGCAACAGCAACGCCAACAAAGAGGAAGCCGAGGAGGTGAAGATCTTTCAAGCTCCGTTGGTCGCGGCGTTCACCGTCCAGCAGGACGAGAGAGGAGTGCCCAAAAACATCGTGCCGTTGTACAAGAGTGCCAACGACCCTCAGCCGTTGAGCCTCCAAGAGCAACTGGAATTCAAGCAGCGGCTGCTGGAGAAGCAGCTGGCACAGCTGCAAGCTCAGCAAGCTCAGCAGACGCAGTTCCTGCTGCGCCAGCGCCAGGCTTACGAGGAGCAAGTGAGACAGAAGCAGCAGCAGGAGTACTACCTGCAGGAACAGCAAAGGCTGAAGCTGCTTCAAGAGCACCAACAGCAGAGACTAAGATTGCAGCAGAGGCCGGCTTTTCAACTAGCGGCTGGCATTATTCAGCAACAGCTGCCGTTGCCGCAGCAGCAGACGCTTTTCAACGCCAATGGCGTGCCACAGCAACAGCAGCAGCAGCAGCAGCAGCAGCAGCAGCAGCAGCAGCAGCAGCAGCAACAGTCGATCTTCCAACCGAACAACCTAGCTCAGCAATTACAGCCAACTAGCTTCAAAACCAACAGCGCGTTCAACGCTCCGCACTTGGCCAGCTTCAATCAGCAGCAAACGGCTTTCAAAACGAGCAACGTCCAGCTTCAACCGAGCCTGAGCTTGGAAGTGCCGAGCAACGTGCCGGCAATACCGTTCAAACCCGCGGCCCAGCAACAGTTGAGAGCGCCGCTTCAGCAACATTTCCAACCGTTCCCCGTGGACTTCCAACAGCCACCCGCCCCGGCATCGCCAGTCACCAGGTTCAATCGACAGGAGGCTTTCAACGCCGTCGCTAACTTTGGATTCAACCACTTCCAGAACGACGACAAGTCGGTCAGGCAGAGCCAGCTCGTTCAGCAACAGCGGGCCCTGCAAAACGGCAATTTCGCCTTTGATTTAGGATTCAGACAGCAGCAGAGGCCGTTCGCACCATCCGTTACGCCGGCAAGGCAAATTCAGGAATTGCTCTACCAGTCGGGTATCGCCGGCGATTTGCAGGGCTCGGGAACGAGGAATCAAGAGGACATCAATATCGTGTCCAAGGTTTTGGCGCTCAACGTTGGCGCTTTCCCCGAGCAGCGGACCAATGGATTTCAACAGTTCAGCGGGTTAAAGAAGTGAATGTCACGCTGCAAAGACTTTGTGTTCCGATTCTACAGCCGCGCGTGGATGGTCGTCAACAAGTGTGCGATAGTCTCCCTTTTTAACGCCCGTTTGCAAAAGTCTGATGGTCGACCACTGCTTGTAAATTATTACGCTCTGACTAACTTATAGATTGGATCTGTGCGCCGTGAGACTTTTGCAAATCACAGTGCCGCGACAATAATGATGACCTCGTGTACATATCGGCTGGCTAGAGTCCGTAAAAGAGAAGTTTCAGCTGTCCGGTAACGTCTCTTCGATTATAATTTATTCCATGAACCAACGGATAACCTTCCTGGATACGATATTGTCCTTTTTCTCTTCATTTACGCGCTCTTTTTATATATCGTTGTCATTTTGATAATAATCACTTAATCTCCACAACTTTGCTGGCGATCGTTCTTTTATCTTTTTTCTCATGGGTTTTACTTCACGACTCGAAGTCATCAAATTTTCAGCTCATCCTCTCTCGCACCCGCAGTACAACTGTACGACTCGTATTTAAGGCATTCAAGGAAAATTTCGCGCGCGCGCCAATTGACAGTGCAATCAACAGAAAATAGTTTGAAAACCAGAATTTGTGTACCCTGAAAAAGCAAATCTTTTTCTACACGTATATTTATGTACTTATTTCTGTGTACCTGTAAAGAGATACAATTTATTCATTGCTATATATTATGTATATTTTTGTTTAAATAAATAAATTTAACACAAAAAGAGGACAGACAAGCGACTGCTGATTTACTATTTGATTTCGTGAAATAGCAGTAGTGCATGATCGAACGGTCGGCATGCTGATTGCGAATCACAATGCTGTTATTAACTTTCTACGGCGACAAATCAAAATTTATTGTCAAAAAGTCCGTAGGGACCAATCATTAAAACGAAGAAACACACGTCTGACAATACAAATAAATCCCGTATGAACGTACAATTGATCGCAACAAGCATTGTATGCGGTTTTGGATTGTAATGCCACCTCTACACACAATTACGAGCGAGCACGAAGCTATGGTTTTTCACAAGGATCGTCTCGTCACAATTGACTCGGTCTCCGCCGAGAGATTGAAAATGGAAAGTCAAGGACCCTTTGTCGTCGTTTGCGAGCAAGGAGTACTCCCCCGAAAAAGTCGTGCAACCGACAACTTTCGCCACATCTGCTGCATCATCACAATGCCAAATTGAGCATTCCGACGCACGAGGCATTTCTCCTATGCCTTTTTTCCGCGCCGACTCGATTGCTTTTTTTAATCTCCGAGTTATTGGTTGTGGATCCCATTTCACGGACGATGAAAAAATTGATTCCGAGAGGCGTTTCGAAAAAAAGTTTGATTTACGAGCTGCCGTGTTTTATCGGTCACGAACGGATTATTTAACGCACGCGAACCTGTAGCTTGATTTGTTTTTTTTTCTTGCACAACGTATAACACTTCCACAGAACATAATTAACCACTCTATTTTCTTCTTTTTTTTCTTTTCGTAGTTTTAATTTCGAAACATTAGATTTCACTACTTTGTCGTGTAAAATTAATGACCAATCAAACTGTTAAACGTAATAATCACATCTTCGCTTAAAAGTTCTAAAAAAAGAGTTTTGGCGTAACACTCAAACTATAGAATGCTTAAGGTATTCACGAATTCCGATAAAAGTCAACCAACAAGAATGGTCAATAACTCAAAAATGATTTTCTACTCAAGTATTCGAAGCGAAAATAGCTCGCGGCTAAAATTATTTATCCAAATGCGATGTGATGTCGCGTGTGGAATTTAAAGTACGAAGAAAGGAAATATATCGCCGTGCATTAAATTATCCTCAAGTAATTCAACGTTGTGAATTAAATATGATAATTTATCTGAGAAAAGTAAGTGCTTTTACACGTTGGGCATATAGCTGAAAAAGAAGAGTCGCGCTCACTTGCTCTTTCTCCTTATAATCTGTTCTCACGGCTGTGCGCGATGATCGATGACACGAACTCGCGCGCGCTACTGTTGGTTTCTTCTTCTTCTTCACTTTCCTTTTCCAGTGCACAAGTCGCGACTCCCACTTCTCTGTTGAAAATCTCACAGTCGAAAAATATTATGAAATTTTACCATTGTCGTTCTTTCGCCTGTAGCTCTGCGAGAAAATAAATTGGATGCAACAACCACGAGTGAAATCTTCTCCGGCTTGTTGCCACTTTCCTATTTCGACTGGAAAAACTGTGACTTTTGACATACGTGCTCGGGTTCTTTACTTGCTTTGTGGGCAAAGTGCAATGCGATGTCCTTCTTTTGTTTTGGTGCATAAGTGTAACAAGAAAGAAATGTGATGTTATTGTAAAGTTTAAAAATAATAATTTCATTGTTTATTTTTATGTTGTTGCACTAACAAAAAAAGTGTTTCGTGCGTATAATGATTAAAAGATTCGAAGTTTTCAAACCAATATAGTTTTATTTAACATCTAATTTTATTTTGTCAATTTTCGTTCGATTTTCTTAATTTTTTTTTATTTTAATGAACTCGTGACAAATAATTATTTTGCTTACAAATAGTGTATATATTTTTCTTTTTTTTTATACAATTACTCTTTTCGCACATTATGTCCAGTATAAGTCAAACAATTTTAAATTCATTGAGAATAACAATGATATTATTTTCTTTCGTAACGAAAGTCTACACTTTTTGCTTGCAATTCGATTTTCACGTCATTAGTTCTATGATTGTAAGCCAATTAGTGTGATCATACTAAGACTACATTATTAGTGGAATGAAAACTTATGATGAAACAGCTATTGATTGGATCATGTAAAACTTTGTTTCACTATTTGTTTTATCAAGATCTATTTACATAATGTATAATATGTAGTTGTAATAATTCATGACACTTTCAAATAATTATCGATGCAATTTTAATTATTACCGTGACAAAAAAATCAGCAATGATTTCTTTCAATTTCTGACTTATCGTTATATTATTAAAACTAGTAATTTTTTTTATCGAAGTTGTAATGATTATTTAATAATTGATGCAAGTGATAAAATTAGTAACCATTTTAGGTGGTGTATAATGGATTAAGTATTATGCTATTGTGTAATAAAATATTCGATGCTATTTAATGTTTAAAAAAGAAAAAAACGATTTAATTATTTCTTCTCACTTCTTAACGCACTTGGTTTTTTGTTTTTGTACAAACAATAAAAATTGTGATTTTCACATATTAGAAAAATTAGCCTAACTTTCTTTTTCATTTTTGTTTCAGCAAATTCCCTATTGAAAAACATGTAGTAGTTCAGTCACAAATTCTAAAATAGTACATAAATATAACTTTTTACCATTCACTTTCGATCTTTCATTGAAATAGGTTAGATAATTTAGATCTTTTCAAATATTGAAAAAATCTTATTAGTCACATCAATGGTGCTTGAATTTTCATCACATAGAATATTTATTCGTCAGCGCTTATTAAAAGCCTTGCTGATACTGCTTGGAATCTAATCGTGTTTGAATGACTTCAAGTTGTCGCTTAGCTTCACATTGTGGGAAATTCTGTAGGTCGTAGTACTGAGGTGCAATTTGTAAAAGCCATTCAGCTAAAATTCCAAAAATAAACCAGAAATTAAAAATTAGTTAATAAGTTAATATTATAGTATTATTAAAAAAAATTATATATATATATATATACATATACTGACGTTTAATATCCGTCACTGTTCTAATATAATTCTTTGTTGTCAGCACGAATTCGTTATAAATTACCCAGTCAGGTTTGTGATCGAGACAACTACTGGGATGAAGTTGAACAATCTGATTATCCTTGATTGTTAGATAATGGCCTGTTCTTTCTAAATGCGCTACCTGTGAGAATATAAATAATTTTTGAAGTAGCTACTTAAGTAAAACGAAAGATATTTTTAGTGGAAATGAAAAGAATTCATTACCTGCATAAAGAAACCGTTAACAAGAGCTTTTCTAATATTAATATAATAATCTTTAGATGTAAAGTCCGTCGAGGTTCGCTTCAAGTTGAACCGATCCATAATTCTACTCAACTGTTGCCTAACATTATCCCCACTTTTCAAGGATCTATAATTGACGAAATTGTCGTAGCACCACTGAGGATCTTCTTGATCTAGGAAGAAAAAGGTATCGTTAGTTTTTTTTATTTATTTACATGTTGTAAAAACACATCAAGTTAGTCAATACTCACTCTGCTTAAAAGCATGGTAGACATTCAATAATGTCAAATGATCTCCGTCAATGTGAGCAAAACGCATTTTTGCTTCATCAGCAGCTTTCTTCATTTCATTTGGTCTCACGAAACACTGTGGGACTAATAGCATATCAATCATAAGTAAAACAATTCGTGTGACTTCATCAAGCCCTTTATCGAAATTTATTAAGTAAAATTATTTAAAAATAAAAATGTATTACGAAATCTTATTTCTAAAAGCCAATGTCCTTAAAAATCTATTCATTGTCCATAAAAGATAAAAATAAACAAACATTCCTTAAAGCTCATCATTCATTCAAATCACCATCGTTCAGTCAAATCATACCTGACAACATAGCTGTGATACTGAGAATTTCATTGCTGCAATTGTGATTGCATGAAGCAATGAGCATCTTAGCAAGCTGAGGATCTAGTGGGAATTCGGCCATCACAGCACCTAAATCCGTCAGGTTACCGTCGTCGTCCAACGCTGCCAAATAATTCAAAAGTTCCAAAGCTCGCATGAGAGTTTCCGGTGCTGGTGGATCCATGAAGTCAAAGTGCACCTATAATCGACAATCAATATTTAAAAATTATTCAATAAAACCATCGACCGTAATTAATTCAAATATTTACCAAATCATCAATACCCAGTTTCTTCAGCTGCAGAACGACACTACCAAGATTTGATCTGAGAATTTCTGGATAGGTATTTTCCTGCATTTCGTTCTTGTAAGCCTTTTCAGTATACAATCGGAAACATTTTCCAGGTCTTGTTCGACCGGCACGACCTGCTCTCTATTAGTACTGAGCTATTAGTATCATCAGTAACATTGATATTCACAGCAAAAATAGACACATACCTGTTGAGCAGAGGCTTTACTGATAGGTGATACCAAGAGCGACTCTACTCTGATTCTTGGATTATAAACTTTCTGCTTGGCAAAGCCTGGATCAATTACGAATACAACACCATCGATGGTAAGCGACGTTTCAGCAATGTTCGTCGACACGACGACTTTGCGACCGATACCGCCGTTTGGTTTCGTCGGTGGAGCAGGTTCGAAGATTCGTTGCTGTAAGTTAGGTGGTAAAGTTGAATAAAGCGGAATACATTTGAGCTCGCCGACTTCAGGACCAAGACTGTCCATTTCACGTTTTATCCGCTTGCAAGCTTCTTCGATTTCTTCTTGACCAGTCAAAAATAGCAGTAGGTCGCCAGGTATTTCTTCACACATGTGAATCTGAACAACAGTTCTAATAGCTGCCTCTAAGTAGTCCTTTTCTGGCTCTGGTGTGTAGAAAATCTCAACAGGATGAGTTCGACCAGGTACATTCATCAGAGGTGCATTGTCAAAGTATTGTTGGAATTTGCCAGCATCTAGAGTAGCACTCATAATAACAAGTTTCAAGTCTGATCTTTGTTTGATGACCTCTTTCAATACACCCATAAGTAGATCAGTAGCAAGAGTACGTTCATGAGCCTCGTCAAGCAATATAACTTGGTAAGCTTCTAACATTGGATCTGACATGCCTTCTCGGAGCAACATACCATCAGTCATGTACTTGAGAATAGTTTTAGATGAGCTACAATCTTCAAAACGAATACTGTAACCTACTTCTTGACCTGTAATATATAATTTACAAATTCAATGAGAGATTCAATACAGTAACATTGATATTCGTAAGAGAAATAAAGACACATACCTAATGCTACGTCCATTTCCTCTGAAACTCTTTGAGCTACAGACATAGCAGCAACCCTTCTCGGCTAGAAAAATTATCAATAATTAACTCAAATGCACTATTCTGTCAACACTCAATCTCTATTCTTTAATCTTACAAATTATGTGTAAATTTTACCTGGGTACACGCTACTGCTTTTTGACCTACGCTCTTTGAATACTCTACACACCATTGGGGAATTTGTGTAGTCTTTCCAGATCCAGTTTCACCAACAAGAACTATACACTGATGTTGAGCCAGTAACCGCATAAAGTCGGTTCGATATTCAAAGACTGGTAGAGTAATTCTCTTCTTATAAAATTCATGATAACGAGGTGTGAATGGTAAACCTGTATAGGGATTTAATTGCACTTGTCTTTGTGCATTTGCAATACTCGCTGCTATAGCTGGTATACTACCAGACGAACTGCTATCACTGTAAACAATTAATGGTGGATATTACAATGAATTTTGGTAAACAATAAATTACATGAAAATGCATGAACAGTTACTCAAAAAGTTGATAATACATTTTGAAGTAAAATATTAGTGATGATGAGTAACAAAATTATAAAACGAAAAATGATAATCAAAGTGAAGCAAATAACAGTTGCTCATTATGAAACAGTTGTTAAAAAATCTAACAAAATAAATTAAAAGTTGAACGATATACTAGAAAATGTCTTGCAACAAATTAAAACAAATTAACGAAATAACAAAGAAATAGCAGCATTGACAATGTAGTATCCGCTAGGCGATCTTTTTCATAATAAATAACACTGACAACATGCATTGAATATTTTGTAGCAATTTTTATCAAAGCATTCCGTTGCCATAATACTCGCGACTAAAATTCAATAAACACACGTGCGTGTATATAAGTAACTCACCATTTACGCTTGACGTACGGATCAACGACTTCGATCCTCCTTTTAGACATATCTGCTGTTGCCTGTCAATCAATTGAACACAATGGCAACGACTGATCAACGATCAATTGAATCAGCAATGAGGTTTCAGATAATTACAACAAGAAGAAATGGAGTTCTCCTGGAGAAGTTTATTGATGCTGCTTTTGCCGCTGCGGCGAACACGAGGCGTCACAAAATGGCAAGCCAACACCACCGCGAGGAGAATATCGCGGCCATGTTTGCTCTGCTATCTTGCGCAAAGGTAAAGTCGCGCTCTACAGGCTGAGAAAAGTACTGATGAGAAAAATTACTTCCCAGATAACATTGTTAAATGTGACTTGCAGCGTTGCTATTGGAAATTTTTTCTCAGGGTCCCTAAAAATTATTACATTATGTTAAATAGAATGATTTCTAGGGATCCTAAGATAACTTTTCAAGGTAACGCAAGATAACTGTGTTAATTTGGGGAATTTGTTGATTTTCTAGTAATGTTTTATAGAGCGATTATGTTTAAATAGAAGTTTCGATCTCTGTAAATAAACTGTTCGAGGAATATCTATTAAAAAATGTTGGTTTATTTGTTGCACATTAAATATAAATATTACAAATGAAAAAAATCAATTAATTTAAAACTTATCAACAATTAACACAAAAGCAATTTTCTATCAATTTCTTAATCTCTATTCTTTAATTTTACAAATTATGTGTAAATCTTAAACATTCAAATTTCGTATAATATATATTGCTTCATTATCACATCCAAATAGCATAGACGTCTTGTCAATATCAATGCTATTTATTGGTTTGTGCAAAGGTGTGCATAGGGAGTTTACTTGACATTTTCCCTTATTATTTATTGTGTTTAACCAGTGAGAATCTGTTGTATCTGTATAAATTAAAAATAAGTAAATTGAATAACATGCTGACATATATATAGATACATATACTTCACTAAAATAGAATGATGACTTCAATAAAGTACCTAGTTTTAACTTTGAATGCTGAGTGTTATTCCAGTGCCACAATTCCCCACTGATAGAACAAGAAAACAAATTCTCTGGTCTGTCTTTATGGAATAAAATTTCACTAACACTTTTTGCATGTGCACTTAGTTGACTAATTGGATATGTATTGTAACGCAAGTCCCAAACAGTAAGACTGCCATCTCCACCACCAGCTACAACTATATGCTTTTGAGTTGGATGATGAGCAATACTTGTTGCTTCTGTCTAAAAAAACATTTTAAAAATTACACACATATTCATGTTATTTTATCACATATCTTTATAATAATTAATAAATAATTACTTTTGCTTGATCAGAGCCATGAAAACATGAAAGCATGATTGATGTTGCAGGTGTATCTTGATTACTCCTCAAATCCCAAACTTTCATGTGACCTCTAATATTTCCTGTGAGGATTTCACTGTGACGCAAAAAATCCACACAATACAAAGAACAACTATCTGCATCTTCTATTACTCTAACTGGATTTATCTGTTGTGCTGTTAGTAAATTTATCCTACCATCTTCTCCAACAGTAACAATATCTTGTTCAAATGTTGATAAAGCTGTACATGATGCTGGTTCTTTTGTGATACTACATAAATATAATTGTACTTAAGAAAGAGATTGGATTTGAATTAGGCATAAATAAAATAGCTTACTTGAACTTGTGAATACCATTCCAGGCATTTATTTCTTTTATTTCACAATATGGGTCTTCTTGGAGTTTGAAAACTTTCACATTACCTTGAGAAGACGAAGAAACAAATTCATTTTTTCCAATAAATTTAATCTCAGTAACGTCACCAATTACTATATGTGATGCAATATTAACAGGGTATAATTCTTCTTCATCATTTTTTTGAAATGTCCAGTAACTAATCTTATTGACCTACAATATTAAATGCGAAAAATAAATTATTATGAGAGTTTAATGAGAGGAAAATTAAGCAAATAACTTTGGAAGTATACAATAATTTTTAGATACAAAACATACATCCGTAAATACCATTAATTAAAATTAAAAAATCACTTTTGGAACACAAAAATCATGAAAATAGCATTAAAATAAATATTAACAAAGCACATTGTAGGTTAGAAAATATTACCGGGTCGTCCCAACTCCCCGTCAAAAAGTGCTTAGCATCAGCGAAATCTTCATGTTTCCACCTAATTTTGGAGATTTTTTCCGAAACAAAAGTACCTTGTACATTCTCGGGCATCGCGAAAATTTACCAATTCTTTTTATCATAAAAATGAAAAATTTGTTTTGTCGGCAAAGACCGCGCGCGTGTTTTTAGAAAGTTTCGTTCGAATCAGTGCTGGGCATCGATGGTTTATATCGAAAAAAAGAGCTCCCTAGAGCTGACTTCAGTTTGTACACTGAAAGAGCTCTTTCCGATTCCACTCGTTCCACGGTTCCGTTCAGTTTTGAATTGAGAAAAAAAAGATTGTCATGCACTTGCATGTAAAAAGTATTAAATTACAATTATTTTCTAATTTTTTTTTGTATATCTTAATTTTTGTATTAATAATTTTATTTACTTTATTTGGATTATTGTTTATATTTTTGTTTTATAAATTACTGAATTGTGTAATGCAGAAAATTTATTACTAGTTATTATTATTGTTATTATAAAAATGTTCTAATTAAAAAAATAAAATGATACTATCAGTTATTATATTTTGTTATAGATTATCTAGAAGAAATTATGATAGGAGTAGTATAATTATAATTTATATAATAATTTATAATAAATACACATTTTTCTTACGTTATTTATTCAACATTGATCAAATTATATATATATTCTGATAACAATTCCTAAATATTCTTATAAAAAATAATAATAATATATATACATATATATATATATAATTTATCGAATAACTTAATCTTATTGTATTTAACCGAATATCGAAAATTATGAAAAATACACATAGCTAAATTGCTTAGATGTTTAAATTTATATTTATTATTTGCTTAATTGTTTAAATATACAATATGCAAGTCGGTCCAGACGATCTCCTTGCAATGAATGCAATGAAAATACATTTTCAATTATTAGCAGATCATAAATGTTGCATAAAACTAAAGAAATAGTTGATTCAACAGGTTTCCATACTTTTTTTTGAAGAAATATTCGTTTTACAATTATCCTAGAATAAACAGCTGTTGACAGTCTAATAGTCGGCCCAGATGATCTCCGTGCAAAGAGTGCATGAAAAATACATTTGCAATTGTTAGCAGATCATAAATGTTTTATAAAACTACGGAAATAGTCCATTAAACAGTTTTCCATACCTTTTTCAGAAGAAATACTCATTTTACAATTTACGCCAGAATAAACAGCTGTTGACAGTCTAATAGTCGGCCCAGATGATCTCCGTGCAAAGAGTGCATAAAAAATAAATATGTCAATTTTAGCATATCATAAATGTTTTATGTAGCAGTAGTAAATTAATAGGAAAAACCAAAGTTCAAATACTGATGAAACAACATTTTTAAGAATTTCAAAAAGCTGTTGGGTTAGAATCATGTTTCTTTTTTCCACCCTTCATTGGAAGTTTGGACGATTAAACGAAATATTACATTGCGAGCGAATTAAATTATTATTAACGTATTATAAAATAATAATATACTGCGAAAATGAGAATTTGAATGGTTGATAACTATTGGAATATATAGTTAGCAATGAATCTTGCGTTTTGTGAGTGATTTATCACAAAAGCTTTGAACTTGATACAATTATTTAAATTAAACTGGTAATAAACTGACGTATTATGATCTGCAACAACGCATATCAATGTACACAATATATAAGAGATGAATGAAACTAAACATCAAATGAAAGCACGAAAAGCTAAGCGGTAATTAACTTTATTTAAGATATTTATTATAATATCGCTAATGTAACAAATTATCAATTTTGTTACTTTACGTACGTATTGTTAACATGAATTAACGTATCACTATAAAATAATTTGACTTCAAAACTAATTTGATTGAAAACTAACATTGAACGTTGCAAACTTCATAGTCATAAACAATTGAATTTATTACAAGTTTTACAAAAAGCATTATCAGCAATAAAAATATGAATGACAGACATAATTATTTTTATAACCCCTGATTTGATAGCTAATTTGTATAACAAACTTCCTCGTTCCTCTCTTTGAAGCATCGATGTTCGATTGAATGCTACAGTGAGCAAATATAAATCAAATTCAGACGTATTAGCTGAATTCATACTTGTAGAAGCAAATCTGAGAATGAATCCGAAAGTAATTCACATTTAAAGCGTCTGATTCGCGAATGCATTATGAAAATGAAAATTGAAATAATACAAAAACGATTTATTTACCGAAGTTAGTGGTATAGATAGTTCAGTAAAAAAGTGTAAAATTCAATATTTTAGTTTTCGTTGCAAGCACAAGTTGCACTTACTCGTCAATTACTCTGTTTTCAAAGATTGAATTGAATCTAAGATGGAGTTTAGCTAAACATGAATATTAGAGTTATTTTTATTGAGACAAAGGTTACATTAGAAAATATTGCTAAGAAAATAGTATACTCAGCGTGGGTGTAATCACCGCAACTAAAGAAAGTATCAACTTCGAAAAGAAATAATTAAACTTCAAATGAAATTTCGTTTGTGAATATTACTTAAAATGACAATTTGTGACTACTTTCGTATACTTGCCGAAACATATTTAGATAATGGTTTCAGTAAATGGAAAATCAAAATTAATTTATACTTCGATTGCTGATAGCGCTACCATTTTAACACACGATATAGCTTTTATAGAACGTTTATCGGTACCTAAGCTCGAAACGAACATTCATGCCCTTGATGTGAAAGACATCGCAAATAAAAAGAAACATCGTTGAAGACAAACTATTCATGTAAAATTCGACAGTTTTCATAACCCTGATTTGACAGCTAATTTGTATAATAAACTTCCTCGTTCCTCTCTTTGAAGCATCGATGTTCGATTGAATGCTACAGTGAGCAAAGATAAATTGAATTCAATAAGACGAGAAAAAAAGCTTACTATTAAAACACCATTTACATTATTGGCTTAATTTTTTAAAATTACTCACCACTGTTAGTTTACCTTAAAGTTGAATAAAAATATAAAAGTCTTAAAGAAGCCTTTATGAACGATAGATCGTTTGCAACCTGAAAAATGCATTGATAATATTTTAATATTTACCAATTAATTACGTATTCGTAAAACGCTTGAAAAAAAATTTATAAATGAATCTTTCTTTGACTCTGCATTAATTGTTTATATAATTATAAATATTATTAAAGAAATGTTTATTACTTACGTGTATTACAATGTACGTATAACTTTTTAAATAAAATCCACACCTATCAAAAAATGGATTTACACAATAATATCAATAATGTCAATTTCTGAAATTAATACAATTTTTATGCACAATAAACACTCTTTATAACCGTTAAAAAAACAACTGATACTAATAGAAGCACGATGTTGCTCTCTAGCCGGCACAAAAGAAACAAATTCGCTCGTTCGATCGTCATTCGGCGGGAAGGCTCGGGTTGTTTTGTTTACATTGCGAATTGCGGAAGTCGTGTATATCATAATAGAATGGGAGTCTGGTATTTAAATAATTTTTATAATTTCATTTCAATATTTAATGACAAATTAAATAATACTCTGTAAATGCTAGAGAATAATTCATTTTTAATAATTATAAAATCAGAAAAGAGTGAAAACAAGGTTACTAAAAAATAACTTTTTATAATTAATTACAGTTTTTATTATTTATTATTTATTACTCTTCAACAAATTTACAATACATTGTATATATAAATAAAATTTTTTTACATGCTAATATGCGAAAAGTATTTTCTTTTAGAATTCATAATTCAGTGGAACCTTGGAACGAACGGAATCGGAAAGAGCTCTTTCAGTGTACAAACTGAAGTCAGCTCTAGGGAGCTCTTTTTTTCGATATAAACCATCGATGCCCAGCCCTGGTTCGAATCCAAGATCGAGCAGCGAGCGCGAGTTCGATTAATCGCAAGGGTGGGGACATTCTCTCTCTCCTTGAATGTGTGAAAAAAACCGGGAATATTTATAGTAACGACAATAAAACAGTAGTAAGTAATTTCGCTTTTGATTCACCTCTCAGTTTCACTCTCGGCGAGGGCATTGCACTTGAACGTTTACACTTTCCCGAATAATTATGTCGAATTGTTTGCTTTTCACGTTTGTAATCATCTGCGTCGGCAAGAGCAACGTTAGCGGAAAGTCCGCATTGAAAAATGGTAGATACACATCTTGAAGATTTGTTAATTATTAATTAATTCGAAAATCAATAAATGAGATATTGTAGAAAGCACAAGCATCAACTTCTCGAACGGAAGTGTTGTGTCGGAAACGCAACACACTATCTGTAGCATCAGAACCGAGGAAGTCGTCGCGAGAGCTCAGTCAACGGCGTCGAGGATTCTCACGGGCGTTTGCACAACAGGTATTTAAGGTGTAGATTAATCAACGAAACAGTTTACAACCACTTCGAGTCAATTTTATTTTGCAAGTCGTGCGCACAATGAGAATTGCTCCAACCATCATATAAATAAAGCACCGCCTCATATTCTTTCTTTGATTCTCACTAAAGTATCGTCGTAGACTCTTTCATTACAGCAGCGCTCGGCTTCAAATTTCTACACGACCCGCTCTTCTCTTCCCTTTTTCTTATACAATGGTAAACACTGATTGCAGTTAGGATTCGGATGGAAATATTTTATCTTTGTTTACAGAAGATATGACGAAAGCATTTGAAAACGTGGAGAGGAAATTAGCGGAACAGTTTGAGAAACTTCAACAAAACTTAATAACGTTGATTCAGTCCAAGTTTCTGCGTGCAGAAGAAAAATTACAGAAGCTTCAAATTGTCGGCAATCAAAGTAATCGATTACATTTGGGATGAAGATGTCTTTAAAAATTACACCTAACAACATCCTCTTTTTTATTTATTTATACAATAATTTTATTTAGGATGAAATACGAATTAGTTTTGTAAAAAAAAACATAAGATTTGATCAACTATGAAACTTAAACAAATGAAAAATTGTTACCAGATACTTGTTAATAAATTAGAAGATACGATCTATTCTTTCGCATATACTTAGCTATATTTTTATTTATTTAACAAAAAGATTTACTATGTTGAAAAATATACAACTTTAGACATTCGCCTGTGCCGAATAAAGAATTTCTATAGTCAACATTATATATACCCTTTATTTAGTACAATATATTCTATTCAGACTTTTTTATCCATCTTTCATAAAATTCACATCGAGTATAATTTTTTATATAAATCTAATATGATCGACAGCGAAACAAAAAGTACGTAACTCGAGAAAGGATTTACTAATTTCTCAATTATTGTCAATTTTTAACTATTAAAATAATTTATAAATTTAATAAAAATACGTAGGAATCAATATATACTGATTTAACTATATCAAAATGTTAATTCGGATGATGTACATCTAATATTAATAAAACTACAAATAAGGTAAATAATTCGTCGCTAACGATTTATCGAGTAAATTCACCATTTCATTTAGCTGTGAGTTATTATTAGTTATAAGAACATTACCACATATATTGTATCTATCCAAAGCACCAATATCGTTTCGAATGTATATAATTGTTTAAACTAAAGCATGTATTTTCTTAGATTTTTATTATCACAAAAAACACAATAACTATATATAATAACCACGGTTCAGTTACATAATTTGCAAGCGGCAAATCTTCGATTTATATAAAATCGAAATAAGAACCACAAAAGTACACTCAATTTCATTTATACAATTCAGCATTAATCTGCCATTGGCGAAAACTTAATTCCACTCGTTTGCTTTAATTGAACGATTGACTATAACGAAGAAAAAAATTAACCTACCCAAAAAATACATCGTTCTTCGAAAATTAAGAAAAACCCTACTGGCCGAAAAAATAAAGGTAAGTTTTCGTTCGTTCAATAAACGGTAGCGCCCGGGGGCAGAACGAGAGGCTCGAGGTTGTCAACATTGAAAGCCGGATCTTCGGCGGCAGCTCGTTGTCTCATCTTAGCTTCGATTATGGCGTTTCTCAAGTTGGGATACAGGCGCAGCGCGCGGTACATCAATGGTAACTGCTGCTGCGGATAAACCGCCAATGCCGGGTCCCTCTTCCTTCCGCAACCTACGTGCACGGAAATTTCATTATAAAACTTGTCCATTTGCATGAAAGTATCATAAAAGCCGACGATGGACTCATGCCTGCGTGATTAAACTTTCATCGCGAGTGCTATTTATGAATATTTCATTGTTCGTTTGCTTGTCGCGGAGTCCCCCTTGATAAATTCTGCCGATGAATAATTAACGTGGCAAGCTTTTGAACGATTCGCGGCTGAGATGCGTGTTTTACCATCATTTCCAGTGTAGCTGGCTTAATATTTTATGCCCGAAAGCGTGGTAATCCGCGTAGAACGCGGATAGATAAGAAAAGCGTCGGCGCGTCGAATGAAGCGTAGCTAATTGTGAGGGGCTGCGACGCAATAAAGCAAATGTCGCGAAACTCAGTTTAATGAGTAAAAGTTAGGAAATCTGATTATTGCACGTTGCAGCGACATACATCTATGTACTCCGAAGCTGCAAGCTAATTGTTGCTCGTAAACTGAGACACTTACTTATTTACGGAAGACGGTAAACCTTTGGATAAACCGACAAAGTCCCGCGCTTGCATCAATGATAATTTCTGTATATTCTACGTCTTTTGAAAGTTTTAATTCAAAATATGAGAGATAATAAAGGTAGTCGCTCACGCACCCGTAAAAGCGTTGCAGAAAGGTCGTTTCACGGCGACAATATCCATATCATTGTCACCCCTGGCGATCTCAACCAACACGACTCCCATTAGCAGTGCGAGGGTGAAATGTAGCACCTGAAACATCGTAATTAAATAGCGTCATACACCTGGTTCGTGTTAATACAGGCAAACTTGGAGAACCGCTGATGCCTTGAAGATGAAATGAGAAAAGTATTGTGTGGCCCGTGGTGTAATTTTCATTTCGCGAAACTTATAATCCTGTCGCGCAACAGATGAATTATTCAGACGCCGCTGGGCCGAAGCCTTGTTAACAAAGAATGCCAAGTATCGACACCTCATTTCATTTTGTGAAATCAAAATGCCAAGTGCATCGGCCCCCAACGGATGGAAAATTATTACGGATGATCATGCGACAGTCACCCACAGCCTAAATTCGAAGCATACACTTGGCCACGAAGAATAGGGGTTAATCCCGTGAGCTTGCGCTCGCTGCACTTGAGCGACGGAAGATTATATGATCAGTGTTACTGCGAAACTTTGATTTGCGATACTTGAAGAGCAAGCTTAATGCCCTAACGAATTACGGATTGTTCCATCATAAGACATTGAATAAACGTCATGAAGTTAATGTGTTGATTGAAATGAACAGCTGTTGAATTGTTACTTCAACAACGCTTTTCTGGGTCTTTCAATCTTTAATCATCTACTCGCTAAGAAAAACTCTTCGTACTTTAATTATTCAAAGCTCTTTTGTATTCCAATCCACAAGAATATTATATTAATCCACAAGAGCTTTTCCCATGCACCACCAATGACGAATCCTTTAATTAGCGTAGAGGTCGGCAGACTAAGCCTCGTTATGTCAGATGACTCTTTCACAAAATCAAATGTACCTTCGCTAATGATTGAAAAGCTTATTAATAAGGTCACTGATGGCTGTGCTTTGTCATGCACGTCTGTTGTGTAACTCTAAAGTTCCACGATCATAAGCGATTATTAACGAATTTTTACAGGACCTGCACATTGTCATATGTGACACAATCTTTCGATCGACCACGCTACAAGGTGCGTTGATAATTGTAGGAATATTATATAGTGTTTTCTAATGAAAGATTTTTTTGTATGTTCAATAAGAAAAGGACAACAAATATAAAGGTAGAACGGATTTTGATATTTCGAAGAACGGAAGAAGAGATCGTCGTCGCGCGGTAATAGAAATTCTTTTTTAAAATCAATTCATGAAAAATTGATATCCTATTCCTTATTCCATAGATGCTTCATAAAGTTTGCGACAGGCTTCGTCGCGACGGCTCTATTTCTGAATTGTGTATGTTGTTAGTACGTATAGCAATCGGATCGTGAAAGAATATAACGATGCGGTCTTCAAACTTTATGCGTCGTTTTAACATCGCGACTGCCATACTTTCCAGTTGCCCTTTAAGAAAATTGGTGGAAGTTGGTTTTTTTCCTAGTGTTGGCACATACATTATTAAACTCCATTGCATATATACGAATACATGACTTGATTTTTACGGAACGTGCAAAATTATATGGTAAAACAAAAACTAACAACATTACGCCAATTCTTTGCGCATTATTAAATTAGTAACTTTCAGTAACCTAAGGCAAGATCTCGAGGCCTTAAACTAAAATACAATATTTAATTTTTATACAGTTTCGAAATCCTAACACGAACCGTATAATAATCATAATAATTTGCTGATTTATTAAAGGTCAAAGAAGGATTGATGACACATCTTTAGTTTATTTCTCCACGTTATAAGATCTTTTTCGTAATTATTACAGAATTTTTCATGATGAAGGTCTCCATAACAACTCAAATACGTGGGTCCTATACAGCTTTAACGAAATTTCCAATCGACAGCTCTATCATAATAAAGCCGAAGACAAAAAAAACATTAATCACTAAAATGTTTGTGCGCACGGTAGCGTTGGAATGAGAAAGCCCACCCACGGAAATGAAAAACAACTCTTTAGGCAAGATCTTGCTCATCTCTTTAATAACATTGTTTATTGTAAGCAAATACGCGTATTTCTTAGCAAGTATAAGATGACAAACAAATAACGTACGTTTTGTTATAATAAAAGTTACCCAAAAAGTCTTATAATAAAAGTATTCGCTTACTCGACCTAATTTATACCTAAAAATTATTCATCAAGTGAGTATTTCATATTCAAGAATTAGCGGTTTGTAATTAAAACTGAGTAACAATCGCTTAAAAAATCGATTGATCAATTTCGTACAATTTGTATTTTGAGTACTCAACAAAAGTAAGAAGTAAAAAGGGATTGTCCCGAAAAAATGTATAATCGTTAACAGTGTCAAACCCAAAACATTTGATTAATTAAAGCTTATACGTATAATCAAATTGATAAAATGCATAAATGCGTGGGAAAGCATCTTGAACTCTTAACGAGAATATTGCGTAAGAACATTGTCAATTCATAAAAAATTATGAAATGATACTCTGTACCGCTTACGTGATAGGATAAGTTCTAAGCTTAATAAGGCCAACGATAACTTTATGCTTCAATCTAACAGACATCCATCTAACGACGTCCCACGTAGATTCAAAAACTTAACTTATCGACTTTCCTGAAATTGTTTTACGTATAGCCACCAGCACGTGAATCGAAAGAGTTTTCTCGTATTTTTAAAATCTGCAATGTCAAAGAAAAGCAATTCTTCTCAATCATTTGTGCGTATTCGCAATACATAAAAGTTTTGTGCGGTAAAAACAGCCAGGAAAACGTTACTATGCGTTGAATCTTAAATCATCACATAAGAGAACGCACGCGAAGAGTTTTGATTGCTTTATATGAAGTGCGCTTCCATGTACGCGAAAAGCTGATTACAATCGTGGGGGAAAAAGAGAGAGAAAATGTAGGCGTCCTGAGCGAGATCAAGCAGATGATTTCCGGAATACATTCGACCATTGCATTCATATTTTTCTCATTTGCTGCGACGTATATTATTGGAAAAAATATTAGTATCTGACGCACAAGAAAAGACCGTTAGCGTATTTCTCTATATGTACGTACACAATGTGAAATTAAGACGACGATAATTTAGATAATCGATTTATTAATAATCATCTCTAATCGTTTCTTTTTCAAATGTCGAGCTTTTTCGCGGCTTCTTTACTCTCGATGTGTGCGAAAAACAGCAAAATAAATCACGCGATTCGTCAAAGCTGGACGTTGTAAATGTCAGCGAAATGTGGTGTACGCGAAAAAAAGCATCAATGAGCCTTGACGCGATATGCTTATCGAACAGAGTCGATGTAAAAAAAGCAGCTGCAGCGTGCTTACGATTATATAGAATCTTCAGCTATATGTATTCAAAGTAATGCTTCGCTCAACTTTTTACAATATTGATATCGAAGAGTTATATTATTTCCATCGTATACAGAATTCAATATGTCGTATATCTTTACACGATTTTCGTCATAATCTTCATTGAAGGAAAATGAAAAGGAGGCTGAAGTCGTTAAAATCTTGTTTCTACAATTAACTTTTTCAAAAGAAATTAAGTATCACTGAACTCACATCTGTCTATGGGTTGGAACGTCAGTACGCCCTTCTCTCCCTATATCCCTAAAAACCATTAAACATCAGGTATGTCCATATATAACGTATACTTTAGTGTAAAAGAGTGAGGTGGTAAGAAAGTTTTATTGGCGATCAATCGAAAAACTCGTTTTTTTAATTTGATCCTTAAAATGATCGATCGAGTTTAGGGAACTTTCAATTCAGGCAAAACTTTGGCAATGCTTGTGTACAGTTCTACTACATTCTAAATGCAATCGAAATAAAAGTCATCCGGGATCTGAAACTTTATTGCGTTTTAACTAATTGCAGGTATTTTATTCATGAATATTGTTGTTCAACTAAATAAACTTCTTGTTTCAATTAAATTTCATCTACGTGTGAAATTGCAACAATGTGGACTTGAAATGATTATTAAAAGTAAACTTTCGACGCATTGAAATCACAAATTCACATTCGACTGTATCAATATACTCACGGATTTTAGTATATTTCGTATAATGAAATATTATTTAATGCTCGTTCTAGATTGGAAGATGTTGCGACCATAATAATATTATATATATCCTACATGTGAATTGAGGAAATCCATTTACTTCAGTCGCGTTGTCATAGTGACAAATCACTTTATTAGTCAGCCAAAATCTAATTCGATTTTTCCGAAGACTAAACATATAAAGAAAAAAATTCTTTCTCTGGATTTAAATGTTTGGTAGGACGTTAAATATTCAAAATTTATCCGTGTGAAATAATCGCGGAGGCCTCAAATTTTGTACACTCCAATATAATACAAACCACAAAACCGCAAATTATTCGTCCATAAAAACGTAAAATATTTCGTATATACTAAAAATAATAATAAAGGCATTATCCAATGCTACATTCATCAGACTTAAAATCAATTGCCACCTCAAATGAAATTAAAAAAAAAATAAAGCTGACACTCGCTCATAATAGAAATAAAACAGACAAACCTTCATATTGAAGATATATGCAGTTGATTGTTTCCCACTCGGTCTATGGCAGAGATGCGATAGATCACTCGACGTCCAAGTTCGAATCTCTCGCGGGCTGAATGGAAATTGACGAGAGCAAGGGTGCTCTTGCTTCAAATAGCCAAGTCCCACCCCCTCGTAGTCGTCGTCGTCGGCAGTGCGCAACAGCTCCGCGCAACTGCGCTCTCGACGCCCCTCAACATTACGACCACCTAAGTACGTTATTTCTCTTACATCGAGCAATGCAAGATCTTTTTAATTTTTTTCTTATATAAGAATTTTTTTTAATTTATTTATTGACGTCGGTTTAATTTTCGAAAAAAATTGCTGAAACGAACGCCTTTATGGCTCGTCGCAATCGTAAGAAAGAAGCGCGTTAAAATGCAAAATTCTTAGACGCATTAGAATTCTTAAAGGCCTTTGACGAAAGGTCCGTGCGGCTTTTACAATTAACTCTTCTCGGGAAATTGCCCATTATGCAGGGTCGGCCGCCCTTTCGCCCCTCTTATAGCCAAACGAGTGAAATCAAATTAAACCGCATCCCGCACACTTCGCCTATACCAATACATCGTTATGTAGCGCATTTGCATTCGAGCGATGCACCTGCATAGATCGCCCATTAACTATGCGAATTCGCTTTTGGTTTCGATTGACTATTGCCGATCACAGATTGCATATTTTCAGTCGTTCCGAAAGGTACTTAATCTTTCGTCAAATTTGCTGAATGACGTTGCTGAAAAAAATGTTTGTTTTTTTTCGTGGCTTTACAATGAGACAGTAGAACTTTGTTTCATTTTGTAATTTTCATTTCTGTTTTTCGTGGTAAACGTATCATTTGGTCTATCGTGTGCCGGTCAATCGATTCATACTGTTTACATACTTAGGGGAGAATCAGACAAATCAATGAAAACGGTATGTGTCATTCTATTTAAGGGACACCAACCCCAATGCATTGTTAATGTTAACTTTGACGACAGACTATCATTAGTTCGATTGCTGGAACGCTAGTGGAATGATCTATTTATGTCATCGACGTGCCAAAATCTCAATTACGATTATGAATGTTTCCACGGCAAGTTGGTTCTTCGACGATCTCTGTGAAAAAGCGAGAAGATTCGAGTGAAAATCGCACCATTGAAAAAAATCTCATGTAGAAATGTCGGGATAAAATTGAGAAAAAAAAACAGTCTCTTCTAGCTCGCTACGCGCTCTAACGGCACAATGCAATATATTTGATTCGCGTAAAAAGGGAAAAGACTCCCTTTATTTTGTCTTCACTTCGATCATCACTTATCGAGACGCGCAATAAATCGCTAAGCTTCACGTTACCTTCGCGCTTTATCTTTTATCGCGCCGTCCAACAATTGCAACCGTAAAACTGGTTTGCGCGAATAACGCGGGGATCTATTACGTATTATCTAATTGATTGAATGCCGATACATTGGCCGACGCGTCAGCTTACGTCCGATTGATTGGATTAATACGTATATTAGCATAATTAGGTCAACGTATGCATATAAATGCGTGATCTTTGGCTTCCGGCCATACGCGCTCCGGAAAATCGAAACGCGAGATTATGTAGGTAATAATACATCGGGAAGGCCTTTTATCGCAGCTCCGCAGAGAGCATGTTTCATTTGTGTGACACATGCAGCCACCCACGCACATTTTATCGATCATAACGGCTTCTATGGTAAAGTTCAGTCTGCGAGTCTTCGTCGCGAGCCGAATGTTCTCTTCTCGCCGCACTAATTTTATCGACGCTCGAATCGCTGGATTTAAAAAATCGCGTTCGCGCAATGCGAAACGTGCCATCGACGGCGAAAGCTCACACACATCTTCCGAGTGTCGGTCGCGCATGTAAATGCAACCGACACCGAGAACGATCTAATAGAAAATCCAAGAGGCTGTCTCTGTAAATATTTGTGCCGGTAGTGGATGAGATCCAGACATTTGGCGTTCTCAGTGAGTATAAGGCTCACGACCTCTTTCATTCGTTCGTTCGGAATCGCGGCCGGAAGCGAAATAGCTTGTTGTTGATGTAAGCCTCCATGGGCGACAGGGTTTGCACATCGAGAACTCGCTACGGGATATGTATACGCCGTGATCGTCGTCAGTAATTCACTTCCACATACACAATCTTGCACACACTAACATCAAAGTCAGCCTTAATCTTTCGTGATTTTCCAATCAAAGTTAAAGCTAACTTCTCTTGCTCGCCGCTTCGATTTGTGTCTGCTTGCAATTTTGAAGTCATGCAAATAGTGGAAATCAAGAGTTTCGACTCGAATAATAATGATCAAGAATCATTATATTACAAATGGAATATTTCAGAACACTTAATAAATAATTATCTTTCTTGCCATTTTTAATTGACTTTTTAAATCAGCGACAATCGTATCTGAAACCATTATTTTGGTCCGTACAATATATCAAATCAAAACTCGTTATTTTTTCTAGCCATATATTCTAATGTTAACGAGCATTTCTCATCATCACATACTTTAACTATAAAGTGGAAAAGAGTTTAAAAGTTGTAACAAATTCTTTCAATTATAGATCCTATAAAAATACCTTTTTGCATAGATATCAATGGAATATAATGCTCTATCTCGTGTTGCTTTGATTTATAGAAAATTTTTTTTAGATACCAGAAGATTGAATCAAGGAGAGATCCTTATTTCCTAAATAATCTATTTTAGTAGCACGTGTAAAATGTGAATGCAGTCGATGTGATTTTTCAATTGATAATAATAGCATTTTATTCACTAACTTACAACAATTTTAAAGAAAAGATGACTTTATTAAATAGAAGTAAAACTAATTAAATATAATTAAGTTTATCTTTGAATCAACAATACTAATAAATACTATTTATACTGTATTTCCTTATTGTTATTAACTACTGTTTGATTAGTAATTTTCACATAGTATAACGAAATTAAATGAACAAAGTAAAACACATAAATATTTTATATCGATATTTATTCATGTTTCTACTATTACAATCTTGTATGTATAAATTATTCATCAGAATTCATCAAATCAAAGAGGCAATTGTTAACTTTACAAATACAATTATACAAATATAAATGAAAAATTTATATATTATTGGTGGGATTCGTATTAATTTCAAGTACTTGAATATCAAAAATATTAAAATAAGTTGTCTATGACAATTATTCTATAAGTACAAATCCATTAAAATTAAAAATCTGCAGATCGACATAAGTGTAAAATATCTTACCATTGGTATGCCACATGAGAAAAATTTAGCAGTTGGGCAGATGGGTCGTTATTTTCCTTATCTTTCATGAAGGAATCATCATGAAATAGCACTGAAGTAGACCAATTATCTGACTGATCCCAGTCCATGTCAATTTCTTCTTTGATGATAGTTCTCTGTACCATTGGAGGTATGATATCTTCTTCTTCAGGATCAATATCAAGACCTCTATAGAGAACTCTATCCGTACTCTGTATCTCATGATTCGATGACTTCCGGATCACGGTGCTTTCAGGTTGTAGCGTTGGCGTCAATTTGACAACTTCGTTATTGTTTAGTGTATCGGGGTTGGTTAAGATTGCCACAACAGAGGCTGCCGTCGACTTCCTAACACTTGTATCGTGGCTTCTTCGTTTCTTCGATGACTTTGGACCTGGTCGGTTAACACGTTGTTTCCGCTTCTGTTGACTCCTCGATTTCTTCATCGACTTGTTGTCATCGACGTCCTCGGCTCGTGGTTGCTTACACGATTTGGATCCAATATTGCGCATCTTCTCTTGTTTCTGAAAGTCAACCATCAGCTTGTGATTGGACGTATTCTTACGAAACTCTTTTTTTTGCTCTTTCGCAGCCAACAACATCTTACGACTCTTCGCACTGCATTTGTTCACTGCATCCTTAGTGGCAATGGAGAATATCAATGCAAACTTCTCTTCCCAAATAGACATTGTCTGTCGTCGATGGATCACATTGAATCCTGCATACTTGTATCGCATAGCGTTGAACTTATCCAGCATTTTTAGCAAATATTTTACACCATTGCTGTCTTGAGTCGTGGGGATTCCGTTGTCACTCCAGATTTTTATACACTTATCCACTACCATGCGGGCAATGGCGCGAGGTGTGTCCGTTGGCTGATTTCGACGACAATGAAAGTAATAGCGAAGCATGTCACCATTCGTTGGTAGATTTGGACCTTTCAGGTCGTCGATATCAAATTTCAAAAACAATAGTTCATTGGGGGACGACGATATCTTACTTGTAGCCATGGTGATGGCAGACGAACCGCACACTTACTCAAAAACTTTGATTTGTTGTCGGACGATTGGTCGAACTGGAATAACCACAAGGAAGCACTCTACTTATGATTATTCATGAAGAAAGCCGAGGGTATCTGTAAAATAAGATTAAAGTGTAGGATTAGATAGAGTGTTACAATCCAATGGCAATTCGTATAATCCTTCATAATAGTTCATAATGGTTGGTGTGTAGAGTATTTTAGTAATGGGTCACTCTTACTATAGTCTATATATATAGTTGACGCAAAGTTAAACAAATGTACAAAAATTTAATAGCATTTTCGTGATTTAGACAAGATAGCAACACTAATCTGCGGGGTAACTTAATCATCGGCTCTGACTTTCAAGCGATTGTAATTAAAATTAAATTTTAGAGATCATTTACATCTATATGTATTTATTAGTCTTCAATTTATATTTAAACACTCGCTTTAATGAAAAGGAAAAAAATTATTATTCTTGATTAATAATACATTTTTTTGTAGCGTCCACCGATCTCGTTGCTTCTTATATCCTTTATGATAATTTTATTTATAAATTTCATATCATTTGATTGTACGATATTTTTGTTCAATCTACTGTGATATATATATGTATATATGTTTGATTGTTGTTATCAGAAGCAACAGCACTCAATAAACATCTTACAAAAACATGAATATGTAATGTTTTATTAATAAATTAATAAACACACTTTACATCCACTACAAATAAATGTACATTACGATAACTTGCAAATACGCTTGGAAGTATTCTTTTTTATGAAATGATATAGATATAAGGATCATCATAAAACTAAATAGGAGAAGGAACCGCATTCTATATATGTATATACACTAGTCACAAATGACTAAATATGTTAAATTATTCCAGATACTTTTAGGTATTCTTATAACCGTTATAATAAATGAATTGTAAAAGTCGTATAATTTTAATTAAAACGTTAAAGTAAATGCAAAGCACAACGGTCATACAAATCGATGCAGAGTTCATACTAATATTTGCCGTGATTTTCTATCATAAAACTATATGCCATTAAATCGAGTATACAGTAATGCAAAATCCAAAATTAATTTTTACTACTGATTGGAAACAATTTTATCGCTGACACATTATCGTAAGTAGAACGCGCTGGAGTGACGTAGTTTACTCCCACGTATGCGCGAGTTCATATGGTGTACTTCACCTTCACTGTGTCGTTACAATAGCTCACACTGAAAAACACGAGCAACAGCTTTATCCAATCTTATCGCGTATATGATCGATATTATAGGTCGCGGTAATTTGTTTTTTTCTATTATCAACGTGTGCTGTATTTGACCGTGACTGTGCTATAGAATAACAGAAAATTCAAATTAAATCCTTAAGACACACTACGAGTGCTGATTAATTCTATTAAATAAGAATTAAGAAAATAGGTACGAGCCGTTGCATCAACTATAAAAATAAACTCCTCAACGTACGATGCAAGTCCTACGAAGAGCCGTTTGAAAAAAGTCTCAAGTGGTTTTACAATGAAATGATAGTGGAACTCTTCTTGTTTAGTTCCAAGGTATTTCGCTTCGACATCGACTTGTAAAAATGCAAAAAAAAATGCCCAATCATATATTTTATTGAATTTTATAAGCAACCACGTATAGTTTAATAGTTAGTCATAAAGTTTTGTAGTTCACGGAAAAACTTTATTCAGTCAACTTTTTTCTATTTCTTACTTTAAGGAAGGTCTTTTCTTAACAGCTTGATGGCCGTGGTAAGGGTTGTGGGAAGAATGATTAAGAATTCTATTACCTGTCAAACGAAAAGATCGCAATTAGTAACCGTACTGTGCCTGAGCAATAACGCCTTCATCACCTTTTTAATAGATATTTTGAAATATTTTGTCGTAATGCGTATTTTTACAGTAATATAATAAGTTATTTTTTAAATCAAAATATTTAGCGAATATCTAGCAACATTTGTGATAATCCGCTTTATAGTTATAAACAACGAATAAATTACGAATGAAATCTACGATATTTCGCTCATTTTTTTCCATCTGACAAATCTTGCACTTGTCAGATTGATAATTCGATCAGTCTTTCAATCGGCTTTTTCATCATATCAGTTACCATTTCTACTGATTTTTTTAAATGAAAAGTACGATAGTACAATTTTTAGAAATAACTCGTAATCAACCCTATACGTCCATGATTAACAATTGCTATGCCCGCAATTATTTTAGTTAAGTTAAAATAATCTAATATTGGAATAAAAATGTGGAATTTTTCGAATACTTTTTATGCGCGTTCTGTGGGTCAAGTCACGATGTATGTAAAAAGATTTTGCCTCCCACACTCCTATTTCAAAAGTGATAGGGAAAATTGATCTGCATGTTTTTCAAGACTTATGTGTACCTATGCAGAGTTCAAGTGAACTTAGTCCTCGAAGTAACAATAACAAATAATGTAGGGGATAACTTGTTCTGTGTTGATGAATTGAAGATATAGTACACGTGGTTTATTTTTTCTCTTTATTGATGTTTGCAAAAGTCTAGTATGCATTATGATCATGCATCTACTTCTGCAGATGTCATGTCTTCATAAGAAAATTACAAAATCTATTTCTATTATCGATTTAAGTGCCCAGAAAAAGGGTGGCAAATCAGCTTTTCTATATATGAGAAGCGAATCGCCACATATATATTTTTCAATATTTAACGTTAAGGATTCTATTCACGTATCTATTCTAAACTGTATGGACTTAGATTTTTAGGTTCAGAAGTAAATATGGCAGAGTATATACCTGGAAGTTTACAAGCATTTACATTCATTACACAAGCATTAAAGATGATAGTGGAGTTATGTGGTTTATAATGCCAGATTTAGTACAGTCGACATCTCGGCGTGACAATCGAAATTATAACGATACGCAATCTTTGACGCTTTTTGTATGTGTACATGGTTGTTATTAGAAGAATAAGTATTAACAAAATACTGGCTATAGAAAGTGACGTAAGCAATAAAAATATACCAACAACATGAAGGTGGCATTTCGAAGGGCCGACTTAAAAAAAAATTTGAAGTGATTTCGCGACCAGTATCTAAATTTTCGCAGTCTTATTATCTTCATAGTAATATTACGTTCTAAAAGAAATAATTGTTTATTTTATCATTTGCATAATTTTCATTAGAAGCTGAATCCAGTATCTGTAAATACTAGATACGCTTAAATAAAATGTCATTATTTTATATATTTTTTAATTTTAAAAGCGTATATGTAGTGCGTATTAGTAATATCGATAATATATTCATCTCACTTATCTGCAAATAAAATAACATTTTCAGATATTTTTTTCTTGGGTATAATATCACATCTCGTATTACGCCAACGCGACATCTGAGACTGCAAGAGTCCGCAGTCACAAATGTGAAATAGTAATAAATGCGCGAAAATGATAGAGAAAGAAGGAAAATAAATATATAGTTTTCAAATTCAATAAATATATGTATTTCACTGTTAATTGTCATAGCTGTTACACGTGTTTGTATACAAGTACTATTGTATAAAATGATATATTGAAATATGTTACATATGAAAACTTAAACAAATTTTAGTTCTAAGAAACTAACTTTCATTAGTATCCTCAGTATAAAGATCCATAATGAAAAATTCTTGAATTTTGTTAACAGCTTAAAAAAATAGCTATTTTCTATGCCAATATGAACAAACTTCTTAAATGATCAGTTTATCAACTGAAAATGATCACTTTGACACTACCATCTTGCATTCCAAAGTATGCTTTCTTTGCCATCTTAACAAAAAGTCCTGTTTCAATTAAGCCCGGTATTGACAGTAATTGTTGATTAACCATTGGCCAGTCAATAATTTTATCAGGAAAATGCCAATCTAAAATGAAATTTCCATTATCTGTCACCACTGGACCCTGCCATAAAAAGAAAAAAATGTAGTTTTCCATCTGTTGTGTGAGATGGAAAAATCATTTTAAATAAATGTACATATACAGCTTTAGCAACTGCCATTCTTAATTTAATCCTGCCACCAAAGTTGTTTTCAATTTTGTTCATCACAGGTACGTAAGCCATAGGTAAAACTTCTAATGGAAGTCCTTTTTTATATTGTTCTCCAAGATTTTTTGAATTCTTCCTGAAAAAAATTAACATATGACTATATATTCGCTAACAAACTATATTAATACAATAAGTTATCTATATTATCAAAAATTCTTACGTATAATCTGCTATAATGATTAAGTTATCTGTACATGAAGCAACAATCTTTTCTTGCAATAAGCATCCTCCCCCTCCTTTGATAAGATTAAGATGACAGTCAACTTCATCAGCTCCATCGATGGCACAATGTAACTAATAATAAATATTATTTCATTCAGTAATAATATCAAATATTTTATACCAACTCAAGTAAACTATTCAAAGGGATAAAATAAAGTTAGTTACCTTGGGGTAAGTTTCTAAGTCTCCTAACGTTAAATGATTGTTAATGATAAGTTGACGAGCTTGGAATGATGTGGGAACACACACTACACTAAGTTTTTCATCTCTAACACGTTCAGCTAAAGAATTTAACGTAAATAATTTGAATAATATCGTGATATTTTCATTCTGATTTTGTGATAGTTTGTCATATTTTGTCATATAATAACACAGATCCATGTAATTTTAAATGAGTTAGTGCACAAAAAATGTCTTTCATGACAAAACTGTCATGCAGACGTGATTATAATTATTTTTTGAAAATTATGTAATAGTTCGTAACAATATTTGCTGTTTTACATTTAAACCACAGTTAATTAACAGTATCAAATGGATAACAATGACAAGTAGTTCTTACCTAACCTCTGGACGGCATAAACAATTGTTGAACCACTACCAATGCCAATGACTGTATTATCCTAACAAATAAAATAAAAAATAAGTAGTCTCTTTATTAATAATTATACGTTTGAATACGTAAACAATACCTTCACGTGCTCGTCAACCGCATTGTAAGCCGCTGCTTTCTTGGCGCTTTCAAGGTAACTCATATTTACCGAATAGTATGCTTTCTTACAAAATCTGAGTAAAACTGATCTCTCATTCAAATTTATCTTGTAAAATGTTACGAAACGAGAAAATGGAAGAATTATTCCATAACGAGTACATTTCATAATATTTTTTCGGTTACACGCATAACTTATAGTATAGTCCATGCGCACACCACTCGATAAACTATACAGTTCCGCATGTTTCAGGTTTGGTGTAGATCTCAGAACCTAAAACATATTTTATTTTTGTAAAGGATTAATTAAATGTAAAGAAACTTAAAAATGACGAGTAGTTTATTTGATAAATTATCTCATTGTATAATTTGTTTATTTATTTTCTCAAAAAAGCTGATTCGGATTTATTTATTCAAAATTTAGGCCCCGGGGCCGTAGGTATGTATGTATGTATGTATGTACACCCAACGTGGATTGAATCGCGACCCCCCCAGTTAGGTTGGTATGAGAATTCCGTCGTTGCATTGAACGAAGAAACCGCGGGAAAATTCAAAAATGAAAATTCGTTTTAAGATACGATAAAAAGCTAAAACGTTACTAATTTGTTTTTAGGTTTAAAATTAATTGTTCGCCGAACAATGAATTTAGATGCATGATTATTTGATTTTAGGTTTTAATTATATAATTTAAGAACGAGCGTTATATTATGGCCGATTTGAAAACCACCGTTACGGACTGAAAGTAGCACTCATAGTCTCATACCAACCTAACTGGGGGGGGTCGCGATTCAATCCACGTTGGGTGTACTTATGGGACCGAGGCCTATGGGACCGGTGTCTTAGGGATTTAATGACGCGACAAAAATTTTACCGATTGGCTATTGGCTAAAGAAAATGGAAATATTGTAAATTGATTCATGTTGTTTTCTGATATAAACGTGGTATTCGTATTATGCAATTTGAAATAAGGTGGAATAAATTATAACTCAAAAGAATTATTTCATTTTTATGTTATTTATTTTAAAATGTGCAATACAATTTTTACGTGATTATTTAAATATTATTCAGCCGTTATTTTTTATAAAAATTATAAGTAATAACATTTTTTTTAATATCGACACAAATTTATACGTAACTATAATGAGAAAAAAAATTTGTTAATTTGATATCCGCAGTTTTTTTCTCGAAAAGAATTTATTTCAATTTACAATATTTTCTATCTTTCTTGAAAAAAGCATATACTATACATAGATTCTTTTTGATTTCGCTATATTTCTAAACAGTTTCATCATTCTTTTTAGATAAATAAAAAAATCAACGTTAAACTCCTCGTGGCTTTGATGAAAATCATCTATTCTATTCTATAGGGTGCATTCGATTTAGCCGTACCGTATGTATGTATATAAGTACGCACATGCATATATATTGTTCTTTTCATTTGTTTTGTCATTTTTATAGCTATCGCAGTTCCTATCGCAGTACGGTAGTCGACCGCATGTGACATTATCAGAAAATTCAACATGACGTCGCTGGCTGTGCCGGTTGCAGTGAAATTCGGTCGTCTTGCAATTGAAAATGTTTACCACACGAGCAAAAACCTCATTCTGCGGTATTTTTGTATTTCCTTTTAATCATTTCTATTAAAATAAAATTTGGCCTGCCTCAGATATTCTAATTGAATATGTTAAAAATTTGAGGTTAAGTGTTATCTAATAGAATGAATCTTATCTTTAAATATAATTTGTACAAAATACATTTTTGTAAAATTATCAAACCAAGTTAGTAATTTAAAAAAATGTTTATATTACTGTGAAAAATTTGTTGGAAATATAATCAAAGATATGTGAAAATATAATTCCACATTAGTCAATAAAATAATGTTATAATATGATGTAAATTAAAACATAAAATAATCTAGCATTATACTGAACATAAACTATCCTTATAATATTTTTAATATTTTAGATAAACAAAATTATATTGATATTTAAGTTTTAATGATCTTAAGTAATAAAAGTTGATAATTTAATATTACTTTAAGACTAATTAATGATTATTTTTTTTAGGCCAGCAAGCAGTTCTACAACATTTGTTTCATTAAAAAAAAATTTTGGCACAGCAGCAGAGGAACAAAGTCAATCTGACCAACAAATTGTTTCAGAAGCAGAAAAGAAATTGAAAGCTGAAATTGAATTGTTAAGTAAAGAAGTTGTTGAACTGAAAGAGAAAAATGCAGAACTTAATGACAAGTACAAGAGATCTCTTGCAGATAGTGAAAACCTCAGAGTGAGATTAACAAGACAAATTGAAGATGCGAAACTTTTTGGAATACAAGGATTTTGTAAAGATTTACTAGATGTAGCAGATATCTTAGGAAAAGCGACAGAAAGTGTTCCCAAAGATGAAGTTACAGAAAGAAATCCTCATTTGAAGAGTCTGTATGAAGGTTTAATCATGACTGAAGCACAGTTGCACAAAGTGTTTAAAAAGCATGGTTTAGTATCGCTAAATCCTTTGGACGAAAAGTTTGATCCTAACCAACATGAAGCTCTATTCCAGCAGGTATCTAGATAATTTCGTTTGAATTGAACCTTGTGTGTCTTTTAAGTAAATTTTTTTTTTTTAAATGTTAACATTTTTGTTTGTAGGAGGTTGAAGGTAAAAAACCAGGAACTGTAGTTGTTGTCTCAAAAATTGGTTACAAGCTTCATGAAAGGATAGTGCGACCAGCATTGGTTGGTGTTGCAAAGGGATAAAAATTGTATTATTTCACTAGAATCAGTTTTTTGTTACAAGAAATTTTTTTTAAATAATCTTATTTTATCATAAAAGTGACATTCTAGATAGCTATGTAAAGTGTATAAAAATAAGCATATAACGTATTTCATTCTTAGTATTTGAAATGTTAATGCTGTACATTACAAATTGAAAATAATTATTTGTTAATAAAAGACAAAATTAAGTGAATATTGTGTTTTGAGGATTGTTATATAATTAATGCAAACAATCGACAAAATAACGAAAATCATGTATTGAAACTTACATTATAAAGTGTACAAAAATATAAATAATACATTTAAGAGTAAGCTTTCATTTGAAAGTTCAACATCGTTCAAACACTCTGTACAAATCAGGTAGATTAGCGATTTCTAGAATACTTGAGTCATGTGCAAAATGCTGTGGTGGCAGTAAACTTTCTTTGATAGCACTATATAAAATGTGCTCTGTTGTATGTTGCCAAGAATCGTTGGTGGTGTCTATTTTACTATAGAATCTCGCAGTTTCGCGACAAATATCATGGAAACATGGTTTTTCTTTACTCCAATCCACTTCAGTTGATAATCTCAACAAATATAATGGGAGTTCTGCAGGATTAGGAAAATAATTTTCTAAAAACAAGAGATAATTCAATTCAATGCATATCATAACAAGTAAATCCATTACAAAATTTTATTACCTAATAATATTGGTAAAGATTTAAGCTGGCCTTTCTTATCAATGTAAATTGAAAAATACTGTCTTAACATATCTGCCTTTTCAAGTAATAGTTCCTGAACACGTTCTGCCAATTCTTCCTTCTCTCCTATTTCTTCTGTCCAGCCAGCTTCTTCACAATCAAGTCCAAGTACAGCTAGGTCTTTAATTTGCAATGGTTCCTGTACTCATAAAATGTTGATTATATTAAAAATTGATCATTTCATGACGATAAATTTAAGAAGACATTGTTTTAATTTACTGAAAATTTTATAACTCCATAGTTGGCAAAGTCATACAGCATTATTTCATAAAATAGTTCCTCCCTGGATGAAATTTGAAAAACAAAGCATTTCATATAATTACAACCAAAACAATAAATAAATGGTATATAACTTTTAAACTCACACAAGTTCTCGAGTATTAGTAATATACAGCTTTGTTCCACTTTGAATTAATGCAAATGTTTCATTAACACAGCCAACAAAAATTAGTTCAGACAAAATTTTACGTAGAACTGCATGATATGTGTCTTCTACTTCTTTTCTAAGTGTTAGAATACTTAGTAATTTCGTTTCAACTTGAATTTCATTGACTGAATATGATTTGAATTCTACAAGAGGTCTACATTCTGGAATTGCATTCTCATTCTCTGCATTTTCTTTTGTTACCTTTTTAGAGCAACTATGATTATTTTCAGGGGTTCGAACATCAATATTTGCTTGGTCTGATGATTTTGTTTTACTAACATTCTTACTTGGTTCACTTACATTCTCAATTTCGTTTCTAGCACATTTCACATTTTGTATAACAGATAGTTCAAGTTTATCCTGCTCTAATATTTCAACAGCTGGATTTGGTTTATTGGTTTTTTTAGATGTAATTAAATCAGATGCAGTTCTGAAAATACCTATTCCTTCATTTTCCAATGCTGATGTATTATCATTAAAAAGTAACTTTTCAGGACGTAAAAGCTTCTTTGTATTTTCTAGGTTTTGTATAATTCTATCAGTTCTTGCATCATCCTTATCAACAATTTCATGAATAAAATTAAACTTGTCAAGCTTTTGATCTGTTGAACTGGTACGAATCATATGTTTCGGATAAACTTTTTTAGTTTTATCTTTTTCTGCATCATTTTGAGTTTCTGAGATTGCTTCTTGTGTCAAATCTAATTTTGGAAGTTTTGTAGAGATATAAAAAGTCCTAGATGCATTATTTGCTGCAAGTTTTTCATCAAGAGCAATTTTGATTTTCTCAACTATAATATCCTCATGAAGAAATCGAACTTCATGCTTTGTTGGATGCACATTAACATCAACATTCTGAGGATCTATTTCTAGGGAAAGATAACACCATGGATGACCTTTTTTAGGTAAATAAACTGTATAAAGATCTTCAATTGTTCTTTTTATTGCTGAAAAAATTATTGGTCAATTAATAATTTTCTAACTAAATTAAAGGCTATAATATATATAAATTTATGTACACATCCTAATTACCAGATGAATCAACAAGGCGATTATTAATAAATAATAAAAGAGTCATTTTCTTGTTTGAATAGTTTGCATTAGTCACAAATGCGTGAAGTTTAAAATGATATGTTTTATCATCAAGTTCAATTTCTAATAATTCCCTAGCAATACAATTTCCATACAGAGTGCGAATGTTATTCACAGTTGTAGACGAATGTGGAGTACGTACATCTGTTGATGATTGACCATACTTTTTCAAAGTAAAGCCAACGTTAGGATTGTGGACTGCATATTTAGTGACAACTTCTGAAATTCTTGAAAATTCCTCAGAATGGCTTGATAAAGCTTTTCTTCTGGTTGCCACATTATAAAATAAATTTTCTACTGTAATTATAGTTCCTTGATTACCAGCAGTAGGAACTGGTGATGCTTTAGGCTTACCATCTACATATATTGCTCTATAATAAAATACATCTGGTTTACGAATATAGCAAATAATAAAAGATTTTAAATAAATAATCGTTATTACTTGTAAGCACATTTTTCACTAGCTGTCTTTGTTGTTATTGTGAGTTGTGCAACATGGCTAATACTAGCTAAAGCTTCTCCTCTGAAGCCAAAAGTTGAAATAGCTTTGAGATCATCAAAATTTTGCAATTTACTTGTAGTGAAACGTTCACAAACAATGTTCATGTCCTCTTTTCGAATACCAGTACCATTGTCCTGGATCTATTGAAAGAACAATTGTTTTTAAGCAATCAGTAGTAGGGTATATTTGATTTTTATTTTTACAGGCAAATTTAAAAACAAACTTGTAGTAACTTGAGGCCACCTTCTTTTACTGACACTTGAATATTTGTTGATTTGGCATCAAGGCTAAAAATTACAGTGTCTTTTTGAAAATTGAAAAATGATGTAGTTTGGCCTATGATTGTTAAATAAGTTTACCTGTTTTCTATTAACTCTTTTAAAGCATTTGCCGGTCTTTGGATAATTTCACCAGCAGCAATGCGATTAACAACCACTTCATCAAGTTTTCTTATTTTACCTGGGGTTTCTACTGACATTTTAACGATTTATGTTAATAATCACGTTTTGGAAAGAACCAAGAAGCAAAAAAAACACACGTTAAAGATCATTTTCTCCCGTATTTTGAATTTATTGTATGGCACATGATCGAGGTTATATATGTTACATGCGCGCGCCGCAGGGCCGTATATATATTACATTAATTTAATTTGAATTGAAAAGCAACCGTCGTACGGTTGCCAAGACGACGAGTAAAGACAAATTTACAAACATTTCGACGTTTTCATCGATTGCATGATGGCTGAGTTGCATCTAATAGGAACAATCACATCGGCAAGGAACTTTCAACGATCTCGCTTGTTTTGCAAGTGGAGTTTTTCGACTGGTAGTATATTTTTTCTTGTAACTTAAATTTAAAGCTGTAATCTTTTACATTATAAAAGAATACGTCGCGAAAAATCACTTATTTAAAAATAGAAAATCATGGTTATTGACGACCGTTACTATTTTGTCGCTCTTTCATGAGTGTGCGTGTTACTTGGCCTTTTTTAGGCAGTGGATGGAAAATTATCAACGGGAATGACGAGGGACAAACGCAAGAATGCTGTGACCCATATTCCAATGAACCAATTTGGGATCATCCTGTAGATATTCACTTTGCAACGCAGACCTTGCAAGGATCTCCCAAAGTCTTGTTGCAAGTATTTTGCAGGGACGAATTCAACAGGATATTATTCGTTTCTTATGGAACTTGCAGTATTCCTTTGAAGCCCGGTTTTCATTCTGTTGAGTGTCACACTTGGAAGCCAATAGGTAAATTGTTTATAACTACTACCTGTAAATTACTTTGATTCGGTGATTATTTGAAATGATTCAGGTAACTGGCATGACAGATTAAAGGACAAATTCTTGGGTACAACATTGCAATTGAAATCTCCAGACGTATTAGTAAACGCCGACGATAGATTTGAACTGCTCACAGAAAGTATGGGTACAATTCAAATTGATTTGTATGTGCTTGTGAGAAATTTCGACAAGTTTGGCTGTCATTTATGACCTGAAAGATAGGGTATGGCGTAAATTAATCAAGATGGGTAAAATTAACAAAGTTCTTCTCATTGCGTATCTGATTTCTCTCTCCACTTGCTTATTTGGAGATCAAGGAAACGAGGCGAGCGACGCTTGTGTAAATAGTTCATTTTGTGAAAATACAACTATTGCAGATTTTGCCGGCGACGATATATTTGAGAATATAAATATTAAGGAGTTAGCAACGAGTATTTTTAAATTTCCGGACAATACAAAAACCACAAGTACAACTGAGAGTAGCATAGATAGCGAAGTAGATCTTCAGCAAAATTTAGAATCTTCAAAAATTCAAGAGATTTTAGAAGAGAGATCCAAGAATAAATTTTGTGGTTGTGATTTAACCGTAAGTCGCGAAATCATGTATCTTCACTTTTCTGTTATGACACAATGCCAATAATTGTTCTTCTTTAGACTAGCGTTTGCGATATCAACTGTTGTTGCGACTTGGATTGTACAGAATATCATTACAAAGTTTTTTCGACCTGCGTCGATCGCGAAATTGAGAAAGAAAAAGACACATGGTATTGCCGTGACAAACCGTTTTTCCGGAAAAACGACACGAGATTTATCCTGGAAAAGGTTGCCGATAGTTTATTTTGCATTGCCTCTGATAATCTTCCTCCTGTATACAGTGCGACTAGTCATTTGGTAAATTATTTATTGTATTTACGCGACTTTTCATTTCTTTTTATTACACTTGTTTTTGTTCTTAGCAAATTGAAGATGAGAAAAGTTTTAAAAAAGTTATCGATAACAACAAGCCATCCAGATTCAAATGGAAACTTGACGCAAAGAAAATAGATCTGCCAGAATATAACATCACGAATTCGTACAAATACGCCGATGCATTATGGAAAATCCATAGAAATTCTTTGCAACTTTTCGGTAAGATTAAATAAATCGCAATCGAGATAAGTTGTATAACTCGAGTAAAAATATTCCTTTATTCCAGAGCTTCCACAGACCGGTTTTGGCGAAGAATGTGATTTCAGAAAAACTGTCAAATTCCTCGAAGACTGGAAAAGTTCTTGTCACCAAGTTTATCTCAATAACAAGAACGCATTTCTTTTTCCAGCTAATTTTAGTCAAATTAACGTACTTGCTCAGCCATTGAAATTCAATCCGCAGCATTTGCTTACAAGCTGTCCGAAAAACGTTTGCCAAACAGCTAACGCATCCTATTGTGCCGAGTCATGGACATCATGTAAAACCAACAAGACTGTTCAGGGTTTCTGCACGGAAAATGTTTGTAACAATGTAGCTAAAAAAGTTAGATACGTTATTTTTCATAACGGAAGCGAGGGCATTAAACATATCGAAGTATACTTTCAACTAGCTAACGTTAAGAGTAGTTTCAAACAAGAGATCGAAGTACAATACAAGTGGGTTAATTTAAATCGATCTTTGATATTTGAAAGAAGTGGAAATCCCGGATACATTGGTGGAAAGCCAATTTTCATCGGAACCCAAGTTTCGAACAAGACTGGCGAGGTAGAGGAGAAGTACATAGTTTTCAACAAAACTCGTCAACACTTGACTCTGCCGATAGCGGACAAAAGTGGGATTTGCAGCGAAGTTGACAGATACCCAGTGAAGTTTTTGGAAAACATCAAGTTAAGATGTTCGGTCGTGGTGAAGTCAAACTTCTCCACATCGGCCTGTATCAAGTTGCAAAACCATACTTTCGAGGCGATCATCGATTTTATGACGTTGAAGAGATTTGAAAAACCGACCTTTGATAGGCAATTCGTTTCCAAGACCGGTAACGTTTTCGACAACGACACCAACAGTTGGGCTAAGATGTTTATTGATAAAGTTCCGCAGAATGTCATCACCGCACAATTGCTGGAGAATGAAATTCAATGTTCCGGAATAGTGACATCAGTTGCATTTAATATCGTACATTCGTTGATGTCAAAACCTGGCATAAATAATAATCACGTGATTTTGGGAGTTGGCGTAACGTTCTCCGATGAAGTTGACTTGAAGTGGCCCAAGTGTACTGGCAGAAATTGTCAAGAGACATTGCAATTGGAACTCGTAAGTTTCGTGTCTTTTCATGATGTCTCTCGACCTACACGCTATCATATTGCTGGTGGGCCTAATTTAGATATAAGTTTGCCTTACGACTTTTTTTATCCGTTTTTGAGTCACTCAAAGTCACACGCACCTTTTCTATATAATTATTTCAGTTTTAAAGCTAGTATTTTTGTGTGTTTGATTTTAATGTCTTAGATTTTAAGTCGATGTCGAACAAGGAATTTCGAAGTGTGTTCGTTCATATATCCTATAAGATTTATAAACTTTCTGTATAGTTGACGGTTTTAAATGGAATTTGCGATGAAATGTAAATTAATGAAATAAAGTGATTTAAAAATTATTAAACCAATACGTTTATTGTAAATAATAACATTTTACATTTGTAAAAGTAACATTATCATCATGTATTCTTACATTTATGAATCGTTTTATAGAAACGTTATGACCTTAGGAAACTTTTCATCAAATTTCAAAAAACGAATGTAAAAAATTATCGGCTTATTTACATGTTATTAGAAACTACAAAGATTTCTTATTAAAAAATTTCAAACTAAGACAGCTGATACGATTGTGAGAAATTTTGAATAAACAGTGTAAATAATAAATAATTAAATGTAAAACTATTACACTAAATGTATAGAATGCATAATTGTAATTTCTGCATAATTTACATAGCATCAGCATTTGGAGGACCACCAAGGTAAAGACATTTTTTTATAATTTCCGAACATTGAAACATTGCAAGGACCTTGTAAAATGCATTTATATTTTACAACACGGATTTTTAAAATTGAATAATTAATACTATGTATAATTTAAACAAGACAAATAACACGCTCTTAGAAATTAATACTAGACCACTGCAATATTTTCAAACCTTAAATACAAAATCTAATTCAACACATTATACTAATAAAAATTGAATTATGTTAGTATTGATATGCCCTTCATTAAACAAAAACAACCAAGCTTCGAAGATGGTGTGTGACATCAAACGTATACATTTCAACATGAGGATCCAGCCTCTTAAGCTACAATAAGGCTTTGTTGGCCAAACAATACAAAGACAAGATCTTTTAAGTCGTTGCTGGTTATATGCTAGTTTTTCCTGTCTGTAATCAGATGCCATGATTTTAATCAGCATGTTTTGATTGGTAAGTTTGTCATTGCTATTTTCTTTTTGTCATTGTTATGTTCGCTTCATTATTCTAACCTTTTTTCGCCATTGCAATACCGAAGCCTAAGATCCCTGCCATACCCACAATGATTCCTCCTGCAATTGCCATACCTTTCAGACCCTCTGAAAATTGAAAAGAAACACTTATAGCAGCATCCAAATTGTGGATTAATAAATTTTGTTCGACATTAAAATACTAATCATGGAAAAATTACCTCTGTCCATTTTTTTCTTTATTAGTACTTCCAAGCGCTGTACTTGGATATTTCCAGGTTCTATCAAGAGAAAACTTCTAACATATTGCAATGCCTTTGAATATTCCTGAAAAAATGTTTAATATACAATCTTGCAAAGTAAGTATCCTGTATATAATGAAATAATCACTACCTTGATTCTAGCATTGCCAATAGCAAGATAATATAAGCAGTCTCTCTTTTCATTATCCCCATTTTTGCCATACAAATCGTGTAATAACATTATTCCTTTTCTTATATCTGTGGAGTACTTGCTGCGAACCAAACACCACGCATATTGAAACTGAATTTTGTGATCAACTACGCCTTTTAGTAATTGCTCATTGTATTCACATTCAAATCTCTGAAAATAATTTACATTAATATTGTAAGTTTATGCTAAATTGTGGTAAATTATATTAGTACACAGAGAAAAAATATTCATTAGTTTCTTTTAATCAATGATAAATCAAAGTTCTTATCATGTCAAACGACGTAATAGGTCAGATTTGATATTCAGTCTTGAATTCAAGACAGTTAAGTTCCATTAATAAGTGCATTGAAATGATTTTAGAAGTGACTCATCCATCATGAAATAAGCGTAAATTCATTTTGCAAAAGTAATTAATAGGATTTTCATTATTCCAGAGTATTTTATGTTAATTTATTAAGTTCGGTGCACATAAATAAATAAAACGTTAATAAATACATTTCAAGATAACTAATTTGACATGAAACAAATTTTTACTGTTTACGAACTATAACCTCTAAAAAACTTAGCATACTTTTGCATTATATTTGAAAGCACGAGAAATCGATAATAAACGATGCCAAATAAATTTGTATATATTTTTCGTACATTTGCAAATCTCTCAAAAATTATTTAATTTGCAACAGCTTACTTTTAAATCTTCGTGAGAGACGATCTCGTCCAATACGTCCTCCATCTTGCCGTTGACAACAAAAAATATGGCGTTTTTTTAATTAGAGATGTCGCTCTACTTCTTAGGTTAGGTTGGAAGAACTGCCAGATAAGGTTGGGTTTGTTTTTATATCGTCCGCGCAGAGTTTTTTTTCGAACTTATACCGCGTGTTCTGAATGCACGTTTGTGAAAAATGATAATTTGGTACTGGAAATTGATATGACAGTGCCTTCAGCCTACGCCAATTAAGAGCTAGGACGCCAATCTTCAAAGTGACGCGCAATACGCCCAGGTCATCTTATTTTTTCATTGAGAAAAGAATAACCAAAGATTTAGATAGAAGCAGGTGGTCGTGAAAATCGTTGTCAGAACGGGTTGTTGAAATAATTAGTATGGAGACTAAAGTACAGGTGAAAAATGAACCACAAGAAACTTCGGAAACTGAGACTCAAAGTAGGTTAACATTATGCTATTTATTCTGTTTTATAAATTTATTTAAAACACGTATATATAAAAGTAGCAAATATTTCATTTACAGTTCAGATTCAGTAAATTTGAAGATAATATACGATATATGTAGTTATTTAATGCTAACGTCATATCATTTTTAGTTATATTTTTTATTTTTTTTTTTCAAATTTGACTTATTAATTTTTTATTTACAGAAAAAAAACTTGCAGAAGATAGTAGTGACAGTCCTCCAGCAAAGAGAGAATGTCTTGTTAAATCCAAAAATCCACCATCTGAAACTACAATATTACCTCCTCCACCTCCTCCATTGCAATTATTTAACATGTTCTTTGAGTTATTCTATGATGGACCATATGATTTGACACTGTCCAATCGTTCATGGGGTATTCACAGAGTTCCACCGCCAAATCGAGCTATTGTTTTGTCAGAAATAACATTTGCTTTGTTCAACATAACAATGTCACCTTCATATAAAAAACAAGTAATATAAGTTTTATTAAATATCAGTAAATAAATTATTTCATAATTAAACTCTAATAATAGTTGTGATTTAATTTTCAGGTAATTTTAACTGATCATTTGAAATTCAAAGCCTTTGTGTTAGATAAGCTAGTGGTAGAAAAAACTCTAGATATTGAAAATACTCAAGAAGATTTTGAACAATCTTTTGCGGAAGTGGTAAATATGGCAGTTTGTAAAGGAGGACCCAACATTGAAGATGATCAAGAAATATTGTTAAGATATGGATATAAAGACTTTTATAGTAATCGATGGAGACATGAATCATGTACAATAATAGTTGAGAAGGGAGATGAAGTATGTAGGCCATGTTCATACTTAGATAAATATTTTCAAGAGTGGCTAAAGTATAATTTAAAAGATAAAAAGTAGAAATAATAATATGAGTATATTTTAGTTCAATGAAATTCTAGTCTACATTGAAATCTTCAGATTATTAGATTTGATCAGTATTTTTTATACATAATATTGTGTCCTATTAGTTAAAGTGAAATCAAGGCATTGTTAAAATGCATATAAATGAAAAGCTTAAAAAGTTGAGAAAAAACTGTTTTTTTCTATCATTATGAATTCTAACATATAAGTATGTGTCAACAGTATATTATATTTTCTCACAGTATTTTAGTAACCATTAATTTTTTTAGTCAATGTGCAATATAAGACTTCTGTAACGTGTATTTTTGTAGTATTATGTATTATTGACTATACTAATATTTATCACAATATGTATTAAACTTACAGATTACCATTTGTAAGTACTCTCATAGTTGTCATTTTCATTGTATTTACAGTGTGTCATACTTCACAGAATAAGTTGTTCAAATGTTTTATTGTGGAATAAAGCGGCAAACCCACTACTGTATAGAAGTCTCCATTTATTTTTTCCACAAAACAACCTCCAACTCCTTGTATTCCATAGCCTCCAGCTTTATCTCTGTAAATAAAAATTATTAAGTTAACTTTATTCAAGATGTTTCCAACCATGTTTTAATTGTCCAAAAATCTCACAATGGTTCTCCAGTTTCAACATAAGCATTTATTTGATCCATAGATATATTTCCAAATGTGACTTCTGTGGAGTTCCAAAATTTCACTTCTTTTTCCAGAGTTTTTAGACAAACTCCAGTAAAAACAGTATGAGTTTTACCTGCAAGGCTGAAAAACAAATATGAAAATTACATCATTACACTTTTAAAATTAGTTGGTACAATTCACTTACAATGACAGTGTTGTAAATGCATCTTTCTTATCCGTAGGCTTTCCATAAATTTCATTTCCTTTGGTAACAATAGTATCAGCTCCAATGATTAGAGACACTGCACTATCACTATTTTCTTTCAGACGTTTAAAAACATCTTGAACTTTATGTGCAGCCAAATCAGCAACAAAATCACCATGATTTTTATAGTTACTCCGATTTAATTTTTCATCAAATGTTGATGGTATAATTTCAATCTTTAAACCCTATTTAATTGAAAAAATCATTAAATAATATAAGATATCATATTAACAATATATATTTTATACTATAAAAATGTATTTAATGTTGAACAATATAAATTATTTCGAAAACGTACTAAATTTTCAAGAATTTCTCGTCTTCTCGGTGAGCCACTTGCTAGAATGACTCTTCCTTCTAACAGACTTTTTGTAGTAGACTGTAACATTACTTATTATCAATATTATTTAAACAAACACGATACATTAAAGTGACTTCTTTGTTGAGGTCGGCTTTACTTTTATATTAAACTAAAAATAGGTTAGAAAAATATCAACATGTTTTTAGATGACGTGATATTATCTTGTAACGTATTATCTTATCTCACTCGGAAAATTTTCCAACGTATTAAAACAAAAATTATGAAAATATAAAATCTTTATTTAAAACATTTTTTTTTCGGAAAAGATTAATAAAAAGAAAATTAAATTAAAAAATGTCATCTTATACTTTGATATTCCAATTTCAATTTTTTGAAACATTTATTTTTACAAGAGTGCGTACACTGAAAGGTTGTTAAAATTTGTTCAAGTCAGGGAATAATATAAGCCAAAATATTGGTATACAAATTCTTTATTTATGTTTCAGCAGATCAGTGTTAAAAAGAAGTGATAGGGGAAAAAAGTTTTCATGACAAATTTCGAGTATATATGGCTTATCAAATTTTACATTTCGTACAATATTATTCCATAAAAAATACGCAACAATTTTTCAAAATGTCTTTAACTTTCCTTCTACATTATATTTTTGCAAAAAGCGAAAGAATGTATTGAGTACCAGAAACTGTAAGTTGTATTTAAAAATGTAGTAAGCATTTGTATCAAACTTTGTTGCGTAAAATATATTGTAGTTCTGTAAATATTTGAAGTGTTATTTATTGAAAAAATCGAGGTAAAGTATCGTCAGTAAATAGTGACAAAATTGTCTATAATACCTTGTGTACATATTCAAAGTTGATTTGCATGATATATGTAAGTCTATGTTTCGAATTTTCGAATCCCAAAAATATGTGAACAGCAACGTTAATAAAAAATTTAAAAAAAAATTATATAAACATATATAAAAAGGTTTGAAATTTACATAAATACACAGTGACAGTTTCCATTTGATATGCGCTTTAATTCAGAAATTATGATAATACGATGATGATGATAATGATAAAATACAACTAATAATATAACTAAAAAATAATAATCGCCACTATGACTCTACGATCTAACAAAATTATTAAATATTTCCTTTATACATGTACTACATTCTTGTATTTTAAATTCATTAATTTATTTACTTATAATTTATTTATATGTATATGTTCATAATATTTGCTTATATATTTATCTCATCTCTATATTTTTGTTCCAATGAATGTGGAATATTGTGTTAATTATGTATAATTCAACACTCGCTAAATGATTTCGTGCTAAGCTAAAATCAAACTTTGTTCTTCTAGCTTATAGAATCTTAACGTAGATCACCTAAAAATATGCATCGTAGAATCAACCGGTTCTGCTGTTAATTTATCTTATAACTACAACAAACTTTGTAGCTCAACTTATCAAAAATTAATAAAGCACCAATATATATAACAATAAATTGTAAAGTTCATCAATCGTTTAAAAAGGAACAACTGAACTGCGGTGAAACTTTCCTTTCTCTTGTTACTTGATGTGTACCACACAAAAACAGTCTATCAAAAATGTCAAACATTAAGTCTTAATTTCACACAAATTGGTATTTAGAGAGTATGTATATGGTTCGCATAAAAAGTTCGGAACTGGGTATAGCTGTATAGTCTAAAAGTTATAACTGTCAAAATCTCATTACGAATGTTTTTCATAAAATCATCGGAATTTTCGATATCTCAAGTCTTTGTAGTTTTGTAAGAATTGTAAGGCTTTTCCTGACGTGTACCTTGACCTTTAAAACTTACGTTTTGTTTTTATATCGTTGACATGCTAGTTTAGTATAAAAAAGTGTGTACAAAAAAGGCACTTTACATGACGTTATACATTGAAAAAATAGGAAGATAATTATTAAGTCAGCTACATCTTTTTCCACCTGAATAGTAAAAACCATAGAGTCTTTTTCATTGCGCTGAACTGTCAGATTTTTTTGTTCGATTGCACGAAATCATTAGCGAGTATTTAACATCGCACGTTAAACTGAAGCCCCACGATTCAGTAAATAGGTATCTAAATTTGTTATGCTACCCTGCCTTTTTTCTTAACGGAGCAAGTGTTTTTATCTCTTAAAAGTCGTAATTCTTCGCTTGTCTAATGCTCGTTAGCGCAACATTATTTGATACTGAGCAAAGAATTGCGGAAACGCACTTAAAAATGCATCGGGTCTGCAATTCTGGCAGAATATTTTAAACATGTCAACCCACGCTGTCACCCATGACTTCTTTATCCGACGTCGTTTTTGTCTCTTCAACGAGATTCGTCGGTGTTGATGTACCTGGATCATTTTCCATATCAACGAATATCTAAAAATATCAGGTTTTTCATTAAATACTCATGTTACACAAGTGTATATTTCCAAAAAAGTACTTTACCTCGTAGTTTGTTCTATCATTGCATGAATCTTGATTAACTTTGTCTGTCGTACCTGCTGCAAAAAACATAAAGATGAAATTTCAAGCTCTTTATAAACTTTGGCAGAAATGTTACATATTAAAAATAGATGTTATACTTACCATAGTTATTTTGCGTTGTGATTTCGGATGACGTAGAATGTAAATCAGTCGCTTCTCGACGCTGCGCTTCCGTATCGATTGCGTGAAGCCTTTCCCGACTACGTCGTAGTTCTTTCCGTAATCTTTCTCTTTCTTCGTCTCTTTCTTTAACGATTTTCTGTAAAATCATTGTGAACATTATTGAAGAATCATTTTTAAATAATGATATTGAAATGATAAGATCATAATGAGTTTACAATATCTATAGATCTAAGAAAATTTATAAATTCAAGAAATACTTACAAGGAGCTGAGAGAGTTGCGACGTGAGGGTATTGCAAAGAGGTTGGAGTGTAGAGACTGGAATTGTAGGCTCAAGATTACGAGGATGTGGTCGTGGAGTTGGACAACCCGTAGTCTCACAACCAACGGCCGGAGCAGTCAAGCTTTGCGTGGCGAGCACAGACTCTGTCTCACTGACTGTCAATGCTGTATTCAACAGCTCAATCAATTGATTCGCTGTAATATTTTTTCAATAATAACACCAGAACAATAAATATTTCCTAGTTTCAGGCCGAATATTAGCGAAATATTTACCTTGACCAATAGCTGTAAGTATAAGTTCAGATGGCTCTTTCTCGACACCCGAAAGCTCCGAGGTAGGTTCAGCTAAATGTTCTACGTCTGACTTTGGAATATTGAGTATATTTGCGACGATGGATTGCTTTTCGATGAGCGCTTGCTTTATAACTTCATCCTTTCGCCGCAGTGACTCTGCAATATTATTTCAATTAAAATTATTAATCTAAACGAAAATCAAAACTATTAAGAATAATACACACCAATAGGAGTCAATACAGGTTCAGCTAGATGCACAGACCTCTCCTCGACATGAACCTCGAGCGGGTCGATGAGCGAGCACTGTGTGCATGTAACCAATCGAACATTTTCAGTTAGATTAGTCGACGCAGCGGCAGCAGCAGCATTTTCATCCTGGTCTGACTTCGCAGCAGCTGTAATCTTGGTAGCTTCATCCATAGTCTCGATTTCATCGCGAGATGTCGATGATGACGCCTCGATTGACTCGCCCGATTGTCTGGCTGGAGTTGGTGTCGTTGTTGCTGTTATTGACGAATCTGTCACTGATGGAGCTTCTTTTTGCTTATCCTGCTCGGCTTTATCGTTCGCACGAGGCTCACTTCCAGTGTCCTGCTGTATTTTTATTCATAGAATTAATTGGTTGATATTTTTTTGTTCGAACGATTCTGGATAGACAAATAAATATTTACCAATTGTGTAGACGTAGCAGTCGCAGAACTCGATTCGGGAAGTAATTGGTCTTCAGCCGACTCGGCGAGTTCATTAGACGACGAACTCGGTGGCATAGACCTCCTACCATCCTTATCTCTTGATTTATGCACCTCAGCAGCCTCGGATATGTGTTTATACCACAATATCCTTTCCTCGGATGATGAGGCAACAAGATCGTAGATCTGTGCGCCATTCTGAGATGTATTTACGAGATAGAGCGAATTCTTATCGACAGCGTTCTGTCTGACGAGAACAGTCGACACCCTGACGATTGGACTCAGCACTGAGTTCATCTGGTTGATGAATTTAAGCGCATACTTGTCGTCTTGACGGTGTAGCAGGAGTATCAGGTCGTCGAGTAGAACAACGTGGAGATCAACTGGTTTGGCCTTGACGACGCGCCACTGAAGAGGACCGTCGTAGATCAGTCGACGCTTAGTAATATCAAGGTTCTTAAATTCTTGCACGCACGGATGCTCGAATTTATCAAATGCCGAACGATCGATCAGCCGTTGAATCTCTGCTAACCGATGATAATCTTCGGCCTCGCGAACTGCTTGATTCACTCGCGACAGAATTTCACGACTACGCTCCAAACTACGAATGACCGCTGCTCGCTCTCTCTCGTTCTGTTCCGAAGTGTATTTTGCCAGGTTGTCAAATAGGAGTGGGTACTTTGTTAGTCGCAGCATCCCCGTTAATATGTGATCCTTTAACTGCAACCTGCAATATGAAGATTGATTTTTTCAGCTTAATTCGACAAAACTTGTGCTTATTTATAAAGACCTTGTTTCTTATTGTTAGACGCGTTCTTGAAAACGTTCCGTAATATCAAGTTTCACAAATAATTTTGATTTACTAGTACATTAACTTCATTATCAGATTTATTGATATGTCATTTAAAGTATTTTCGTACTACGCAAAAATTATGTTTACTCGTTATGTGGAAGATATCAAGAGTAGTGGTTAGATCATCGTCCGAGAAAACAAAACATATGCAAAAAAATGACAAACCTTCTGCAAAGTGGATTAGCCTCGACCTCGTTCAAAAACGCATTAAGCTTGGGATCCTTGCGTCTCTGATCCCTCAAAGCTCTCAACGCCACTTGTTGCTTGGCGCAGTACTTGGAAGCAGCTCTTTCGAAAACTTCACCAGCTTCACCGTCGAACATCTCCAGTAGCAGATCACCAACGTCAGCGACACATGGATTTTCCTTTCTCTTGCGTTTCATCGCTTGGTTGAATTGCGAATGCAATATAACCATCTCGTCGAGATTGGAGAAGAGCAGTTGAATCTGGTCGGGCGGCAACACTTGCGAGTCCATCAACGGTTTGTGGAAGACTTGTGAAAGGACCTTGAGGGCACGCACGTGCGAGCGTTCCGTGTGAAACAGTTCTGTGAAGAGAATTGCGTTGCGTTGAAAGCTAAGTTACTGATTCCGTTACGCGTATACACCTATTGTTTATTTGAACGAGTTCACGCAGACTCGAAACGTACCGCAAGCTCGCGCACGTGCCGATCATGTATCGGCAAATGAAAGAAAAAACAAAAACGGAGAGCGAAGTTGAGTTATACTGACCATTGATGACCTCCTGCCTCTTCTTCTCGACGTTACTAAGCCTCGCGAATACTTCCTCGGCGACACCTTGACTCCAATCTGGCGGATCGGGCTCGACATCGACGTCGCTGTCTCCCCAAGAGGCCGACGCGTTTGCCGTGGCAGGATGCACTTGTTCGAGGCTCGTCGACGGACTGTCCAGACTTCGTGTCGACAGGCTGCTGTTCGATGAGCTGCCTGCCGAGTTGCCCGGGAATGCTCCGCTTGCATCACAGTCACTGATTTTTTTCCAAGTTGAATTAACAGTTTGCTATTTCTCGTTTTGACGGTTGGGGGGAGGGGGGAGAGCTTTTGTGAACGTATTTTTTTCAAAGATACTCAAAAGTAACAAGTGACTACTTCGATCAACAGTTCTATTTTTTTTGTTTGATCAGTCTGCGTGGGATCGCTATAGCCTTATGCAAATCATGCCTGATTTCTTCAAATAGAAATTCAATACGAATTTCAAATACCACATACTGAGATGTTTGCCGATTTTCAAAAGTTTTTCCACATAGAATTTCATTGTGTTGTCTAAAGGTAGCCTTGATATTAAAAAAGTATTATTTTATATCTGGCAAAGAGCAAAATTTCGTAAAATCAATGGAAACGAACTCGTCTCGCGCATCGAAAAATTCCTGCAGGAGTGAACTTTTTGGCATGACGTTTCGTCGCACGATTATACACGATTGCAGTATTTAACCTACTTTCATGTCGCGCGACAAGCGTGTTTTTTCAATAGGATATACGTCATGCCTATAAATAATGGGTGATTCTCAGCCGAATTAATGTAACCGCGCGCGCGACACTCGACGTAGCTTAGAGGCCAATGAATTAGTTATTTTCTCCTCTTCTTCTTTCTCGCACCGACGAATACTAATGGGTTATACACTTGTTGCGCGAAATTCCGAAGCTTTTTCAAACAACGTAGGCGGTCGGGTTGTTAAGTTGGCAAAATATTGTGAGCGAAGAACGTCAACATCGTTGGTCTTCTCGCGAAAGTGAAAATTCTAAATTGCCACAGCGATTATTTGCACGAGCGAAAAGGGGGGAAAGAAAAATAGAACCGCGAAGCCATTCAATCATGTTATGCCAGTAAAAAACCTTAGAAAGCAAAACTTTATCTCCGCAGGACAAGAGCACTTGAGCTCCGTCTAAAAGGCGCCGATGAAATTGCGATGCGGCACATCAGCCCCACGGCATACGTTCGCGCTCTGTCGCCGTCGTTGTCTCTCTTTGCCTCGGTGATAACCAAACGACAGCCCGCCCGTTAACCGCTTGGAAAGCGCCCGATTAACAATTTTTCTAATGACGCTCCGTCGCTGACGCGCCTTCGTTTCTCAAGGATCGGCATTAACTGCACGTTATGTCAACGCATCGGCCCAAACTACCGCTGCGCGCAATTTTCGTAATTGGAGGTAGGAAAGAACAGCGGCGCTCGGAAAATTTTCAACCGATCGATCCTCCGGGTTTAATAACGGAAAACTTGGGTGTATTCGTGTTATTGAGTGTAATCCATGTCGGCTGATTAATCGAGGTCTCTCGTCGTCGCGTAGACAGATCGTCGACGTCTTCCAACAATAAAAGTCCTGCTAAACCCGCCTCCCCCTCTCGTCCACCCCGCGTGACAGCGACTCAATTGATGGGAAGGAATAACGTGGCGGGATCGTTCGATGAGGAACGACTTCCCGTTTGTCTTGAAAAATTTCGCCATTGAAGACCAAATAAAACGAATCGCTCGACAACGCGACAGCTTTTGTTCGGGAACAAACTCGACGACGACATTGCGAATTCTCATCCTTCCTCCTCACCCCCCAGCCGAAACAAACAAAATTGCTGCAGCGCGTGACCCACATTCGTAATAGTTCCTTGGGGGGGTTGATTGTGCATCGATTATCGCTATCCGTTGCCCTCCGAGAGAGCGCGATACGCGTACGCGACCTACTTCGTTGCTTTTTTTACCTCTCGGATCGAGTTCTACGCTCGGGCACGACGAGACCATCCTTGGCGTTGTCGTCGAGCATCACCTCGTCGACGCTAGAGCTGGTCTTTGTTTCCGGCTGATGCTCGATGCTCGTCATGGCTGGCTCGCTGAGCCGCAGCCTTTGCTGCTGCCTCATCGCAACCAATGCGCTTGCTTCGCTTCGGGCCACCGTTTACGAGCGGCTTTTCAAACTTCTCAATCGTCACTTTTTAGTTTCACTGAGCATTCGTTAGTCTTTTTTTTTATATACACGCACGTATTGTCACTTCATGCTGTTACTTCGTTAACGATGTACTGCGATTTGCAATTAAACAAGAAACTGAATACGAATGATAAACATTCATTATTCGAAACCAATTCCAGAGATAAATGAAAGCGCTGTCAATCAATAAACTAAAAAAAAATGCTAATACTATCCAGTCTCCTCAAAGGCAAAAAATCTATGAGTCTATAATAATTCAAATGCACGTCGATTCTGTCGAATAGCGAAGAAGAGGTGGGCAGAGGGTGGTGGGCATGCATATACTAAAAAGGTCAATTCCCTCGAGCGATTACGCGTCCGACACACAAGCGAAAACACGGATTATTACCGAGTCTCCCTATATTTCTTTCTATCGCTCCTTTTACTGCCAAATTTACTGCCAACTTTAAAATAACACTTATTTACGAGTTTGCTAGTTTTAGAAAAGCATGACGCGGATTGCAGATCAGAAGGAGAAATGGATTTTCAAAACGAAGTATGACAAATCGCCAGGAAAATCCATCGATGTGTGTACGCGCGCGCGTGTGTGTATTGTCTCGCTAATATAAACGACATAATTTCTACGAATCGAATAGTCGCGCGCGAGGTAAGGGAACAGTCTGGAAAAAAGCGAGCACAGGGGCGAGCCTTATCGAAAGCCGCTCCTTCGTCCGTCACTTTAATCAAGCCGTGCGCCTTTTTCCAGCTCACCCCTTCTTCTTGTCTCTCGCTGCCCGAGACACATTCTTTCGCGCGCGCGCGCGCGCCACCCTGACGCACGACGCCGTCTATTTCCGGCGAAATCGACGCGATTCGAGTCGTTTTTTCCCTTCGGGCTTCGTGTGCTGCTTCCGAGATACAGGTGCAATATCCGCCACTACGCTCGCTCTCGCTCGCGTCTGCGCTCGTTGAACTAGAATTTTTTTTTTCTTCCGGTCAGCTATACCCTATCGCGACGCACAGGCTGCTCATGCGGCTGGTTTCGTTTGCGCGTTAGAAAAGCAATCGATCGGCGCATCGACGATTATCAACGAAAGAACTCGACGAAACGTCGCAATTACAGCGTTAATGAAAGTTAATTCAGTGCAGCGATCGATCGGTCGACGCGTAGCGAAGGAAAACGCACAGGAGAAAAAGAAAAATCCAACGATGATCGAATTCCAAAGCGCGAAAGTTTTTTAATGACGTGCGTCGATCCGCCTACGCGCCGTCTAAAAGGGGAGGGTTGATCGGCGGAGCGGCTGTATGAAGCTCCTCGAATGTTTTTACCATCAAACACTTGTAAAATTCTATTCATCGCGACCTTTCTCCCCGACTGCCACCTTCTAATTTGCCGTGTCTCGCGGTCAGCACGTACGTACATACAGCTCATTAGTCGCGAATAGAAAAGGAAGGCACAACTACACATCGATCGCACGACAAATGATGCTATGAGGCATTCTCTTGCACACTGAAGAGAGAGAGAGAGAGAGAGGACGGGGAGAGGAAACTACGTTCAAAGGGCACGTGTGATGGATCGCGCGAAGAATTGGACGTTTTGTTTTGTGGCCGGTGAGATTGATTGCTGCGTGCTTTTCGTTGGTAATGAAACATTTCCAATTTTCCTCCTACCCGATAAAGCTCCGGGAAAGCGACTGCCCGTTCGATGGAGGACGCAAGAGTCGCTCTTACAGTTAACTTTACTGCGGGACAAAACCAGAAGGATACGAGGCGAATCGGGACTTTATGAAAAAGCAACGAGCGCGCGACTGTTCAAGTTTGCGATCCGAAACACCTTGGGAAATGTCAGATAATATTGACACATCCAATGGTAAACATACGCGCGCGTCTAACGTTTGTTGATCCTCCGGGAGAGTTCGAAAAAGCCTCGAAAGTTTAGTAACCGACCGTGCGCAATTTCCGAGATGATGTCTACGTCAAACATTTACGAAAACTACCTCCTTCGAGGATCAAAAATATTGCCGGCAGGGAAGGCGAAAAGGAGGGCAAAACTTGTCCCTCGTAGGGAGAAAACTCGCCCGACGTGTAAAAAGTTGCCCTCCCTTCGTCCTCCCCCTCCTGCCCACAAAAAATTTTCCGCATCTCCGCGCGGGATTAACTGGCCGGCCAACCCTCGTCTCGAGCGCGCCGCGGAGAAGCGTTTTCCGCGTTCACGATCGTTCCTGACGTTGATGGAAGCGCGACCGTCCCTTGTCCGTGTCTCGTTCTCGTGTGAACAGATCTAAATGAGCGACAACATTGAGGAGATGGTCGCTTGGGAATTTCTTCCAATTTCTTACGAGTCCCGTTGCCAGTTCACCATCGCGCGGCTCTTGATAATTCATCATCGATTATGGAGGAGCGTTATTTCGTTCTGCGCTCGTGAAAAGTGAAATTTGCATCGAAAGCCCGTAACTATGCGCCGAATTCGAGCGATACATAGAGATGGAAAATGAGTTGCTACATATCGGGAAAAGCCTAAAACTAAAATCGCAGGCGAGGTGTCTCGAAAAAGTGAGCAGAGCACACACAGACGCGCACAGGCGTGCGCTCGAGAACGGATTCTCGTTTGAAAGCTCGTTTACCGATCCTCGGCGTTCTAGCGCGTTTGCTCGGGGGCGAGAGGGGTAAACAAACGTCAGGGTAGATTCAAGGCTGGCAGAAGAGAGGAGGAAGGAAGGGAGCAAGTTCTCTCGCATCGCCGATCAATAAATTCCCCAAGGATTTCACCCCACCCCCACCCCTTGCACACCTCTTCCTTCGCTCTTCGGCAAAAAAATTATGGAGAAAGAGAGAGAACGAACAAACAAGAAATCACATAGAATCCGCGCGACTCGGTACTTTTGCAATCGCGAGCTTGGACGCCCGCGCACCACCGTATATCACTTGGCACGAGAAAGAGGAGAAGCGACGTAGGTGAGAGAGCCGGAGCCGCAAGCTGACAACGACCGAGCGAACGCCAGCACCCAACTGACGACGACGACGCTAAAGCTTGCACGTGTGCGAGGGTAGCAGAGGCGGCGGCGGCGGCGGCGGCGGCGGCGGCGGCGCGAGCTTGCGATTGTTAGACGGTTGTAGGTGTAGTGGGAGGAACGCACGAGAGAGGGAGAGCTATGACTATTTTACTCTCTCTACGCGCGCCGACGGTGATGGGAAATTTCTGTTGACCGACGACACTAAGGGGAGCTTTTCTTTTTTTCTTTTTTCTCCTTTTCAAGAATAGCTACCGCGCGCTGATAACCGCGAGCTCCGAGCTCGCTCGCTTCCAGCGCGGTCTCTTCTCGTTGTTTCTCGGTCGAGGGATGTACGTAGCACGCGGTGCGTATGTCTATCCGTTCGCTCGCAATTGCTCATTGAAAGAGGGGGCGCGCTCGCGCCACGGCCGCGGCAACCGAGATGAATTATCCGAGCGTCATTCTCGAAAGCCCCGTCTTTTTTGGTCGCGCCGGCGACGGATGTCCCGCGCGCGCTTCATAAAAGCAGATGACGTTGACGCGACGTCGGACGAGAAAAAGAAACCTATTTTTGAACGATCAACGAGACCCCGCCCACCCGCGCCGAACCTTACGCAATTAATAATCGTAAACGCGAAGAGGAGCTCGTCGCGAGGGAGACATGTAAAAATAAAAAAAGCAGAGCTATCGATATTTATCCGAGAATTAGGCGACGGCACGGCGGCGAAGGCCGGGCACGCACCGCGAATAAGTTGGCCGAGTTTCCCCGACCGTGAACGCGCGCGCGACTATTGCTTCACTCCGGTTGAAACGCGAGACGAGGGAAAGGGAGGCTTGCAGCTGCTGGCTGGCGTCGTGGATTACGCCTGGACTTGCCCTCCGCCGAGTAATGATATTTCCACGAGCCAGAGGCCGAACGCTGATCGCGCGACAGCGTTAAGCTGGTTGGCGCCCGCCCGCGCGCGACGCGTGGCGGGAGCTGTAAATCACTCGCCTCGATAACTTTTCGATCGGCAGTGATCGTCCGAGCCAGCAAGGTCGGCTTTCGGATTGAGACTGTCGCGAACCAGAGAGAAACTTTCTTTGATAAACCGACTTTCCACAGCCATCGCGAGGATGCGTTCACAAAGCAACACACCCCGGGCGATTGTTCTTCGAGGGCCAATCGAGAAGCAGTGCAAGACCAAGCGTCGATGCACTTGAACTCTCGTGGCGCCCGGCAAAATCAGGACACATCTCGCGTAGGATCGCTAAGTACAAAAATAGATAGAGAGAAATGCGTGTTGAACTTACTTTGTCTTGGAGAGGTTTGGGTCGCTGGTCTTTCGCTTTTCACGTATCTGTCGCTGTAAAAGTAAAAAATTAGCCGCTATCAATAAGGCCGCTCTATCGCTACATTCTTGGGAGGGGGAGAGAAGACGAGGAAAAAAAGAAAATGTCAATTTCGTTCGAAGATTTACAAGTTCCACGAAAGAAAGCGATATTTCTTTCCTTCTTTCTCATTTCTTTTTTTTGCCGAACGAAATGTCACGCGTGGATGTAGACGGAAAGCATGCGCAAAATTGAGCTATGTCGCCGGTTTATAAAGTCGAAATGGTATGAAGATATGTGGGTCGTGTAAATAAAGAAAGCGTCAAGAGTCAATTTGCCGGCGCTGCTCACCTTATGATGTATCCGCTCCTTGTAACTTTCAGACCTGTTTATGTTCGACGTCTTTGGCTTACTGGAAATATTTTGCTGCACCCTGAGTCAGACGGAAAGATTTGGATTAATAATTTTGCTCAGCCGCTGTCCAACGCGGAGAAGCTTTCCGTTTAGAGAGCCAACCGTTACGCAAGCGAGCTTTTTAGGCGTTATCGCGCGCCGTTTTTAATTGCGATCGATCTATTTTCACGACTTTACGTCTCGCGATTCGAGCGAGACGTCAGCGTCGAAATCAAATGGAAGATTAAACAGCGCGTACACAGTACTGTATGCGACGAGCACATATCTAATCGCCGTTCGACAACAATCTCCAAAGGCTAGCTCGTGTTTTCGATCAAATTATCGATTTAGCTTGACATCCTTTGACGCCCCGAGTGATTCTCATGATATAGCTTGAAACACCAACTCGGAAAGGCAAAGTCCGTTCGAAGCCACACCGGCGCTGTTGACAAGGGTATCTCGCTCTTTTTGCTTGGCGGGGCCCGTTTTCGAATTCGCTCTTTCGGAAAAATCACTGCCAGGCGTGAGGCAAGAGTGAGCGAGGAAAAAAGCCCAAGCATTACGTACATTTCGGAGATGTCCTCCCTGGAAGAGGGATCGTCCATGCTATCGGCGTGATCGAAGCCGGAAACGCGGCCTCTCTCGCCGCCTCCCCGCGCTCCGCTTCCTGCCGGTCCACTTCCGCGATGCTCTCCTGCGAAAAAGACATGTACATATACATATATATATATAGCGCACAAGTGCGTACTGCCCACTCTTTAGATCTTTTTGTTTATACGGGCTGCTTTTTGTTTTTTGTTACGAGACACACAATTGGCAAAATCGTTTGCACGCGTACGATCTTTGCTTTTATGTAATGTTTGTTCATAGCTATTCTATATACGTAATAATAGAATGCATTACTTGTAAACCAACCAAAAAAAGTTATTCTCTGGAATGTCGTTTTCAAAATATCTTATCCAGAACGAAAGAAAACAAACGTGCCACATATAGTTTATCGCACATCGTACCTCGTCTCAATTATCTTTCATGCACCGACAGCGTAGTTGAAATTGAACAGATTGCACTGTGAACCTACTATAACTGCTTTACGATTGACACTAACATGTTTAACTCTCACAAATACCAAACGTTCACATGCAACAAATCACACACTACATTTCGAAACAATGATCTTGAATCTTACGGTTGGTGCGCTTTAGTCATACCGTGAAATTCCTAATATAAAAGTCTTTCTTGTACGCGCTCGACTTAATCACTCTTAACGCGCACTCGCCGCAACAAAAATGATATCACTCGCTCGATTCTGCGGATAAAGAAACTTAAATACATGAGGACACATTCCAAAAAAGAAAAAAGAACCGTTTCGAACAAAGCACGAAGCTGCTTTATATCGCACATCTGTCGGCGGACGAGGGTTGCGAGATGCACTGCAGGCAGGGAGGAACTGCGAGATGCTGCACCACTGCTGCTCAAAAGCTGCAACACTCGCCGCCGAACCGCTATCGCTCTTTCGCTCTCGCTTTCTCTCAGCTGTTGGAGAAGAGGAGCAAGTATTTGGACAAATTTTCTTTAATCTTTCTCTATCGCGTTTGGCGTTTTCTTTCTTTTTCATCTTTTTCGATCGAAGAAACAGCGAGTATGCAAAACACGCATTACTTTGAGAATTCAATTCCGAACGAATGTTCGACGGAGAAAGAGGAAAGAGAAGGGGGGCCGCCAGTTTCCAGCACATTAAAAAGACAAATCGTAGCGAGAGCTAGTCTATGAATCTTGAAGACTAACAAACCTCGAGGAATGAAAAAAAAGTTTCCCTCGAGATAGACGGAAATGTGAAGAAGTAGAAGCGGGAGAGAGAAGATTTCCGTCGCGTTGCGTTCTACCTAAAAATACACTCCAAAGCCCCCGTGGCTTTTAACGCTTTTAACGTGCCTTGATGCGCGGCCCTCGAGAAGACACAGTAAGGTAATTGCCGATAGGGCACGCGCCAGACATATGTGGCGCTGTGCTAAATACAAGAGGGTTGCTGTGCCGCCGCTCGGTGCTCAATAAATACCTGTCGACTTGTTTTTTTTTCTTTTTTTACGGAAGCTCGCTTCGGCTTCGTATGCAATTTTGCGCCGCGAGCAGAACTCAAATTGAACGGCGTTCGCTCGGATTAACGGATCGTAATTATAGATTACGCAAACTAACAAAACTTTTCCGGATGCACGTGAAAATTTCCGCTGTGGCCTGTTAGCAAATTCGACGATGCAGTCGAAATTATGATTAATATAGAAGCCCCGGCAATAACAAGTTCGAGAACTATGAAAATAACTGAGATTTCATCGAGAGAGCAAACGCAACGTACGTACACAGATGCACGCAGAGATTCAGTAAATAAAGGAATATTTTGGCCACACCGGCGAGTGCAGCGAAATTTTGATCTTTCGCGTGACGCGGGAAAAGATCTGCCGCCGCCGCTGCTGCTGGTTTTTTGAACGGCTGCCAAACGAGATTTAATGACGAGCTAATTTCGTTTGCGCGCCAGCGGCCTTTTCGAATACGCGCGAAACCGCTTTTTCCCGATTCCACGCGAAGAGCTTGGTTTGTTTTAAGCAAGAGTGTCCCATCGGCATTGTTATTCATCGAGTGTCATTGGTCGAGCTGTAAATGCCTTTGAATTTTGTAAAAGCCTCGTCGTCAACCATCTCCCCGAGCAGCCTGTCCGATAATTTTTCGCCGAGCGGTTGAACGTGCGCGCCCCAAGACGCCAACGCGCACTCTAGAACATCAAAATGTTCAATATTTACATTGCGCGCGACGTGAAAATGTATAACAATGCGCTACGACAAATCCTGACCAAAGTCGCGGCACGAAAAACAGAGCAAGAGTGTCCCCCGCGGCTTGAGCTGAGCGCTGGAGACGTGCGGCTACTGCGCCGCGCGATTATATATGATAATTCATCACGTTCGCGCGAAGGAAACAATTTGTTTTACAACATAAATCAATGATACCTCTTATTACGCTCATTGTCTGCTATTTTCTGACGCACGGCGTTGTCGATTCGCATTATTATACGTTTATGAATCGTCGCGCGTTGCGATTCAAAGACGCACGCGAAGTTTCGTCTAATTGGACGGAAACAAAAATCTGAAATTATCGTATTTGAATAAGAAAAGAGCAGGAAAAAAGCTCATCGCGCGTAGCGCCTTTTTTCTTTTCTCTTCTGTAACGAGGAAAGTCGTTGAAATAGAGAGAATCTGGAAAAACACGTATATGAGAGCTTTTAACGATCCGATGGCGGAAAGAAGGATCGTTATCATCGATGCGCTCCTATATGAAACCGGCTTTGATATACAGCCCAACCGGAGTATCTGTAACGGACAACAAGATTGCATCTCTCTTTCTCTCATCGCAGCTTGTTATTTGCTGACTTCTCGTCAGGTCGAACGGTGATGTACGAGTTATTTAGCATGCTTGTCTGATGTAACGATTTCGGAAACGGACGGTGATTCAACTTTTTTTTCATTTTTTACGACACCTACTATTTCTTGGTTCTTTTATTATATTAAAACTCGTGAGTTATATTATTCTAAGGGAATACTCGCTCGTCAATTGGCCAAAAAATCAAGTATGAGTCAAGAGTTGGCTGAAGGTGGCACGGATTTTTACACTAGTTTTTCACCATATATAAACTTAAAATAAAATTATGATTAATGCTGCTCCGAGTTTTCTCGCGTGTTCACGGTCGTAATATTCAAAATAATTTTTCGATGGCGAAGAAAAAATAAAGAGAAGCGTTTTCGAATTTATCACCCGATTGATTAAACATGCCGAGACGATGAGCAAACAATCTTCATGTCGCTCAAAAAGTTTTCATGATCATCGAACTAAAAACCAGGTATGACATCAGTGTGTACTCTCCTCACAAAACATTCGATTGCAAAAACAGCAAGAGTTCGCTTTTAGAAAATAATATATACGCGTTCAGGCACACTTGTCACGTAGAGAGATAGGGAAAAGTGTGTGAATCGTGAATCGACGAATCGCGGTATGATATAAGTGTATTTTTAGTTCTCGAGCGGACACGAGAAATTGTTTCTCTTTAGAGCTCTCGGCGAGGTTATAGTATGACGTTTATGCGAAAAGCAAAGAGAGAGAAGAAAAAAACAGTTTCATTCCGGATTGGAATTTGGTTTCGAGGACTGTTCGAAGAATTAGGATTCGCGCTAACTCTTTCATCTCGGCGGTAATACCGGAGTGTCTTATCTAAAAAATGTTCGGAACGTATGTGAACGTTAATTTTACACACATATGATAAAAGAAAAGAGAGAGAGAGAAAAAAAAGGAGAAAAAGCAACCGTGGCGTCGTGCGAAAACATTCTTGCTCAATGCCGACGTGACACAGTGCTATCTCTCTTTTTTTCATTTTACATAACGGCGACCAAGTACGAAAATACTTGCAGTTCCCATGGGCGCGTCAACGAAAAGGATGAAAAGGCTGATATTCACTTAGTGACAATTGACGTGTACAGAGTGTCGCTTGATTGGCTTAATCGAGTTCGCACGCGACCGCCCCGAAAAAGAGGGAAGGAAGTATACGGTCGCACACGAAAATATCACCGTGAAGCTCGTGATTACAGCCGCGGGCCATGTGGCCGCGCAGGTTAGCGCGCAGACACATCGCAAAGAGAGACAGAAAAGAAATCGACCGATAAACATTCGAACGCGCGTCATTCGTCAAGCGACTTTAACGCGACATTGACAAGAAGCAATATATTTTGCCTCAATTGTACCAATTTGCAACGACTAAAAACGTGTCAATGTTGAATGTAATCAAACCATTATTATTCTCGTGTGCTTTTAAAAACAAAAAAAAAAGATTGTACCGTATCGCCGGGAAAGAATAATAAAACGAAGTCAAGTTTTCTTGCAGGAGTATGTATTCAAGAATCGACAGTTTTGAATACGTGTCACCTATTGAAAACTTAACCGGCTCTTTTCTGAAAGGAGCGAATGTCTTTTCGCCGATAACACCTGTGGCTTATCTGGTTATTTGGAATTGGCGATAAGTTAGTCACCTGCGCGCGCAACGCCAGCTCTATCGAAATCGCAAAGTTAAGCACGAGGCCTTGATCACGCGCTTTGCCAATAATCAACTTGAATCGTTATCCGACCTCCGTTGGAATACCATGATGGAAAAGAAACGAGGCAGAGAGAGAGAGAGAGAGAGAGAGAGAGAGAGAGAGAGAGCGAGAGACTGACAGACAAACAGAGGGAGGGGGAAAGCCGCAGTCGGTTTTCAAAATAGAAAGTCCACGTGGGTATCAATTAAACAGCAGCGCGCTCCTGTGTGTTGCCACATTATTCAAATGAGCGCACTTCCAGCGGAGTATTGAGAAATCCGCGCGCGGATATTTGTAAAGCCGAATCGTGAGCGCGCGACGATGGAGCCGTGCTCGCTTGACCACGCGAAACGAGGTACGCGTCGCGTCGAACCAACGAGCAAGCGAACTGCCATTGCGACAAAACGAACCTGCATCGTCGCTCCTGTGGCCGGCTTCGGCGGCGCTTCTCAGCTGTTCCAATCTCGCGAGCAGCGCGTCTTGATTGACGGCCGCGCTGCTCTTGGCGTTGTTATTGTTCGACCACCTGACGGTCGCCAGGGTGTCCCAAACTCTCGCGATGGTGGAGCTTCGTCGTTGCGCGGCGACCGAATCTTTGGCGCGGAAATGCGTGCAGACGGCGGTTTTGGCCTTGAACTTGCGCTGTAGCAGGCCGCGGCTGCGGTAGAATCGCGTGCGCGACGTCAGGTTGACCGGCGTCGAGGTTGGCGTCGAGGTCGGCGTCGAAGTCGGCGTCGAGGTCGGCGACTCGTCTTCCTCTTCGTCTTCGTCGATCGACGCCGACTTTGGACTCGTGTTGTTCAGTCCATCGAGGATCGGTGCGTGTAGCTCCAACATCTTGCACACCTCACATTCACTGATTCGTTTTGTTGAAAACACGTATTCGCACTTTGAAACACACGACCAAGGAGAGAGAGATAGAGAAAATAGATCAAGCCGCGTGCGTAGCGTCGAGCTGATCGCTACTTACTGAACTGAGGGGACAGAGTAGTAGCAACAGCGAGCAGCTGCCGCTTCGTACCCTCTCTCTATCTCTCTCTCTCTCTCTCTCTTTCTCGGCGGCTGCACGCTCGCGCCAGCTAACTATAGTTGTGTATTTTCAAGAGGCCCGCCACAGTGTCTCCTCTCTCTCTCTCTCTCTCTCTCTCTCTCTCTCTCTCTCTCTCTCTCTCTCTCTCTCTCTCTCTCTCTCTCTCTCTCTCTCTCTCTCTCTCTCTCTTCGCTTCCGGTGCCGCCTGCTGGTACTGCTGCTGTTGCCCTTCTCGATGTTGTATACGGTTAATACTTCTTTTTTGCACTTCCTCTCACTGACTGCGGCTGCTGGTTTGAGTGGAGATGATAACGTTGCCAGATACGACCTTTTTCGAGGTGAAGTTCTAATTTGTAGAGACTCCTCTCTCACCTTCTCTCTCTCTCTCTCTCTCTCTTTCTCTTGGTGTGTGCGTGTATTCTACGTCTTCTTTTTCTTGTTTTTAAAGCGAGTTATCTTTTAACTCAATTGTTTTGTAATATACATCAACTATTTCTTTTTTATTTCACAGGACACATGTCAACAAGTCGATGTCTCTTGTCATTCAAAAACACCTTTGGAAATTTGCTTTCGTGCCACGCACCGTCCCTTTTACTCGTTTATTGTTCGCACTGTCACTTTCGATCGTAGCGGCTGCAGGAGCAACAGCTGCAGTGTTAGCAAGCGGCCTGGCGAACGAACTCGCAGCTAATAAGCGGATTTCCGCGATTATCAATTATGCCGAATCGCCCCCCAGTCGTGAGAGGAGGATTGTTTTTATTTCAACTCTCTGTGATTGACTTTTTTTTTTGTATTGCGGGATAACGTTCGCTGATTGTCCGCGATCTTTTGCTTTCTTCTGTTTTTCTCGTTGAAAAATAATCTCGAGATCTTAACGGAAGCTACGTTCGGAGGAATACATTTTGTTGTTGCTGAAAATGACTGTTTCTGAGCTTATACCAAGCAAAGTCATAGAATGGCTTATTTTTCGTCCAATGATTTTTTCTTCCAAAAGTATTGTGTGCACGTTTACGTACCCATTTCGTGGATAAAATTGGTACTTGAAAAATTAAGAAATTTCTAGAATGATAATTAACCTCGAACGTCCCAACAACGAGACCAATGCTTTTTAACAACATATGAACGTTTGTACCGCGCGTGAATTTTGACGCTTCGTCGAGAGATAAGAAAAGAGTACGCGTAAGCCTACGCAGAGAACTCGTTGCAAAATTGTCGCGTAGGTTCGCAAATCGCTTATCAATCATCAACAACCTTTTTTCCATTCTCGTCGGCGATCGATTTGACACCCACGCGTGACTTATGCTAATTAGTTTTTTAATAAAACGCTCGGTCATGCGTGCAATCACTCATAGATAATTATGAAAAAATTCGCCTTTTCTTTGACGATTGGTAACTGGAAACAACAATGAACAAATAAGACAAGTATGTGAAACGAAAAAAGAATTATAAGACAAAGATAAAAGGTCAATGGAGTTCAGAAGATCGCGCGAACGTGACCGTATTGCCTAGAGAGAGAAAGAAATGTTCAGCCAGCTGACCTTGGTTAAGATGCGCGCAGAGCAACGACTGTATGTACCCGCGCGTACGCGTATGTGTCTGCGTGCGCGCGCGCGCGTGTGTGTGTGTGTGACTGCGTTAGAATTCATTGCGAGCGCGCTAACTGACAGGAATTGACTTCCACGAATCGTGCTTTCGTAATTAACGGGGCGAGGCAACGCGCGTGAGCATTCCTTTTTTTTCTTTACCCCGGACTGTACACAAATCAAGAGCGCTTTTCGTTTCTTTTCTTTCCTTTACTTTTTATTGCTCGGGAAAAAGTTTGAATGATGAATAATTCTTTATAGAACGAATTGTGCGAGGAGAAAAAATCATAACGTTTTCTGAAAGTGTCTAGATTGATAGCGCGCGACAGAATAAAATCTTCCTGCAAGCGTACATTGTGATGGATGACATTTTAAAAGCACTGGTTGATGAACATCAATGATGTAAAAACACAGTACGAGCTAAAGATGATTTTATTCTGACGCTGAGATTGTATTTCTTTTTTTTGGCAAATTAAATCATCACTTATTTTGCAATCTGATCGTAACCGGAAAAACGTTTGATCAATGTGTCTCGTAATTAATAAATATAGGTAAGTTCAATAAAAATTTAAATACTCACCATTCTCACCATCAATTATCGGGCTACTGTCTTCTTCAGCTCTTTTCATACGCTCCACTGGAATAAAGAAAAAAAAATTAACGTTTAGTATTGTATAAAAACACGGCATTGCACGGATTTTAATAAACTTACTGTGGTGGAATTGATTGTGATGATGAGATGGTGGTTTCTTTTCGGGACGAATTCGTTCCATCAGCTTGCTTATACGGTCATTACCTTTCTCTTTTTTGTTAACCAGTGGACCAGGACAGTTCTCGTCGACAACTCGAACACATTGGCGATGAACGTTTAGAGAACAATCTAAACAAAAAAAGAGCAAATCAAATTACACTGATAATTCGATTGAGAGATATAGGCGCGTGATTTGTAACGATTTGCAGTCGATACTCACGCCCACACTGATAGCCTTGAGGACCAATTCCACCGATAATAAATTGGCAGTGATTGCAGTATGTGACTGTGTAGTACGGCTGTGCGACGAAGTGGTGGCCTCTTACGGTCATTTTTCTTGCCTTTGCAGGCCAATAACTCAATCGAGCTTTTATATGAGATTTATCTTTCACGACAAATATTGGTACGCGATCCAAGGATACTGAGCGTAGACTGAATACTTTTGTTAGAACTGTTGCAAGACTAGCTGCTGTTGCGAATTTTCTTTGATCAACATTTTCCTTTTCAATATCTTCTCTGTTAAAAGTCAAAAATCAATAATTTGAGTGATGATGCGTTAAATTGCGCCTTTGAAGATCCATAAGGAACACTTACAGATATGTTTCCATTTTTGGTAAAAGGTATGTTTCAATAATTTTTGTTTCTCTATTTTTATCATATGAACTTCCATCGAGTTCAGCATCGCTTGGTCCAAAAAGCGTGCCCAACCCAGCAATTCTTTTCTGTTGAAAGTCTGTTAATTGTTCATTTAACTCTTCCTTTGCCCGAGCTCTTGCTTTCCAGAATATCTGAAAGAAAAAAAATTTCATTAATGTATAAACCCATTACGTTTCCGTAAGTGATAAGGCGGTCGAAGATAAATTTACTTTTCGTAGAATTTCTTCCTTGTCCCATTCATTCAACAAGACGTCATCAATTTCACGAGCAACATTTTCATCTACATTATTCAAACGTAGTGGCTGAAATGATTAAAATATGTTAATGATCTGTAATACAGCAACCTTTTTCTCTTACAATGTCCACTTCAATTTTGATAAAAACTTACAGCTCCTGGTACAAGAAAACTTGAGTGAATCTCATAAGCCCATTTCCGCATCTCTTTAGCATTTCCCTCTTTATAAAGGTCCGTTATAAGGTAGAATAACTAAAAGTAGGATTAATTGATTGATTATTTACGCTTTTAAGATGAAAGAAAAATCCTAAAATATAACTAAAACTGATATATTTACCAGGCTTGAGGGATCGCTGTTGGACAGAACATAATTAATGAAGACCGCAAGATGAGCATGGTGTTTCCACAGCTTGGATAGCAATTTAAAAGGTCCGTGGTCTTCCAACTGTCCCTACAACGTTTAATGATACAAAATCAATTGACTATTTTTGTAAAGGCAAAATAATAAAGTTTAGAGATTTATTGGCAATAAAAAAACAAATGATTGTTTATCCACGTACGACTTCTTGGTCGCTCATATCATCGTCTTCCATTGACATAATTGGCTGTTGAATCACGTGCTTCTGAATTCCAGAATTACTACCGTCTGACACGTTTGGCGCTCTTGGCAAGTTCACGTCGAAGTTATCAATAATACTCTGCAGCAAACGAAATAAAAAATCAAACAATCGATTAGTAAGTTAGATGATTGATTTGTTATCGATCAAACAAATTTGCGTAATATGCAACTCGTCTGAAGAAGAGATTTATAATCTAAAACAACATACCTCATTAAACGTCGAACCGAATACATCTCCAAGATTTGGTGCAGGATATGGTGGCGGTGGAGTACCAGGTGGAGTCTTGTAACCAGGCAAATCGTCAAGATCGATACCACTGTGACGCGCCAAATGCTTAGGCGTCAATTCGCTCATCGATTCCGAAGCGATTAAACGGCGACTCGCTTCAGCCGGTGACACCGCAATCAATTGCTCCGGACTTGATTTGGTACGCTGATGCTTGCCCATCGAACTCGGCGAGCCGAGATTTGCACCCTATGATTAAATGATTATTTGATTGAATTATGAACTTGATATTTAGTAGAACGCTTCTGGAAGAGTGTAGTGTTATAGTGAAAGATTAAGAGTATATAGAGCGTTGAAGTACGTCTTAATATGGTTCCACTATCTTTATGTGCAAGATTGACCAATCACAATTGATGAACAATATACAGTAATTATACACATGCATACATTATATGAACAAGACATTGCGTTTTTGAAAAAGTCAAAATAGAATTTTATATTTGTTTAAATTAATCATCTACGACAATTCTATATTCTATTTATCCTCTTAGTTAAGAACATTATCAACAGACATGTAAAAAACATTTATAAAAAGTATTTGTAAATAATATTTGTAAATACGTGATCGACGAGTGTTCTGATGAACAAACTTCGATGAACATTACCTCCAGTTGACCAGTCCCGAGATTCGGATGGATGGCATAGTGCATTGACGTGATTAATATTATTAAACAACTTAGGAACGTCAATACACCATATCCCAGAAGAGAGAAATGAAGTTAAAGACAGTGAGATGAAGAAAGTGAAGACGATCAAGAGAAATCAAAGCGGAGGAGGTGAAGACTAGCCTACTTACAGAGTTAGGTACACCGCTGACGGCGGCGGCTAAGTGTCTCTCCTGCTCGGGGCACTGAGCGAGATTGCAGGGAGAAGGTCGCGGTGGCAAGGGTGGCGGAGACAAGCTCCGCGTGGACATGGATTTGTTGCGAGAGGGCAGCGGCGGCGGGGTGTCGCTAATAGTTCCAACACCACCGCCGCCACTGCCCGAGGTGTGCGCGGTGTGCTGGTTCGCGGGAGAGGACACCAATGGACTAAGCTGTAAGACACAACATAAAGCCAATGACAATTCACTAATCTCGTCTAATCTCTTAGCGACTCGCTGTTGAGTTGCAATGATTTTTTGTGTTTTTCATACAATGGCTTTCTTTGCGTTTTTTACTTCTGTTTTCATTATTGTTATTTTTTTGGATTTTGTGGTGACTACAAAATTGTATGCATACGTATATCGCATTACCAGTGCAAAGAATAATCTAGCTAATGGTATTAAAAAAATAAGTAAATACTTTCAATTCATATCGATAACTCGGAATAGATATTTTTAAATTACCAAAGTATTTACTTTTCGAGTTTCATTTATGAATGCATGTAGCATGAAACTTCAGTGATGAAAGCTTATTGATTTTTCAACTAAATGTATATATGCTTGCAAAAGAAACTATAAAAAGCTAATTAATAATTAGAAGAATAATAAACATTTAAAGAAAAAAAAATCGCATTCGATAAACAGAAATATTCAGTGTAATAACGCACACTCGACACATAATTATTTACATTAGATTTTAACATCAAAGCACACTTAATATGAGCTCAATAAATAATCTTTTAATAACCAATCTTACTTGATCCGTTGATTCTTGCAACTTTTTCAGGCGTCGCTCTGCGTTAGCAAGTTCTGTTTGCAAAGAAGCAATATTATTTTTGTTTCCGGAAATCGCCGCAGCATCCAACATCATCTGCAACGTTATTACGCGTTGAGTTTCCAGTTGTCGTCTTTTTTCATGCTACAAATATAACATTACATCAAAATGACTTTCAATAAAAACTATTCTATTTTAATGACAGGATAAAAAATCTCACATCAACAGGTTGAGGACCAGTGATCCTTTCATTACATGAGGCAGGAGCTGTAGAAGCTCGGTTTAATGATGTTGCACCTTGCACAGGGGAGACTAGCACAGAACTTGTTGATAGACTTGTTGGTCGATGATGATGTTGGGATGGAGATAATCCAGCAGCCATTGTTGACACAGATTTTTGTTGTACCGTTAAAACTACTTGCGTTGAGGCTAAAATTTTCAAGTTATATTACCTCATTAATAATGTAGAGAAATTTTGAATAAAAATATTTTGTGTAAGTATGAATGCCATTTTATAATTCAACTCAATATACAACATTTCATTAAAACAGTTATGTATGAATTTAAAAATACATGAAGCAAAAATATAGTTAACTATCTACTTTAAGATTAAAAAATGTAAGTTATTCAAAGATTCAATGAAATGAATTGAGTTCTTTTCTTAATTAAAACAAAAGAAATAACTTTTTCACTGGTTGAATGCATCCAGCCAACAAAAAGAGAGACGAATTATGACAGAACTGAAGGTGTCAGCGCTATAAACACTGTGCTTACATCATCATGCCTCAAGCTCACTTCAACACACTCAGCATATGTCTACATATATACAGTCTATGCATTCTATTCATATGGGAGTTCAAATGGTTATCACTCATTCATAGTTGTTACAATGTACTTTAATTAAAAGTTGCACACAGTGTAATATATAAATTAATTGATGTCACAAAAATGTCAATTTCAATTAATGTTCATTACAAGTAAATGCTATTAATGCCAATGCGTTCTACATAAATCATTGTACATTAAATTGTGCATAAATTATATTGAGTAAAATTTCAAAAATTTATCATAAAAATAGTCAATAGATAATAACTTACATTTAATAAGTTCAACAACTTCTGTGTGCGTTGATTGCATGACATTCACTCCATTCACCTGTAAAATAGAAATAAAAATATAAAATGTTTATCAAAAATAAATTTGATTGTATTTTGATGTAAATGAAAAATGTTCAACTTGAAAACAATGAGACAAAGTATGTGATTGAAAAATTGTCATATTCTTAATTTATTTTGATCATGATTTGCTTTTTAATAAAGGTATTAAAATTATATTTACAATTTGAAAAATCACACTAATTACCAATAAAGCTGTGATCAAAAAAGAATGATTTCTCAAAAGATAATAAAAAAGTACAATATTTTCTTGTAAAGTATCTGTAAAAGAAACTGGAATAACCTTCATTAATAACTGTATGTCTCAGGATTGGAATGTGTAATATAGATGTACCTGAATCAAGCTATTTCATAGAACAGTCATTAACATTGATACTTTTTTTTACAATTTCAAATTTTAATCAAGTTTTATGTTAATACTTTATATATATATAACTTTTGTTCAATAAAAATTGATCCTTATTCCATTAACTCAACTGTTCATTACTACTATAAAATGAAAAATGTTACATTTCAGTCCTTCTCAGATTTCTTTATACTTTGACAGATAGCATATAGGTATATGAGTTTAGTTATTAAATTTACATGTAACTCTAGAACAAGTTTGTCAAATATGAGTCACTTAACTACATATCATTACAATTATTTATTCTCATTTTGCTTATTTCAAATAAAGAATAGTTTCTCAAGAAATGTTTTTCATGGTAATTAATAGCAGTACATATATATTGAGATGCAATATTTTAAAATTAAAGAATGAAAATGCTTTTGTAAAATTGTACAACTCTACTTCTAGGAATTTTATACTGAAATCTTACAGTTTATGATGTCATACTACAAATTTAATGATTTTTTATTACTCTGCTATTCTTTTTTTTATTTCATCAATTTCAAAATAAAATTAGCTATTATATAAATATGAGCTGAAAAACGTGTTTTTAAATTTTACATGTTCTTCTATCTTCATGTGATAAATTAACAATGACTTATCATTCTTTAGCTTTTGTTGTGTAACATCTATTAAAATGTATGAAATGAAACTCACCTTGATAATTTTGTCACCTGAGTGAAGGCCAGCTCTAGCTGCTGCACCACCTAAGAATGAATGAAGATCGAAATTAATACAAATTCTTGTATTTATTCTCATAATATTTTGGTTTCTATTAAATAGTATAAAATATTTGCCTATTTACCTTCTTTAACTGACTGAACATAAACAGGCTTGTCACCAGAAACTTTCATCCCGTACCCTGCATCATCTTTGTAGACAACCAATGTGGCGACAGGAACCGGTTCACCGATTCCACTGCCACCAACACTGTGACGCAGAGCTGTTGTTCCATTCATCCCTCTCAAAGGCTATTATAGCCAAAATAAATGAATTATGCTCCTAACACCTTTTTGAACAGCCTAGATATTAAAGCATGTTTTTATTAAATTATTTCATACTTCTCAGCAACACCAAAATATTAACAAATTATAAATAATGATTGTGTTCGAGGAATGTAATAATTCAATCTAGATGAAATATCATTTTATAAAAGCTTTCACAACATAAAAGATTTACAATTTAAAATTTCCACAGACAATGATTTGTTTGATGATGTATAGACTTGATTATTCAACAAAAGAAATACCTAATTGCTTAGGCAAGAGTGATATATTAGTTTGGTTTGAGAATATAAATAAAGAAAAATCATAATTTTGAGTACACAGAGTTCTTGTTATAAAAATTTATTTATCAAACATTTTGAAAGTTTAATCCCAAAACTGAGCTATTCTAGACAAGAGTAAACAGAAATAAATTGTATGAAAACCTTGAAATACTTGGAAGTGAGTACAAAAAAATTCAATCATTGTAAATTAAGCAAGATCAAAATACCAGGCAGCTACTCAGAGAGACCAATAAAATTTTGCAGAGTGGAAAAAACAAAGAAGAGAAGCACAGAAAATGTATACAAGTTAATCTTCAAAATCCCAATGCAACAAAGGCATTGATTGTCAAAGAGATAGGCAGCACGAAGAGCTGAATAATCAGGCCAGTACACCTGTTAGTGTTTGATTATGATACAAAGTTCCTATATCAACAGGTTCATCATGTTGATTAGAAATATGACACATCATCATTACCATCTATATCACCACCATGAACAGCTCTCACCTGTTAGAACTATCATCTCCACGTCCTGGAAGGCGACCCCATCCCAGCTCTAAGATGAATCCGCACACACTCAAAAGCAGCCGCAGTAGCAGTAATCGTGGCGAGTCCTCATTCCACCTGGTGAAACTTCTCCACAGATACTACACACACGTAACACTTGGACAGAATGCGCGCACACACGAGGAGTATAACACGCACTCGGAACACCCTGGCAGTGGTTCCTTTTTGCTCACAACAAAAGAATAGTCAGCAACAACGGCAGCACGTAGAACATGGCTCACTGCTCGTGACGGGGCCAATTATTATTGCCGCGCGTACGCACAGCCGCCGCCTTCGCTTCTCTCGCTCTCTCTCTCTTTCTCTCCTTTCGCTTGCAGCACACACACTCGCTGCTTTCACGATGCTAGCGTCGTCGTCAGCGTCGTCTCATCTCTCTCGGCTTTTTCTTTACGTTCTCGCTCGCGGGACATTCAATGCACTGTGTTGCGTGGTCAACGTCGTCGCGGTCGTTGTCAGGTCGTCACGCATTACTGCCCCCAGCTGCCAGCAGCCACGTCGTCCTCGTCGAACGTATAATATTCACACTCGTACACGGGCGTCGACGGTGTTGATCTTTCCCTCTCTCCCCGCCGCGCGTCGTTCCGCGAGAGAAATTCACTGTACTGTCTGACTACACAGCTGCGTATGCGCTACCTGTATTTGCATGTGTGCGTGTGTATACATATGACCCGCGTGTGTATCGCGAGCGCACTCTCTCTTTCTCTCTCTCTCTCTCTCTCTCTCTTTCTATTCGTGCATATATGTATATACGTGCGAGTGTGTATATACTGTATAGTATATACTCTTCTTCCTTGTGGCGCTGCTGCCAGACGATGGGAGAGCTATGTTTCGGACGGATGATATACTAGCGCACGAGAGAGGTCTGGCTCTGGCTGATAGCGATGCATTGTGTATCGTAATAGAAAGTGACAACTCAACTACGACGAGATCCGCTGTTAATTACTAGATAGACATGCATGTAATAACTTCGTTGATGCTTTATTGATTTTTAGTTAAGTACCACGGAAAGCGCGATTTGCGTCGTGACATTTATTTGTTTATTTTGTTGCTATTATAAACTGATTTAAATCATTGATTGAGAAAAATTGAAATCTTCATTTCAATTTAATAAGTACGTAAGTTTAATTAATTTTAACATATTTTGGATAACGATCGAAGCATATTATAAAGCACAAAATAGATGAACCAGATTTAATTGCGAAATGAAACATGTATAGTTGAGAAGTTATTAGAGAAGAAAATATAATTATATCAATTACATTAATTATTAATCAACTGCATAGCCACATATTATACATAGGTACACCTGAGACATTTTTGTCATTAATAATCTATGAATTGTCGGTGACATGGTACAAATACTTTATAAAATATATAAAAACTTCGGACTGATAGTATGATTCATGAAAACTAGGTGAACTAGTTACCGATCGAAACAATTATTCCATAACAAAAGATACAGAAGTAATTTGTAAATTGCGCTCTCGCATGGCGTTTCTCAAAGCCAATCGAAGCTATTCTTGGAATGTCTATGTTGTTTGTTCCGACCAATGGAGACGCGATCGATAACCGTAATTTTTGAAACGATTTACTATGCCACGTGCTATTTGAATCAAATGCTAATTTATTGATTGTTTGTGACGTTATATACTTTGTTTTTTCCATCACGAATCAATAAAATGATCAAGTGACTAAATTGTTAGCATTGTAACCTCGATAAAAGCTTTCTCGCAATCTCGAAGTTTTCTTTATAACTAATAATTAATTAATGTAAATAGCATATAAGCGTGAACATTTTTAAGTAAGTCAAAAAGCAAACTTGCAGTCAAATACCTTTACGAGGCATTTAGAGAGTTATAAGTTTTAGAAACTTTAATGTTATTATGTTTGAGTTAAAAAAATCAATTTCAAAAATTATATTATATATATGTGTATGTGTATTTTTTTTCGACGAAAATGATAACGATACCTTCATAAATTCTATGACGAGAATTACACGTATTTCATAAAAAAATTTTAAAGGTTTATTTAATTATAAAAGAATTGTAAAATTTTATTTGATTTAGAATAAATATATAGATGATTTTTCCGTGAATCATTAAACATATACTATCAGTTAGTGCAATATTCCTAAAGAGATTCTAAGTTAATAACAAATGTACGAGAATACAAGTAAATATTTGAATGTCGTAGTAATGAGAACTTGATGAAATGAAAACGTTCGATACAAAGAATGATTGTATAATTTACGTGTACATCTCTTATTAATTCCAATCATCAAACTTTAACATCGTGTATTTTTTTGTTGCCTTTAAATTTAAAATTTACGAAAGATAAAAATATATTTTGTTTAATTTTATTCTATTCACTTTCTCTTTCTCTCTCCTCCCACAAAATTTTAAAGCAATATTAGTTTCAGTTTCATAGATAATTATAAAATTATTGATTTGTATATACTGATAAGAACAAAACATCACTTATATTTTTAAATAATTTATTTACGGTATATTTCTATTCTTGCAGATAATTATCCATATTATTTATTCATAAATAAAATTTACAGCTGAAATATAAATTTCATATTCTTAGATATGTAATATAATTATTTGAAAGTATACTAAAAATCAACATTTTCGCGCTCTTTTTTTGCATCAACCAATCACAAGTCACAACACGTTAAATATCGACGACTTATAAATTTTTTTAAGATAGAGAAGGGAGAAGATTTTTGAGTTTCAGTTTTTCTTGATTATTTAATAAACACTAATGATACACTTTATCAATCACTAAAAATATATAACAAATCCCAAATGACTGTTTTAAAAATAATAATTTATGTAAATCAATTTTTCTAAGCGTAGGTTCAATTAATTTTAACGTACCAGTATTTATTCATAGGTTTTCTTTCGGATTTCGAATGCAAGTTATTACGTACAATATAAAATTAAGTAGAATATTATTTATTGTTCAATTCTTCTTTTCATTTTATTAATGATTAAAAACTTTTTTACATTAAATAGACACATGTTCCGTTATGAAATAGATCAAGTCACACTTATCATCAACCACAGTTAATGTCGAATTTTACATGATATGAATACTGCAGTTTATAACCTCACGAATAAATATATTGATTAGTTATATTCCACCGCATATGGAACAGTTTAATCGAGTTCAGAATTCCACGTATCATTAAAGTTGTAATAATTAAATTTACACTATCATAGATTGGGTTGCCGTCGAGCAGGCTTCAATATACCTTTCAAAAGAAATTCTGAATTATTATCCATTAAAAAGACCTACGCTTTTACACTACAATGAACAGCAGATTTATTAGGTGTACCACTTTGCTTCCGCCGTTTTGCAATAGATGGCTGTAGCGGTAAGTGATTGTCGAAATAAATAGATCATAGATGTCATACCATAAGCTTAGGTATTTGTAAACATAACTAACGCCATCGAAATATTAGTCGATTTGTGTCTGCATCATAAAGTTATTCTCGATGAACATGTCAGTTTACGAGCCAAATTCTCGTCATTTTCGGGAGGTTTTAATTTTCTGCTTTTTCAGACCCCTGAAATTTTTCAATATTTATTACCGTTGAAATTCTGAAGAAAATAAATCGCGAATCGTGCTTGTACGTTATATGGGGATAGGTTGAATTTCAATATGATAATTTAATCTACTAATATAATGTTCTATCTATTAAATCATAATTTGAAGTAAAATTCTATTTACGGATTATGAAACAGTAGAAAGCACAAATCAAAATCAGAAATTCTATGTTACGCGATTCAAGATTTAAGTTATTTATAAAGTAATTTCATTAAAAAAAACAGGTTAATTTACATAAATTCTCTATTGTTTTGCTTTTTAACTAGAACGTTAATAGCGGAAAAGATTAAGAATTTTGAAGCCATATGTAGTTGATTTGAATGTCGAGTCTAATATTGCAAGCACATATAAATCTATTTAAAATCCCGATGCAAATACTTCTAGAATATTCAATGAACATGAAAAAATAACTTCTAGCATACAGGTACTCTCCACATTTTTTGATATTGTCATTGTTATTGTTATATTGACTTCAAGAACGGCTGGGTCCGTTTTGTACACATACCGATTCTATGCGATTTTATTCAATATGAATCTTTTAACTTTTTTTATCGAACACAGTAATATTTTATTTGAATACATAAATAAAATAATATTTATTAAAAAGTGTAAAATTATTGGACATGTTTATTTTTACACATAAATTAATTGGAAACTAATGAAATATTCTACATATCATAATTGTACGCTTAAACTTTTTTTTATTTATTGGACAAATTTATTATTAAATAGTCATTATTGTAAATGTACGAACTACTATTCTACAAAAATGTTCTGAAAGATTGTACGTAAATTAATTCTATACATAATTATAATTTATTTGCGAGAATCGTGGTTTAAAGTTTCTACACATAATGCTTTTTGATATATAATAAAAATAATGTTCTTCACGTAATCGATTTTTATTTTACATATACTATGTTGCATAAATATTAGTAAATAATATTGTACGCGGGATAGATTTTTTAACACATACTATTAAAAATTATCCAATCGTTAAATATAATATGTGTAGAAAAAATGGATCCCGTGTACAATACTATTTATTAATATTCATACAAGATAATACATGTAAAGTGAAAATCAATTAAATGTAGAACATTATTTTTATTATGTAACAAAAAGAACATTAAACCACAGTTCTAGTAAGTAAATTAATTCTGTGTAAAATTAATTTACGTCTAATCGTTCAAAATATGATTTGTGTAGAGTATTATCTTGCGCAAATAGTAATGAATAATATTGTACACGGGTTGGAATAGATTACCACTTAGTTGACTAAAGAATTAATCGATAATAGAAAAATAATTAAATCTCCTTGAAAGCAGATAAAACTCTTACTCATATGTCCTTTTGTTATTACAGAGTAGTAATTATGTCAACGTCAACAATATACTGTTATCAATTTACGGATTTTGAAGGTTGAAACGATTAAAACCTGTAGATAGTAAATATTATAGAAAGTATAAGAAATAATCAGATGTATCAAATAATAAAGTCGAGATTTAATATCAAATTTGAAACGATCGATCAACACATGAAAAATGTAATGATAAGATAAAGACTATTGCAATGTAACGATGCACTTGCGTAAAACCAAATTAATTTGATATTACAATTTGCCAGCAATAATGAAGTATCCAATTGCTCTTATTCTCTTAGGTTTATTAGTAAAAATTAATGGTAAGAGAATGTTCGCATTCAAACTCAACATAATTATCTTTAGTGTAAAAATTATTTAAAAATAATATTCATTTGTGCAGAAAAATGTGTAATTCAAAATTTTTAATTTACGATCTTGTTTCTTGATTTCCAGCTGCTCCTAGAATTATTGGAGGTAAAAATGCTCCTGATGGTAAGTATCCTTATATAGTATCCTTAAGGAGGATTCCAAATGACCATTTCTGTGGTGGTTCAATCATCAACAATAGGTGGATTCTTACCGCTGCTCATTGTGTCGAAGGGTATGTTTAAATTGAAACTACATATACCTCATCCATTGTCGCCTGATCTTCCGCGTATATCAATTAAATGAACATTCTGTGACTTAGCCGTGCTCACAAGTCTCTAAAGGTTGTTGCGGGCACTAACCTGATTCACGGCGGCAAGGAGCAAGTTTACGAGTCGGAATACATCGTTTCTCACAAGAGCTGGAACACTCCCGCTTTCAGTAACGATCTTGGCTTGGTCCGTGTCAGCAAGGATATCCAATTCAACGATAAAGTTCAACCGGTAAAACTGCCCACGGAGGACTTTAACAAAGTTGGCCATCCAGTTGTTATGAGTGGCTGGGGCACTACAAAAGTATGATCAATACTATTTCCAAGTGATAATATTCAAATTTTATAAAAAATGACGTGATCTGATATAGTTGGGCGGCACCGTTCCTAATAATCTCCAAGAAATAATCTTAAAGCTTTTCGATCAAAATCAATGTAACAAAGAAATGTCTGGACTTATCAATCGTGGCCACATCTGCACCTATACTAAGGCTGGAGAAGGCATTTGCCACGTATGTTAATCTCTTATTTGCAAATCTTTTATTTAAAATTTTTGTAATTTGTCATTATTGATTTGTAGGGCGATTCCGGCAGTCCTCTTGTTGTTGACGGTACTCAGATTGGTATCGCATCTTTTGTTGAACCGTGTGCCGTTGGAAAACCAGACGTTTTTGCCAGAGTTTTCACATTCTTAGATTGGATTGCTACTGAACAGGCAAAATTCTAGTTCCAGTCATTTGCGAATTGCTCCGAGTACAGTTATTCAACGTTTAAATAAACGATTTAAGTTATTTTCGAATCCTTTTTCTCTTTATATTTTTTGCACTTGTTAAAGCAATTAATTTTTTGTTGTATTCTGCTATATTATTCAGTAATCTTCAAAACTTTACGTACTTACCTTTTTTTAAAAAAATTAAACATTATTTAAACCGTCAAAATTATGGTTACTTATAGTAATTTAACTTTTGCTTATTAATATAGTGTATTATATACAGTATTTTCTTAAAATTGAAAGTACTTACGATTTAGTACTACATTGAACGTGCAGATTTTAATGAAATTTATTTAAAAACTGAAAAAAATCTTTTAGTTTTTTATGGGAACTAGCCGGGGACTAATAGTGATATTTCAACGTTTTCTGCTGAGTAAAATTAGTGCTAACGTGGATATTATCGTCATCTAATTTTTCATCTCAAAGTATTCCAAATAAGCTACAATTTCTTTCATAATAAGTGCCCCAGGTCCCATGAATTAACCGTTTGCATAACATCTTTCTATTTAAAAACTGTTGGTATCCATATAGAAGTCGTAGTCCGCGGTGGTCTAAAGATACAACTAAATCTGATTTCGAATCACTGATAGCTAAGCGAAAGTGGGTTATTTTGTAGCTCCGCCGACGATATAGTGATGACATGGAAGCGGCATGACCGGGAGGGACGACCTGGAAAACAAGAAAGGCAAAATTTTCGTAAACCATTCATAAAAGAAAATTTTCCTGATCGTTCAAGGCAAAAATTAGGTCTTGATTTATTCAAAGCACTGGTATTTGATAATAACAGATTATTATTCAAGATTTTTTAAAACTTGTCCTTTAAAAACTTTGACTGAATAAGAAATAATTAGACATTGTAAAATAATTTTCGTAAGATTTTGTATTCCTAAAATTGTACGAAGCGATAGCGGCTCACGATTTTCCACAAATTTCAAAAAATTTGTTAAAGAATTCGATTTTGAGCATGTAACTAGTTAGAAATAGGTTTATTGGCATATCGTACTACGCCACTATAGAAAATGGTTACTCACCAGCTGAATTACTTTATTCAAGAAAAATATACGATCCCGACTTTCTATATTACCAGCTAATTTGGGTACTTTTTCAGACTACAAGTTGGTAGAGTTGAGAGAGAACAAGAAAAAAGAAAAACAAGAGCTTATGTACAATAAACGTCATCGTACTACTAAATTATCTTCTGTTAATAAAGGCAATAGAATTTGGATAATTGATATGCGTTTGTACGGAAAAATTGTAAATTTCGATTCTAACCTTAATTCATTTGTCATTAAAACAGAAAAAGGTAGTATTGTTCGTCGTAATCGTTGGCACATTATTCCAGCTCCTTTTAAACATGATTTACAAGTTATAATTGACAGAGATCCAATTTTTATTGATCAAAACAATGAGGAAGTTTCGATGACAAATGAAAATATTATACCCACGATTTCATCAGCAATTCCTTTCACAAATCAAAATTTAATTTTACCTGCAAAGGTAATTGTTAATACTGAGCATGCTGATTAGAATTTGTATGACGAAAATATTGTTGATGAAAGAATAAATATTATTATGAATTTGAATACTGAAAATATTAAGGCAGAGAACGTAAATACTAATGTAAATGTCGAGCAAAATATGAATATTGAAGAGAGTGCCAATAAGGATTTTCCTATTGCTTTACACAAGTCATCTCGTAAAAGAAAGAAACCACAACGATTGGATGCATGAAAATTATTTTGAATCAAATTAATTTCATAAAAAATTCCATTTATTATTTATTAGTAATATTTGTTATATTCAGTATCTTTCTGTCTATTAATAAAAAGGGAAAGATATTGCGTGAGCATGTTCTGATAACATCAATTGTTACATTGGTATAACGCATACAAGTTCAGACTTGACTTGGCTCGTAAGAGAAACAGGCTCCTGAAATATCTTTCATTCTATCTAATATTTGTTATACTTATCTAACTTTTGCTATCACTAATAACGTTACCACAACAATAACGGTATTTAATTTTTCTAACTGCCTTAATATTTTACTGCTCTTCACCACACAGCCTAATAAGATAATTATATGCAAAGTGATACCTTGACTAATTTTAGTTTATATTATATTATATTCATAAATAAACCCTCTTCAATTAATAGAGATGTAAATGATTTATATCATATTGTGACAACAGTACAAAATATATTCAGAACTTATAAAAACAATTCACTATATAATTATAACAATTTGTACAACTTTTCTGTAAAAGTGATTTTGAAATAATTTAATACTTGGCTCGTTCAAAGGCTATCCAATCCAAGAAAGTGTAAACTCTGGTGAATACATCGGGCTTGCCTCTTGCGCAAGGCTGTCCAAATGAGACAATACCAATTTGAATGCCATTAGCGACGAGAGGACCACCCGAGTCACCCTGTAAAATCAAATAGGCTGATATTGATAAATAACGTTTTGTTAGAAGAAAACAATTATATATATATATATATATATATATATATATATATATATATATATATATATATATATATATATATTTACAACTTATGTTACATTTTGGTTTCATTTTTGTTACATTTCCTACTTCACTATTTGTATCTCGTGTCCAGTTTGTGTAGTTGCTAAGAAAAACAATTATAAATATTATCATTCTTATGTTACAAGCACCTTCTTCAATTTTAGTTTTAGTGCAAATGTGAGAATTGGTGATTTGAGCAATGTACGACATCTCTTTTCTACATTTATCTTGGTTGTAAATATTCAAGTCGATTTCTTGAAACTTGTTGAGAGCTTCACCTGTTGGACTTTCTCTTAGACTGATTGTTTCTCCGCTGCAACCACCCCTCCCAGATGGACCTCTTACCCCTTACACGTGAGGGCATAGCCTTAAAATTTTTCCGAGTTATTCCTATCCTCAGTCTTTTTCATGGATCACTGAGAAACCTCGAGACAGCCCTTGGTTGCCTCGAATCGCATCCAAAAACTTTCTCGTGGCTGAGACAGCCTTGGGAAAACGCGGCACTCGCTCCCCCAAGCTGTAGCATACGGCCATGGCCATCAGCCACAGCCCCAGACGAACAAGAATTTGAGTAGGCATGCCGACCTTTTTCTCGCTGTTTGCAGTTTTGAGACAACCAGTCTGTACATAATTTTCAAAAAAACGGGCATCGCACGTTTTCGTGGCACGTTAACCCTCGACCTGGTTATCCTGCTACGCTCTAACCCCGAACTCCTACACCCGAATTTCATCAATCATCGAGCTGGTTACTCGGCCACGCTCTAACCCCAAACACCTACACCCGAATTTCATCAATCATCGAATTGGTTACCCTGCCACGCTGTAACCCCAAACTCTTTCCCCATCGCAGCATTTGGATTTTCCCCAGTCGCTTTCCCGACGCGGACAATAACTGACGGTCAGATGGATTCTAAGCATTCGTGCTTAGGATGATCTAGCCGTCCGCAACATCACCGTTCACCTACAAAAAAAATATTTTAAATATTTTTTTCAGTATCAACGATAAAAGTGACATGGAATATGACTATGAAAGATAATAGAACTAAATTACATTCATCTCGCCCCAACCAGTCAGTTTGACGGAATCTTCAATTTTATATGTTTCCACAGGACCAGGTAAAGCAATAGGTTGTATCTTATCGTTGAACTCAATGTCCTTGTCGACACGGATCAAAGCAATGTCATTTTGCAAAGCGGTCTCGGTGAAGTTTTTGTGATAGGTAATGTATTCAGAATAGTAGTCTTGCTTCTTTCCTCCTTCAATTAAATTGGTTCCAGCTACTACTTTAATAGGTTCGTATCCATGACTGCTTGGCACATTATCGATTATTGTCATGAACTTGGAATGAAAGAATAATATTATTTGTCAATTTTTTGAATAAACATACAATTGAACGCAGTGTGCAGCGGTAAGGATCCATATCTTGTTTATAATCGAACCACCGAATTGGTTAAGGTTTCCGAATCTTAGTAATACCTGGTAGGTATATTTGCCTTCCGGAGCATCATGACCTTCAACGATCCTAGGAGCAGCTGAAACATCATAGTCGCTGATTTGATTTATTCGATTTAAATTTCCTTAATTTTCTTTTTTTTTTTATTGCAATAATACAAAATATAATTGATTTATTACATTGACGCTAAAAAAATTCATTCTATATTGCACTGACACTTAATTATATCAACTTGATCACTACTTTTTAATTACAACGGATATTGTAAATTAAAATACTAAGCCAATTTATGTTGTAAATAATGACAGTATTCTTAGTAATTTTATTATAGCACAAATAATTTATTAGTATTCAAAATTATATAAGTACACATTCCACTGCCCAGTCATTAATTCGAAACCCATGAAATTCAAAATCCGAATTATCTTCGACAATTGAGCAACGATAGCATCAAACAAGGTTAGATAAGGGTTTATTTTGGCAAGTTATACTCCCGTAACTTACCAGAAAAAAACCCATTTGAAGCCATCGATGCTCAATTATCGAACATAATTTAAATTTCAAACTCGTGGTCCGCGAATTAATGTCCGGATAATGTACATACCATAAGTGACCACTACAAAGCACAATAAAATAACACTAATCAATAATTTCATCGTTACTACGGTAAATTTGGAACTTATCAGCAGTACAACTTCACCTGAACTGTACTTTCCATTCATGGCATTGCTTATTTATATTATTCTGAGTATGATAGTTGAATGAATCACTGAGATCGATCGTAAAATTCACAGCACGTGCTTTACGATCGATTTTGATGATTATTTTCTAAAATTATAATAAGAGCATTTAGTTTTATGTAATTTTATTTATGTGATTAACATTTGTTAATGTGCATTAAGTCATCATCTTGATATGATTGATGACAAGTTAAACGTTTCCAGAAAAATGCATCTATTTTCATACTTCTATTTCAATGTTATGTAAGCATTAATATAAGTCATCGACTAAATCAAAGATCACGAAATTAGATAAGTCAGTGAAGAATTCCATGTGTGATTATCTTCCAACCTCAATTTTTTATTAATATCGTTGATTTACGATTTAGCCTGTTTAGATTATTCGATACAACAAATTTAAAAATTCTTGAATTAGAAGTATACAAATAATGCATCTAATAAATACTATGTTTTGGAAACAACATTCACCAATTATATTGTGAAAAAGATTTCCTCTGGAATTTACAGTACTACAGATTTACCAAACTACTTTGGTCAGCTATAAATTACTGTTACATTTGTCACTTTGTATCAAATCATTTAATGTATGCTAGTACATACTTCAAATTCTATTTATGTGTATAATAATGAATTCTAGAAGCTACTTTATTTCTCAACATCATACATTTATTTAAGCGTGCGAACAATTATGCATGGTTTTATTGTACATATAAACTATTGTGCACAATGATATGGGACGATTAGCATGTATCTATTCTTACGCTATGTTACTGTACACAATTTGTGTGTGTAATGAATATGTGCATAATTATCGACACACCTTTATTTGTAAGGTTTGCAAATTTACGCAACATTTCAAAGTATTTCACAAGTCGGCGAATGCTGTATTCACTTAATATAATTTCTCTGACATTAATTAGTAACTGCCATTCCAAATGAATTACTTTTACCTGTCGATATATTTTAATTTAATATTTACCGGATTTTGCAGGTAATCTTCCGTAGTCTATAAGAGCTACCGCTATCGGCAACAAGATTAAATAGAAGAGATTAGATATTATTCCAAAAAGTTTTATTAATATATGCCTGTCATCGAAGTTGTTCTTTATGATTATGATTAAGAAGAAAACGAAATACATACGAAACGAAATTGCTCGGATTATTTGAGTAATATCGATTAAATACGTGTTTCGATGAAGTTATTATCTATGAATTAATTATAATTTATTATTAATTATTATTTATATATATCATTATTACAGGATATATATATTATATATTGTTATCTTATCTTACAGCCTTCATACTTTGTACATGTTAGTTTTTTCTTCTACGAATGGTTCTTTAGGACAGCATTCTTTTTATATTTTTGTTTGAAAGAACAATATTTTTAATAGCACAAATAGAACACAAATTGAGGCCGTAAATTTAACTTATTTTTATATAATGATAAAATAATTCGATTCAACATAGTCGTACAGTATCAATCTGCCCTTATTTAAATGTTAAATGTTCGATTTCCAAGCTAATGGTCCAATAAACTCGATTACATTAAACGTAGATAATTTATCTGAAAGTTTCTTAAAATTTATTTCGAACGTTAATGTAAGTGACATATCACGCATTTATGGCTCATGAGTTGGTTACAAATTTATTTATGTTTTATGTTTTCTCAATGTAAACTACTCTAGGAATGTTACATATCTCTCTATAAAAGATGAATTTTCAATTTTTATTTTGATATTAACGCTAAATTGAAAGTCGGCAATCATCAAGCTATTTTTCAACTATATCGCTATAACGCGCAAAGGTATTTTGAGAAATACGAACGCAACGATTACCACAACCAGATTTGCGCACAGGCGGTGATGGAATTGTCTTCAAAATTTTTTTAGTTTAACTCGCAATCAACTGGATATGATAGTAGATTAATATAAAAAGATTCCAGAAGGTCAATCAGTTACGTTTAATTAACACAAAAAGTACATCAAATGGAATAAACAAAGTCTAACGTGAAATTTGTATAAAAATAAATTATTATTATTATAATTGTTACTTCAAGTACTACCATCATGTTATATATCTATAAAAAGTATATTATTATCGAAATGCAGAAGTACAAGGTATTTTGAGTAATTATAATGAAATTATAGCTATATAGCGACATAATTGATGGTATTTTGTTGATAGAGCAAATTAAAAATGTTTGATTCATCTAAAACTTGGCTTGTTCAGCGGCAATCCAATCAGAAAAAGTGTGAACTCTGGTAAATACATCGGGTTTGCCTGCAGCACAAGGCTGTCCAAATGAGACAATACCAATTTGAACACCGTCAGCAACGAGAGGACCGCCCGAATCGCCCTGTAAAAATATTATTAAATAAGCTGATGTTTGTCAATAACGCCTCATTTAAAAGAAAATATCAGTTAAAAAAGTTGAGATTCTTACGTGGCAAGCGCCTTCTCCAAGTTTGGTTTTAGTGCAAATGTGAGAAATGGTAATTTTGGTAACGTATGACATCTCATTTTTACATTTATCTTGGTCGTAAAGATTCAGATCGATCTCTTGAAGCTTGTTGGGGGCTGCACTACCCAACTGTCAAAGAAAATAATTAAGTAAATGTACAACATTTGCAGAAAATAAATCATAAGTAGAAAGAACAGAAAAGAAACTTACTATGGTACTACCCCATCCAGTCAGTTTGACCGACTGACCATTTTCATAGAATTCATTCTTGGGTAAGGATATTGGCTGTACCTTGTCATTAAATTGGATATTCTTACTGACGCGAATCATAGCAACATCATTTTGCAGGGTGCCTATACTAAAGTTTTTATGATAAGAAATGTACTCCGATCGATAGATTTGCTCAGCACCACCCTTCAGGAGGTTTGTGCCGGCGACTACTCTAATTGATTCTTGCCCCTGCCTGTTTTGCAAATAAATCGTGATTAATAAAAATTTTACTAATGAATTATGTATCAATGATATCTAAATATACCCTTGGACGCAATGAGCAGCGGTAAGAATCCATCTGTTATTGAGAATTGAACCACCGCAGAAGTGGAAATCGCCATTTCTCAATGATACTTGGTACTTGTACTTGCCGTCTGGAGCATCTTTACCTCCGATAATCCTAGGCGCAGCTGAAAGGTGTGCGTGAGATTACGCATTAATTATTTTTGTACCATAAAACATCACACTTTTAAAACAATTGAATTACGTACCATACGTGACCACTGAGCAGCATAATAGAACAATACCGATTAGTAAATGCATTATAGTAACAAATTAATAAAACTTGTCAATAGTAGAACTTTATCTGAACTGCGTTGTCCGTCGGTGGTTCTGCTTATTTATGTAGTTTCAAGCAGCTTGATTGCACGAATCTTTTTTGATGGCTCGTGAACTGCAATATACGTGCATTATACTGCACATATGTAACTGATAAGAAAACATTACAAAGAAGGACTTGAATTTTTTAACATTGATAAGAACTTGTTATTTATCATAGTTTCATTCTTATTATTATCATCTTCTAATGCGCCTCAGATAATTTATTGTAAAAATTCATTAGTCTTCTTATTTCGACCATGAATATTTACATTATTACTTACTGTCCATACATTTTAATATTGTTATTGTTATTGTTATAGTGCTTCAAGAACGGGTAATATTTCATTTCAATACATAAATAAAATAATGTTTATTATAAAGTGAAAAGTTATTGAACACGTTTATTTTCTACATATAAATTAATTGATAACTAACTGAAACTAATATTCTACGTATCATAAATGTACACTTATTTTTTTATACTTATTGGACACATTAATTATTGAATACGTATTATTCTACACGAACAAGCTACTATTCTACACAAATAATGTTTTGAAAGAATAGACGTAAATTAATTTTTCATAATTAATTAATTTGCCAAAATTGTGGTTTGAAGTTTCTACACATGATGCTTTTTATTATATAATAAAAATAATGTTCTACCCATAATTAATTTTTATTTTACATATATTATTTTGGGTAAATAATAATCAACAATATTGTACAAGGGATCCGTTTTTTCTACACATATTATGTTTAATAATTGGATAATTGTCACTACTATGCTAATGATAATTGTTATGCTATGGTAAATGTTAATTTATACTTCTAGTTAGATCGATCCAATTAAATCGATTGAATAAAGCATTTATAAATGCAGTCTACTAATTTGAACAATACATTACTTAATAATGAGAATTTCCTAAATTGCCGACCATAGTCGGCGGCAAATGGTCAGTAATTAGACCGCCGCCCCGCAATAAGCGGAGCACTCGACCATTGTCTAGCATCTCTTACCTTACGGAAATGGACTTGAATCGACCATGATTTTCATGACTAAGGGCGTAGGATGATGAGTAATATCAACTTATGAAAGTTTTATGTATTGTAAGTAAATATTATGTTATTTAATATAAAAAAATCAAATACCGTTGTCGTTTTTGGCAAGTTAAGCTCAAAAGAAAATGAAAGGCGTCCTTTAACATATTAAAATTAGGCTTTATTTCAAAATGATATTTAATTGGTATTGTTGAGTGTACAGGTCAACGAAACGATAATGAGTGATACCTGACAAGGACGAGAGGGGGCGGGCCAAATATTTCACATTAATTAAAAACAATCACCTTAATTATTTGCTTTTAATATTTATAGATGGTGCGCGTTTCTCCAGCTCCTGGGCCATTGGAGGTAATTTTTGAATTTTATGAATAATGTTAAGTAATGTGAAAATATAAATAACGTTTTGTATTATTTATAGATACTACACGGTACACCTCGCAAAACATCAAGAAGAGGCAAGGTGGTAAATGAAATTACCGAAGCAGTCGAAGTTCCAAGTCCATTACGAGTTATGAATCTTAGAAACAGAAATATAAGCGTTTCACCATCCCCGAACAAAAATATGTTTTTTAAAAAATAACGTTATTTTCTAAAATTCCATTAATAAAATCCATCCATCCGTAATTTTTTTCATTAGTTTATTTCCAGTCAATCACTTACATTACTGCAAGGAATAAGTAAAATCGTTTGAAATCGAATACTATGATAGGATAATCAGTTAATAAATGATATAAAGTATCGAATATAATATAACTCTTTAATAAACCAAATTCAGCATAAATAATAATGAACAACAAATCGTATCATCGTCATTCGCACTAGATCAGAAGTGTGACGTCTTTTCTTGAATCCAGTCAAGGAAAGTAAAAATTCGAGTGAACACATCAGGTTTGCCACGTGCGCATGGCATACCAAAGGAAACAATACCGATTTGAACACCGTCAGCAACAAGTGGGCCACCAGAGTCTCCCTGGATTGAATAAATACAATCATTAGAGTTAACTTGCCTTTAAATAGCTTCGTTATTTTAAAATTTAGTAACTTACGTGACAGGCACCTTCTCCAACTTTGGTCAACGTGCAAATGTGAGACTCTGTGATCGCGACGGTCATCGCGTTGGCACACTTCGTTTGACTGATAACTCGAAGCACGATTTCTTGAAGAATATTTGGAGCTCGGCCACCAGCCTTATATCATCATCATAGCAAATTAAACATCATCTTGTGCTTTTCAAACAGTATTAGACAATAGCCCTACTATACAAAGATTGCAAAGTTACCTGCATGCTACCCCATCCAGTCAAAGTAACAGGGTAGTTATCTTTGCTGAAGTCTTCGTCGGCAATGGGAATCGGTTGAACTTTATCGTTGAATTCGATGTCACGATTGACACGAATGAGACCAATATCATTGACGAATTTCGCCGCATTGTATTTCTCGTGCCAGACGATGTACTCGGATTTGTAAACTTGTGCGTTACCACCACTGAGCTTGTGGGTACCAGCAATTACGGTCACTGCGCCTCCCCTGCGTCTATAAATGTTTTTTAGACGTGGAATTGAATTTCTTTTTTTAACTTTTTGTACATAATGTAGATAAATGTAACGTTTACCCAATCACACAGTGAGCAGCAGTAAGAATCCATCGTTCATTGAGAATCGAACCACCACAAAAATGTGTCGGTGCTCTGAGTGACACTTGATACGGGTAAGCTCCATCCTCGGCATCATGACCACCAACAATTCGCGGCGCAGCTGAAAACATAAATCTTATATATGTACTAGACATTATGCTTTGGAGTCATTACAATCATTTTAGTGTTCGAAGTTTTTTTTTTCACAATATCTCAAAATGTGATAATACGATTATATTGAATATCTATACCATAAGCTGTCACCGCGAGGCACATAAAAATAACACCAGAAATAGTCTTCATTGTTAATCAAGTATCAATTGTACACTCAAGAGCTGACTGATGTCAATGCAACATCATTTGTAAGTATTTATACTTAATCTATCAGTTTTCACTGCAATGTGCCTTTAAAATGCCCGATAACAGTGAATTTTGGGGATCAGAAAGTACGCAAAGAAGGTCCAATCTGATAATTTGTAATAACGGATAAATGGTTTCTTCGTTTGTGATTGATTACATTGCTTGTTAGCAATGATTTGCATTGCTAATAAGTCCGAACCCTATTTGTTTGGGTCTAAGTACTTATAGGTATTTTAGAATTCTTTTAAAATTGAATTGCGAATTGATTGATTATGAGTAAAAATAATTACGTTAATGTTCGGATTGAATCAAAACTAATACTGGAATTGTAGTGAATGTTATTGATATTTATTTTTATTGGAGAAGACGAGTATGTGCACACGAATCGGTTACATTATTTACACTACATTTTATTCTAGTTATTTATTTTTCTCAACATCGAAAAGGCAGAAGTTTTGTATTTCAACATTATTATTTTATGTATGTTGGCGTTTATCTTTGGAACGGTGCCAGCGATCCTAATAGGGTAGCATCATTTGACAAGGATATCTTTCGAAGATAAGTCCGATGAGATTTTGACTTGATAGAATGATAACTTTGCGAGTAACCGCAATAAATGAATTTTAAGTCGGCTTTTTATTTAAACAAATTGTTCTTGTTTATCTTGAATTCAAGTAATAACATTTTGATATGATCTGCGACATTTTCAGTATGCAGTTACTAGCGACGAAAACTATAAACCATCGCTACCTCGCGAAAAAAAGGTCATCAATTTATTTTATTAATACAACTCGGCAACGCCCGATTGCACAAAATAATCACGATCGAATCTTAGATTAAAGTAAGTCATCGCAGATTGTAATTCGAAAGCATTGAATGATTATCGTGTCATTTTAATTATTTATTACACGGAATCTGTAAATCCCTAACCGCTTTTCTACTGATTCGATAGACATATATAGGTATCTAGATTGTACAATTACGAAGTGAAAATTTAAAACTTGTAAAAGATATAGAAATAAAATTAATTGGACAATGATAAAAATTTGTCTTCTATAGTACAAATTCGATTTTGTTTTATTTAGGTATTACATATAGCTAAAGTCGATATATGGTAGCAATTCATTAAGTATATATAGAATATATTCGTTAATTATGTATAGTCGTAATGAATTGGCATATTTTTAAATTACTTGTATTGTAATTTGTATTTTTTATTATTTGTTTGCTTGTATATACGCATAATAATTATTTATAATTAAATAAACTTGTCAACTATTTTTTAACATTTTACAGCATAATACTTTATTTTTCAAAATCTCAAGCAGCTTAATTCACAGATAAATTAGCTGTACGGCCAATAGCTGGCTTAATGATTCAGACAAATTGCAGTAACTTCTTGCATAATATTTCTTAAAATATTTTCCAAATATTCCAAGAAACACGACACTGAAATATTTTAGAAACTTTTTGTGAAAATTTCAATAAATTATTTTATTTATAAAAAATTTTTCAAAATTGATCAAGTAATTTTTAAGAAAATTTTTGGTAAAGTTTTTATATAATATCCATTTATATATTAACTATGTTAATGTTACATTATTTCATTCATTTATGTATGACCGTACAACTGTATTAATTAAATGAAATTGAACATTTATAATCGCAGAAACATTTCGCATGGGAATCGAACCCCGGACGCAAGGGATAACGCGCTGATATTTATAACCAACTATGCTATATCGCAACACGTAAAGTTACTGGGCAACTTTTAATATTCAAGCTTCAGTGAAAATTTACAACTTTGGAAAATATTTATTTAACAAGATTAATTTATTAATTCATTCATTGATTTATTCATTAGTTTTCTATTTATTAAATGAAATTATTAATCTTCCAAAAAGTATCGTTGAAAATAATAACAGAAATATCTCAAAATATTTTACAAAAATATTTTATTGACATTTCGTGGGATGTTTCTATAAATATTGCTGAAACATTTTCATGAAATATGTTAATTGTTTAATTATTTTGACTACAAAATTTTAATCGTTTGTCATCAGTTATGCCTCTAGGTAGAACCGCTGCTGTCCCTTAAGTCAATTTAATTTAGAAAGAGTACCTAAAAACATTTTTTGGTTTGCTACTATTGACTCTACAGGTATAAATACGGCTCCGATCGTGGCAAGAGATCGTGAATCAAGCGCTATGTGACAACACCACGCTCAGCAGCAACTCCATGGGATGCTGTTAAGGCAGAACGCGGATCAAGTTCGGGACACGTCCTTCTACTGAGAGCCGACTCAGCGATCAGACGTTACCTCGACGTAGACGATGAGACCGTAGTTGTTGGCTTATGAGCCATATTCGCTAGGCAAATTGACAGCAATCGAAATGTACTGGCAAGCTTCTTGACATTCTCTGGTGGATGCGATACAGTGCCATGACGTCAATGATGTCCTGCACTACCAAGAACAAAACGATTTCATCGTTTTGGTGTTTGAACGAGGTTCCAAAGATGTGGTTGTTACTGGATTAGGCTATTAAGACCTGTGCTATAAAAATTCCAGCGATACACTGCTTTTTTAGGATTTATACTAGAAACATTGGTCCTGATAGATAATTACAATAAACATGATATAACTGAATTCACTGAATAACACCGATTGTTTACGGCGATGCGCCGCGCCGTTACTCGTTTTAGTAAAATGATTACGAGGGTGATCCGATAAGTACTTAGCCTACAAAAGAAAAACGAAAATTTTGGAAAAGTGGCGTTTTATTTTTCAACATACAACTTTTTTAACCCGTCTGAAAAATACGTTTCCTCGAGGTCTGAAAAGTAGGCTTCCGTGGCAGCGATTACCTCCTCATTCGACTCAAATTTCTGCCCGGCGAGTGACTTTTTCAAGTTTGGAAACAAAAAGAAGTCGCACGGGGCTAAATCTGGAGAATACGGTGAATGGGGTAGCAGTTCGTAGCCTAATTCGACCAATTTGGCCATGGCGACGGCGGAGGTGTGAGCCGGTGCGTTGTCATGGTGGAAGAGCACATTTTTCTTCGCCAAATGGGGCCGTTTTTTCTGCAATTCGACGTCGAATCGGCCCAATAATTCGGCATAGTACAGCCCTGTGACCGTTTTGCCCCTCTCCAGGTAGTCGATGTAGATCACACCTTGTGAATCCCAGAAAACGGTGGCCATCACCTTTCCGGCCGATGGGGCAGTCTTCGCCTTCTTCGGAGCACTTTCGCCAATCGTTAAATGTAAATATGTAAGTCTAATGTGTCAATGACTGAAAATATCAAAATTGAATATTTACCTTGGGCGTTTGTCCTCTGACTTTGCCGGCACGAACCAGAGAACCACGGAACTTACCATCGAGAAGATTTAAAGTCAAGTCCAAGATAGTCGAAGTTAGCTCGCTGACGTGCATTTCGTCATCCACTGGGATGCCATTGCAAAGTATTGAGTATTGGCATCCTGGAATTCTGTGAGCTTTTTCTGTTCAAAAAATTGTTATATAAAATGTAAATGTAGATTATCACGATCGACAAAATTATTTATTTAATTGTTTACTTAAGTTTTTGTAGCTAATAAAAAAACGCCATATAAGTCAAAATTACCTGGCAATGACGTTTTCATCGAAGATAATTATTATATGAAAATAGTTAAACATAGTCATCTTATACGGTTGTAAATAATAATACCCACTTTGATATTGGTTTTTGTTTTATTGTCCCCGCACTCAAGGAAGTAAGATTATTATCCTCGAATGTGGAGCTGCATCTTACGTTGTGTATATAGGTTTAACAGGTTGAATAGTCCTCACAACAAAAATCACTACAAATTTCAGTAAAGTGTTGGTCTGAAGAGTCTTGGAGAGACCACTCGTTCTGGGCAGTTACGACTGAATTTATTGAATGTACTCCATCGCTTCGCCTTGGACCTTTTATACCATTATACTAATCCTACCCTTCTCTGCAATTTCTCATTCACTACATTAGCGAGTATTCCTTATCATCTTACGCCCTTAGTCATGAAACTAGAACATTATTCGCTAATTTTTAAAACGACTTAAATTTGTTATAAAATGTTAGTTTATGTTTTCATTACCGTATTGAAAATATCGGCATTATATAAAACATAAACAATAAAATGAAGGAAAAAATCATTTGTATTATTACTTTAATATATTGCATGATATTACATAGGGGGTCGGATGCAATGAGGGGCAATATAATCATTTTACTAAAACGAGTAACGGCGCGGCGCCTCGCCGTAAACAAACGGTGATATTCAGTGAATCCAGTTATATCATATTTATTGTAATTATCTATCAGGACCAATGTTTCTAATATAAATCCTAAATAAGCAGTGTATCGCTGGAATTTTTATAATCTAAATTGCGTTGGATGAACGGTCGGGGGGGGGGGGGGGGAGTCGAACGGCGGCCAGTCGTGTGCTTCCAACAAAATGTTCTAGGTCGTTCAAAATCGATGACACTAATAAAATATCACTTTTCTTGTAAACTATATGTAATATAATTACATCATCTTTTTTTTTAATCTGACACTACGTGACGAGACAAATTTATTTCTATAAAGCAAAGTATTTTATTTTTAAAGGGAACTTCAGATTCTACGTGTTTTCAATATGTCTATATCAATTTGTCAACAATTGCCGACTGTTCGATATTGTTGTCGAGGTGAATATCATATTCGAATTTGATCTGGTTGTCGATGAATAAATCGATAACACCATGGTATCTATTGGCCATTGATTATACATACAGTGGAGTAGGTTGTCATTATTGACGATCATTTGATAGCACAGGCCTTAATAGCCTAATCCAGTCAGAACCACATCTTTGGAACCTCGTTCGAACACCAAAGCGATGAAATCGTTTAGTTCTTGGCAGTGCAGGACATCATTGACGTCATGACACTGTATCGCATCCACCAGAGAATGTCACGAAATGTCAACAACATATTTGTATAACATTTCCTAAAATATTTTTAAATGATTTTAGAAACTTTGCAGCGGAAATATTTTATTAAATATCTTAGAAAGGTTTCTTAAAATATTTTTGTAAAATTTTTGTAAAATCAGGTCATACATGAATGAATGTAATATTGCAACATTAACATAGTTAATATATAAATAAATATTATATAAAAACTTTACCAAAAAATTTCTTAAAAATTACTTGATCAATTTTGAAAAATTTTTTATAAATAAAATAATTTATTGAAATTTATATAAAAAGTTTCTATAATATTTCAGTGAAGTGTTTCTTGGAGAATTTGGAAAATATTTTAAGAAATATGCAAAAGATTACTGCAACTTGTATGAATCATTAATCCAGCTATTGGCTGTACAGCTAATTTATCTGTGGAATAAGCTGCTTGATATTTGGAAAAATAAAGTATTATGCTGTAAAATGTTGAAAAATAGTTGACAAGTTTATTTAATTATAAATTACAATACAAGTAAATAATTACGACTGTACATAATTAACGAATATACTCTATATACTTAATGAATTGCTACCATACATCGAATTTAGCTATAATACCTAAATAAAACAAAATCGAATTTCTACTATAGAAGACAAATTGCTGTCACTGTCCAATTAATTTTATTTCTATATCTTTTACAAGTTTTGAATTTTCACTTTTTATTGTTATAAATATAAAACGTAATTGTACACTCTAGATACCTATATATGTCTATCGAATCAGTAGAAAAGCGGTTAGGGATTTACAGATTCCGTGTAATAAATAAATAAAATAACACGATAATCATTCAATGCTTTCGAATTACAATCTGCGATGACTTACTTTAATCTAAGATTCGGTTGTGATTATTTTGTGCAATCGGAATTTGCCGAGTTGTATCAATGAAATTAATTGATGACCTTTTTTTCGCGAGGTAGCGATGGTTTATAGTTTTCGTCGCTAGTAACTGCATACTGACAATGTCACAGATCATATCAAAATGTTATTACTTGAATTCAAGATAAACAAGAACAATTTATTTAAATAAAAAGCCGACTTAAAACTCATTTATTGCGGTTCCTCGCAAAGTTATCATTCTATCAAGTCAATGATGAAATGGAAACATCTGGTGAATCTCATCGGATTTCAAATGATGCTACCCTATTAGGATCGGTGGCACCGTTCCAAAGATAAACGCCAACATACATAAAACAATAATGTTGAAATACAAAACTTCTGCCTTTTCGATGTTGAGAAAAATAAATAACTAAAATAAAATGTAGTGTAAATAATGTAACCGATTCGTGTGCACATACTCGTCTTCTCCAATAAAAATAAATATCAATAACATTCACTACAATTCCAGTATTAGTTTTGATTCAATCCGAACATTAACGTAATTATTTTTACTCATAATCAATCAATTCGCAATTCAATTTTAAAAGAATTCTAAAATACCTATAAGTACTTAGTCCCAAACAAATAGGGTTCGGACTTATTAGCAACGCAAATCATTGCTAACAAGCAATGTAATCAATCACAAACGAAGAAACCATTTATCCGTTATTAAAAATTATCAGATTGAACCTTCTTTACGTACTTTCTGATCCCCAAAATTCACTGTTATCGGGCATTCTAAAGGCACATTGCAGTGAAAACTGATAGATTAAGTATAAATACTGACAAATGATGTTCATTGGCATCAGTCAGCTCGTGAGTGTACAATTGATACTTGATTAACAATGAAGACTATTTCTGGTGTTATTTTTATGTGCCTCGCGGTGACAGCTTATGGTATAGATATTCAATATAATCGTATCATCACATTTTTAGATATTTAGAAAAAAAAACTTTGAATATTAAAATGGTTGTAATGACTCTAAAGCATAATATCTAGTACATGTATAAGATTTATGTTTTCAGCTGCGCCGCGAATTGTTGGTGGTCATGATGCCGAGGATGGAGCTTACCCGTATCAAGTGTCACTCAGAGCACCGACACATTTTTGTGGTGGTTCGATTCTCAATGAACGATGGATTCTTACTGCTGCTCACTGTGTGATTGGGTAAACATAACATTTATCTACATCACGTACAAAAAGTTAAAAATGAAATTCAATTCAACGTCCAAAAAACATTTATAGACGCAGGGGAGGCGCAGTGACTGTAATTGCTGGTACCCACAAGCTCAGTGGTGGTAACGAACAAGTTTATAAATCTGAGTACATCGTCTGGCATGAGAAATACAATGCTCCCAAATTCGTCAATGATATTGGTCTCATTCGTGTCAATCGTGACATCGAATTCAACGATAAAGTTCAACCGATTCCCATTGCCGACGAAGACTTCAGCAAAGATAACTACCCTGTTACTTTGACTGGATGGGGTAGCATGCAGGTAACTTTGCAATCCTTGTATAGGAGGAATATTGTTTACTACTGTTTGAAAAGCACAAGATGATGTTTAATTTGCTATGATGATGATATAAGGCTGGTGGCCGAGCTCCAAATATTCTTCAAGAAATCGTGCTTCGAGTTATCAGTCAAACGAAGTGTGCCAACGCGATGACTGTCGCGATCACAGAGTCTCACATTTGCACGTTGACCAAAGTTGGAGAAGGTGCCTGTAACGTAAGTTACTAAATTTTAAAATAACGAAGCTATTTAAAGGCAAGTTAACTCTAATGATTGTATTTATTCAATCCAGGGAGACTCTGGTGGCCCACTTGTTGCTGACGGTGTTCAAATCGGTATTGTTTCCTTTGGTATGCCATGCGCACGTGGCAAACCTGATGTGTTCACTCGAATTTTCACCTTCGTTGACTGGATTCAAGAAAAAATGTCACACTTCTGATCTAGCGCGAATAATGATGATACGATTTGTTGTTCATTATTATTTCTGCTAAATTTGGTTTAATAAAGAGTTTATATCATTTATTAACTGATTATCTTATCACAGCATTCGACTTAAAGCGATTTTACTTATTCCTTGCAGTAATGTAAGTGATTGACTGGAAATAAACTAATGCAAAAATTATGGATGGGTGGATTTTATTAATGGAATTTTAAAAAATATCGTTAATTTTTAAAAAAACATCATTCAATTTAAAAAAAAAAAATTTATTTTCGTATAACTAAATTCAATACTTTTTCTGATAATTCTCACTATAAAAAATGTACAAATTCCTGTTTATACAATAGAAATATTTTTACTTGTTAAAATTACTGTACGTTAAGCACATTGCTTATCGTTTTTTCTTCTCTGAAAGAAAAATGAACAATTCAACAAAATTTCAATTTTGATTTACAAAGAGATTTACCCGAGGAGTCTTTTTTTTCGGAGATGGAGAAACGTTAACATTTCTACTTCTCAAATTCATCACTCGTAAATGGCCCATATCTTCGGTTACTTCAGCTGTAATTTCTTTCGCCAGACTACATTTTATTGGTGTTTTACAGGGTGTAACTACCCGAGGAGTTTTTTTGTTCGGGGATGGTGAAACGCTTATATTTCTGTTTCTAAGATTCATAACTCGTAATGGACTTGGAACTTCGACTGCTTCGGTAATTTCTTTTACCACCTTTCCTCTTCGTGATGTTTTGCGAGGTGTACCGTGTAGTATCTAAAAAAAATACAAAACGTTATTTATATTTTCACATTACTTAACATTATTCATAAAATTCAAAAATTACCTCCAATGGCCCAGGAGCTGGAGAAACGCGCACCATCTATAAATATTAAAAGCAAATAATTAAGGTGATTGTTTTTAATTAATGTGAAATATTTGGCCCGCCCCCTCTCGTCCTTGTCAGGTATCACTCATTATCGTTTCGTTGATCTGTACACTCACCAATACGAATTAAATATCATTTTGAAATAAGGCCTAATTTTAATATATTAAAGGACGCCTTTCATTTTCTTTTGAGCTTAACCTGCCAAAAACTACAACGGTTAAATAATTAATAAATAATAATGAACAGCGAAATTACCGGAATAGTTTCTGAAATCAACATTGGAGTTTTCTTCGGTGGAGAGTAAATTTTATTAGCAACGGGTGACTGTGGGGTCTGAGACAAACATAATCGCTGTGAAAAATTCAAAAATTATGCTAAAATTAACTCGACTATAATAATATCCATTCTAAAAAATTAAGCAATTTCATTACTGGAATATTTCCAACTGATGCCAAAGGAGTTCTACTCTTTGGACTGTGTTTGGGTGAACAAAACGTCTCTACGTGCTTTTGAAGAATGCGAGTTAGAAAAGAAGTGTAATCCTCCTAGAAAAAGATCAAAGTATTACATTAATAAACTTTATTGGTTTGCAATATAGTAATGTTCTTTATATACCTCATCGTCTGAAATCAAGTCAACAACATCGTTTTCGTCATATCTTGACAAAATTGAATTACGATTTTGTTTTGACAAAAGCAATAACGGCGATTTATAGTCCAATGCCGACTTTTGAGACTCCGGCTTCGTTGATTTTTTTTCAGTTGATTGTATAGGAGAATATGTTAAATCAATGACGACCTCGTTTTTAGGATGGTGACTTTGCACAAAACCAGTATGCGCATTCTACAAAAAAAGTAAGTTACTTTTATTAAGACAACTTGTTAAATATCAATCTTAAATCATTATTTTTCAATTCTCACCTCTATGTCTGTGACTACTGCAAACTTTGGTTCATCCAATCCAGTTGAATTATTTAATTGTCTTTGTTTTTCATTAACTGGTGAAGTTTCCTCTGGCGTGTAAGACTTGGAAGATTTTTCTGTGCCAGTTGAATCAAGTAATTGGTGAGTTTCTGCAGTCACATCTTTCTGCAAAACGAATGCAAATTATTATTATAAAACATAAATATTATAATTCATAAAACAACCACATGAATTAACTTGTTTATTTCATTACCTCTTTCTCTGCTTGGAAGGCAATAGCGATGTTAATTTCAGATGGATCAAGTGATCTTATACTTTGATCAGCAATTTCATTATTATCAATGAACTTTGCAGGGTTCGAGTCAATAGTTTTACTTAAACCTACATTTTCGTCCTATCAAAAGAAGAAATGATCATGAATAAATAAATAAAAAAAACTAGAGCTTGTCAAAGCAATAAACATACCTCCCTAGTTAAAGTGCTAACTGATGAAGCACAGCATTCTTTATTGTTATTTTTATTTACTGATTTGTTATTGATTTCGGTTGGTTGGTCCTTAAAGAGAATTTGACTATTACTTGGCATTGAATTTGAAGTGACTACTAGCTCATTATTCTCTTGAGTTTGAGACTGACCATCTTCTTCTTTTTTTGAACTGCAGTATTGAATAATTATTTTTGAAATTGTTTTAACGGGCGTTTCGAATTTCGAATTTTCATCCTAAAGACAAAATATAGTATTAATATAATTATAATTATAGTTAATAGGATCATATGTATATTGAGTCAACAATTTGTATACCTTATCAAGATTGTCATGATCAGAGACCAATCCAGATAATGGATTGATAATGAGTTGATTGATTATATTTTTTGACGATTTTCGAGGGCAAACTACATTTTTCTGAATACCATTAATTGTTTGATTAGCGTAATCATCTTGTAAATTACTTTTCGAAAGTGATGGCATTTCTTTACTATTATCATTATTCTCTATTTCTAATGAAGGGTTCTTAGAATTTGATGTATTATATTCTGCTTTATATACTTTCGCGAACTCATCAATTGGCTACAAAAACATTTATAATATATACTACATAAACAAAATACGTATATGTACGTTTTCGACACTCCGTGCGCAAAGTGCGTCTTTCCCGCACGGTCGGCAGAAAACGTGCGTTGAAAATAGCACTTTCCACACGTCGTATAAAAAAATACGGTACGGCTCATGTTCGGGAAAGATTTTCTCGTCTCGTGTACCTTTCCACCCTCGCTTCGCTTGGGCGCAAACGCCACACGAGACAAGAATCTACTTTCCCGCACTTGTATCGTAATGTACTATTTATAAAAAATACCTTATTGACATTACTTGAATTTAGACTTATCAGAACAGGTGAATTATTCAAGTTATCATCTCTTTTGTGCTCTTTATTTAAATATTCAAGATTCAATCGAACTGTTTCTTCTTCATCATCTTCTTCTATGAATCCTAAAGATTTTGTGAAAGTTAAATTCAAAATCTTCTCCCTGTTTTCTAAACTTTCTATATCTGACAAAGTTTTTTCGCTTTCGATTATATTACTATTTTTAATTCTTAAACCGTTGTGTTGGCTTTGAGATTCTTCAACAATACTATTTAGTAATTTAGCCCCTTCAATTCTAGAGGCTATGCATCCAGGTAAACATTCTTTGATTAAATCTTTTTGAATAGTAGATATAATTGAAGAGGTACATGCATTAGGTGAATTTTGAAATGAATGCTGCAAATAGAAAACTTATGAATTAAATAAAATCCTATAAAATAGTTATGAAAGACAATTTCGTACCACTGGAATATCTTTAAAAAAGTTCTGTCCTGAAAGTGTTGAAGACAATGAGTTGCAGCTTTTAAAATTTTTGTCAAATACATCTATGAAAGTTCCTATATTATCAATTGCGTTTGATGAAATAGTCTTGGGAGAAGATATTTGTGATAATTTACAATCTATTTGTGTAGTCTAAAATATACAAAAATATTTTGCTTGAGATTTATGTATTGAACTATTATTGAAATATATAATAAATTGAAAATTTATTTTTAGCATTCGGATAATTTTTAATGTGTTAAAAATGGATCTTGTGTACAATATTATTCATTAATATTTACGCAAGATAATATATATAAAATGAAAATCGATTACAAGTAGAACATTATTTTTATTAGTTAACAAAAAACATCATATGAAGAAACTTTAAACCACAATTTTGACAAATAAATTACTTATGTGTAGAATAGTAGTTCCCTGGCGTACAGTAATACATATTCAATAATTAAGTGTATATTTATGATAAGTAGAATTTTTGTTTCAGTTAGTTTTCAATTAATTTATGTGTAGAAAATAAACGTGTTCAATAATTTTTCACTTCAAGATTCGTTTTGAATAACATCGTGTAGAATCGGTTTGTCTGCGAAACGGGCTCGGCCGTTCTTGAAGTCAATATAACAATAACAAAAACAATTTTAAAAAATATGGACAGTACCTGTGTGCTAGAATCTGGTGTTTCACTTTCATGTTCGTTGAATATTCTAGAAGTATTTACATCAGGATTTTGAATAGATTTATACGTGCTTGCGATATTAGATTCAACGTTTAAATCAACTATGGACTCAAAATTCTTAATTTTCACTTTGTCATAATCTTTTCCGCTATTGAAGTTAAAGTTAAAAAACAAAACAATAGAAAATTTATAAAAATAAAGCTATTTTTTTCCTAAAAAAATTATTTTAGAAATAATTTATACCTTGAATCGGATGACATAGAATCTTTGATTTCGATCTGTGGTAAGTTACGTTCTACTGTTTCATTATCTGTAAATAAAATTTTACTTCGGATTATGATTTTAATGAATAGAACATTATAACAGTTTATTAAATTATTATATTGAAATCCAACCTTCAGGCTGATTATTGAGTGACTTTGTTATTCTTTTTATATTTAATCGACCAAAAACTATTTCTGTATCGGAAGCTTCTGGCCATAGTTCTCTTTTGACGCTTTTCTGCTCAGCATTTCCATTTTCTATAAACAAGTGTTTTTAGTTTGTTGCTAGGTATTAAACATTTATGCTAGAATATAATAATATATTATATATTAGGTATGACTTGATTAAGATTTGATACAGTCAGCTACAGGAGTAGATGAAAAACTCCCCTCTCACCGCTTGGTGAGCATTGCTCGTTGCACAGGTATATTCTCATATAATCTACAAACTCATGTTTTTATTTATATCACACTTGATTTTGTTACTATTTTCAATTATGACCTTAGCTTAAGTTTTGAAGTTAGATTCCTTAGTAATTATTTTATATATATGTAGGTTTTCTATAAAGTTCTATGGATTTTTTCCTAAGCTTGCACACTAATTATATCACGATTGATACCGTATAATTTATTAGTTTTTTAAATAATATATAAAAATAATATATATAATATAGATATTAATAGTATAATATATATATTATAATTAATAGGATATAGTATAATAGTATAATTGTCGAATGTGCTGAACATGCGTTTGGTACTTTTATCCAATAAAAACTAATAAAATAAAATAAAAAAATAAATAACTCATTTATTTATGAGTTATATATACGATATATAATACAAGAAGTGAACTTCGCGATTTATTTTCTTTAGAATTTCGACGGTAATAAATATTGAAAAAATTCAAGGATTTACCGACTACTCTATATTCTCTCATAGTTTTCATTTTATCGCTACCTGTACATTTTGACTGCAGAACCTCCTTAAGTAGCCATCGTACGATGTAATATCACCGCTCGAGCACAATTAAGGGTGACAATCACGCCGTAAAACAACGAGATACTCAAGTCACAAGTACTATCATTCTATAATATTGCCAATCATAAATCAGCGCTTACAATTCCTCTGTGACTTAAGATAGGTCAGTTTTGCACCACAAGATCAAGGCATAAATGTTGGGTATAAAAATGAACTATTTAAGCTACAGATAGGGGTTATTTAAATGCTGATTTAACCTTTGCAGCTGTATAAAAATAAATGTTTTTTACCTGTACTAAAATCATGAGATGAAGGTTCCATAAATTGTTTTGTCTTATTACAATGTGTTATATCATCATGTATAAAGTCTTTTTTCTTTGTATTCTTGTTATCCAATTTGTTCCAAACTGTATTCAATAAAAACGGTGATAAAAGGGGATTTTCCACTCTTGAAGGAGTTTCCATGTTCATTATTGTTAGTCCTTTGGGGATTTTAAATTTATAGTTACTTGGTGCAAATGACTAAAATATCAAATAAAATCGAGTTATAATCAGTTTCTCACATAATTTTCAACTTCTATTGAAAATTTTCATTAACAAATAAGAAACCTTTTGTATATGCGTTATCAACTTTCTTTGTGGTTCTTTGTATTGGTATGCTTCATGTAAAAACGGTGGAGAGTGAATTTTATGTTTTACAGTTCCAACAATAAAAGGACGCGGTTTCTGAATTACTGTGTTTTTCTTTTCTCTGTTAAATTTACTAACAGCATCTCTAAAGGTGAATTGTGAAACTGGTTTGATTTCTGTGAAAAATTAGTGGCCAATTCAGTATACAACAGAGGAAAATGTATGAAAATAAATCTCTATTGGAGCCAACAAGCACAATAATGAAGCGCTCACCTTCAGGCTTATATGCCGCAATGTCACCTCTAAATAAATCAAACACTTGTGTTCTCCTTTCTTTTCGTCTATCACGAAAAGTACTTCTCCTATTGTGTTCATTAGAAAATCCTTTCCATTCTCGCTGTTGATTGTAAAAATCCTGATACCTACTCATGATATTCTAGCATAACATATGACATGTTCACTATACTAAAAACCACAGCAGGACAACTGACTTTTATCCCCCTCAGTCGAATACTGAACAAGTCCGTGCACGTAAAGCTACCATTTAAATGCTCCAGCTCAACCGCCGTTTTGAACCGGTAAAAATATGTGTTGGTTGTGGCTCAGTAGGTGCTGCCATCAGTTAGGAAGCGCAAACAAAACAAGGCCAATTAAAAAACTGGACATATAATCAAAGATATGAGTTTAGGCGGGATGGGAATGGGAACAGTAGCCGGTACCGGGGAAGGATCTCAGATATAATTATAAGGCGATAATCTAATCCCGGATATACGGCCGAACACATCGTTGCTTCGTTCTGATCTTTGCTTTCGAAAGCAGAGTCAAGGACTTCCTTGCTTGTGCTGAACGGCGCACTGTAGCCAGCCTACAGTGTTTCATAAGAGACGCTGGGCCCTCTATATAATAATTTTATAACTTAATAATAAAGAGAATAAGAAACATACGTGAGAGCTAGCATAATTTACTCTACTCCCTTCCTCGGGATTGTCGAACCTGACTTCACGTTCGAAGGGACAGTCAAAAACATAACATTGGAGTGCGCAGACATTTAAATCTGACTAGCGCGCGCATCTCCGTCTACGCATTGGGCAAAACGTGCTGCGCTGTCACTTGTGTCTGCTTTTACACTCGCACGTGTAATTTAATAGGTTAGGTTTTTACGTTTGTTGATTTTGATGTAAATAAAAATGTAATGTAAAGTATTATAACACAACTGAAACTAAAAAATTATACTATAACAATTAAAGTGTACTTTTATTTATTTTGTACGCCAAACGTCTCATTGGGAAAAGTTTATGAAAATTGTAAACTTGCAACAAAATATCAAATACAATGACTTTATCTCAAGGTATTTTCATCAATAATAAACTTACTCAATAAACTAATCTAAATATTTTAATTTCATACCTATAAGCATATCAATGATAATTTCGTTTTAAATAAACTAGAATTAAATATATTTTATAGGTTTGCTACAACATCTTCGAAGTGATACCAGTGATGAACCTCTACCAAAGCGTTTAAAGTTAGCAGAAAATGTTCTTCTGAGTCCTGAACTTCCTATTGTGCACAAAGAAAATTGTATATTGAAATGGCTGTGCAATGAAATATCTATTGAAAATGCCAATACCATTTGGATAACGATTCATCACTGCTTGTCACTAAATCCTAAAACTTTTAGTAAACTTTTTCCAGAAACCAAGAGCTTATTAATTGGGAAACTAAGAGAAACATTAATTCAGTACCCACAAAGCTACATTTCTGAAGACATCATCAAATGCTGCCAATATATATTTTCTAATTCTCAGATTAACTGTTCTTCTAAAGAAAATTCAGTTATTCTATTGATCAAAGCATTACTAGAATTCACATTGAAAGTCTTGGATTTTGATAATTTTGAAAAAGAAAATTTTGGATATAGTATAATTGTAGAATGTGCTGAACAAGCAATTGGTACTTTTATCCAAGTTTGTAGACATAGTTTATCAGGGAAGAAAAACTTTACATCAGTGTTTATTAAAGAACTATTTTTTCCCTTGGCTTTGTTAAATAAAAAATTGAAATCAAAGAACATACCTTCAAAAATTGCCATAGAAATTGAAAAATGCGTCAAAAGATTATTACTTCCATTTATAAAAAATATTAATTCTATTAATACAGATGAGAATGATAAAAATATGAAAGAAACAGAGTATATTTTTAATACAATAAAAGACACAGTTGCTGTAAAACAATTTGAAGAAGTCGAGACTGCATTTACTTTTTTATTTCAATGGTCTATAAATGCTTTTTCCCAAAATTCTGTATTAATTTATAGAATTCTGCATCGTTTAGTTAATTGTGTAAACCAGAAACATCAGGCACGACAAATTTTGATTTCATTACTTGAAAATTCAGTTGATGTAACATTCAGTTTTGAACATGAAATTGAAGGAGTTACATTAAAGACCTACTTGAAAACACAAATTGAAGAAATTTTATCAAAGAATAAACATTTGAAATGTTCAGACTATAATCTAGTTGCTGTGATTGCAAAATTAAATCCTTTAGTTATTGAAGATATGACACAAAGTATATTAAAAAAAATCGTATTTGAGAATAAAAAGCATAAGAAAGAGGAGATAGAATATGGCAAATGTTTTACCGAACTGTGGACAGCAAGTGTTCGTTTAAGAAGACAGCATAAATTTCTTTCGAAATTTTTAATAACAGTAGCCAATTTTAAAGAGGAAAAGGATTCTTCTTTCATAGACAAATTTGACTTACCAGAAACTTTTATTTTGAAATTTAAAGAAGATGTGAAAGCTAAAAATACTAATGCTCAAATGATAGCGATGTTTCACACTCTAAATTTTCACTTACAATCAGATTGTTACAAAGTCTTAAAAGAGTCAGGTCCAAGAAGTAAGTTCGTTTTTTTGTTAATTATAATATATTATAGTCAAACAATATATTATAGTCAAAAAATCTAATTGAAACTATGTATTTCCAGCTCAAGTTTATTTACTTATAAAAATAATTATGAGAATTTTCATAATTTATTTTGAAAGTTCAAGTTTTTTGGACAATTCACTACCACAAGAATCACAATTGAAATTCCATAAAGCTTTTGCTGAATTAAGAGATATTCTTAGTTCATTTATAGAGATATTGTGTGAAAATACTCATAGTTATGAAGCTGTAATATTTACTGCTTCTTTCGATTTAGTTAAAATTTGGAGTGAAATTTATAATTTATTATATCATTATGTACCTGATCATCTTTGGGGTGAATTACCTTTTCCTATTGATGAATTTCAGTTAAAAAAATTAAGAAAAATCGTAAAAACGATAACAGAATCTACAAATTATCAACAGTCTTTGGTGAGTTTTGTTAAAATTTTTGTCATAAGAATCTTACAATTTAAAAGTCAACATTTTACTATTACAGAATGAATTATTATATTTCAAATCAGCAATTTTCGCTAATGAAAATCAAGAACAAATTAAGGATTCAGTTTTATATTCGACATGGTCATGTATACTAGAAAATCATTTTGAAAATATTCAAAACATGACTAATCTGCAAATATTTAAACTTGCTCAGCATCTTATTCAAGAAATTACTTCTAATCAAAATGAATATTTAAAATGGGCAGCAATAATGAAACTAAATATTCCAAGAATGTCAATAACATTTACCACATCAGTGGTTCTTCAAATAATTACAAATATCGGGAATTTCATTGAATCAAGTACTACGAAAACTATAATAGAATCGACAGATTTTGTATGTACATAATTTTCATGTGTTATAAAATTTAGCGAAGTTTACTTTTTTTAATACTATTTTCTTAATTTATTTAGGAAAAAGTATTGCAGAACATTGGTAACCTTGATCTACTTAAAAAAGAAATAAAAAGTACAAAAAAAGAAATTGCCAAACGGAATTTCAAATCAATCAATCAATGTGACGTGGAAAAAATAAAAAGAAGTTTATCTTTTCTATCAAGTTTACCAATTTCGTTTTTAGATCAAAGCATTCGTTTTTTCCTGTTTATGGTTTTGTTCACTTTTGATCAAGAAACTAAAATGAGGACTGAGTTTAGAGACGTAATTCATAACTTGTACTATGGTAAGAATATCTACATATATACAACAAAATGTAAAAATATAATTACACTGTAATTACTGACAGTAATATAAATTTGTTCCAGATTTTCTACGTAAAAATGATATTGACGTTATAAGTAGTATATCGGATCCTTTAATTCTTATAGAAAATTTTCAAAACGATCGCGTATTACTGTCAAAGATAATCAAGTCTTCATTAAATGATTTAACATCTCTAACTTTCTGGAAAGGTTTCGTTGAAAAAGAAGAATTTAATAGAAAAATAAGCTCTGTTTTGTTAATTTGTATTGATAACTTGAAAAACAAAGCTTTGCACGAACACAAGTCGTCATTACAAAATTTAGCTCAATATTTGAGTAGAAAATTTGTTAAAAATCTTCAAGGAAAAGTTTGTGATTGTTATGAAATAGCGGGTCTCAGAATTTCTTTGAAAATAGTTTTAGCTGGTAAGAGAAAAATGAAAAGTAATTTGAAAACTAGCATCGAGTTGTTCATTCAAAATTTGGTTCAGGTATAGTTGAATATTTGTAATTAAATATTTATTATAAGTCTAATTTTATACACTATCCATATATTTTTAGAACGAGACTATAACTAATAGTGAGGAATCAATTCAGGAAATTATACATTTGTCTTTGGTCGTATTGTTGCATAGAGAACATTTTAATATTGACAATGACGTGATCAAGAAAATTTGCAAAATTGTTATTGTCAATCCAGATGAAAAAACTTTTTTGCATTTTCTCGAAACTCTTAAAGATAGCGAATTCAGATTTTTCGCTGAAGTGTTGATTATTCAAACGGTAATAATACTTAATGAAAGTATTCCAATAGAAAATTGAAAGTACAGATATTTTTTCAATGTGACATATTCTTTAATTTTATAGGAAGAAAACTTGACCATTGGGAAGATCGAAATATTGGATAAAATTGTCACAGTTTGGCAAAATCTAGCAAAAGCTGAAGCTAAAGCTTCGCGATCAAAATCATTGTGTGCGTTACTGAATAGTTTCCTCAATCATTTGATTACTTTAGAAATCAAAGATACCGCGTACCTTTTTTTATTTAAAATTTTCCGAACTTTCGTCACGTCGAAAAGGCTTATACGTCTTTCAGAAAACGTTATTGATACTATTTTTGTGGTATCCATGGAATATTTAAATACATTAGATCAGCAAACAATATTAATTAACTGTCAAGAAGCTTTAGGCCTCTGCCTAGATTTCATAAGATCCAAAACTGAGTTTATTCTTGATAGACTACCAGTTTTGAATAGTCTGTTCAAAAAAATATTTAAAATTATTTTACAAGAAGCTCAATCCACAAACTTTTCAGACGAACAAATACTTCGGATTTTGGCTGTTGATATTGAAAAGTAACACCGATTATTTTTCGTTTATACTTTACTAACAAGTTTTAATTTATTTATAAATACATAAGCATATTTTTTTTGCAAAGGTTTTTCACATTTTATACTAAACTAAAAAAAGATGTGGCAAGGATAAGTCCATACTTAATTGCTGACTTAATTGACATATCGTCGCACGTTGGAGTATTACCTTCCTATTTAAAGGTGAGTATTCATTACACGCTTTCATGATTGTATACTTATTTTTTTTATTTAACTATAAATTTATGTCCATTTAGGTATCTATAGATTCTGCTATTTCTCAGCTTTTAAGTAACTGCGACCGGCACGCTGTCAGCTTTCTATCTCGAACTTTACCAACGTCAACTCAGCAAATCTTCAAAACGATCTACGATAATTATGTTAAATACCACAAGTTCACAGGAAAAATATAATGTCCTACATATGTATAGGTAATGATATTATATATATACCTTAACGAAATATATATTTCGTTAAGGTTTGTAAAAAGTAAAAATGGTAACATATATTGTACATACTAGAGCAAACAAATTTGTTAAGTTTTTAAATACACTTTTTCATGATTGAAATTATCCTTGCAACCGCTTTTTTATGTCTAATATTTTTCAAAGTTATAAATTTTTGAACAATCATTAATTCTAAAATATCTGCAATTTCCTATCTGATTCATAAATAGAACATTGTTATCATAACGCTATCAATTAAAAATAGACGCGCATACTCGATAGTTCTGAAATGTTCAAATGAGAATGTCTATTTTTCATTTTTGAAATAAATTGTTTAAGCTTTGGAAATAAAAGAAACTCACTGTTTCGCGTTGTAATATTTCACACGGAAATTGCTAAATACATAAATCGCTCCTACAGCATAGATCCTTCATTTCATAAATGTTTCACAGTCAAACATTAGACAAACATTAATCCGCAGACGAAGGAAACATTTACAATAGCTTTTTTTCAACTTACAAGAATATTAAAAGATAAATTCATCATTCTACAAGATTTACTCTCGTATATGTACATGTGCCACCTGTGCTCATAGCATAAGTAAACGAAGACAAGAGTGAAGTCCTTTTGAAAGCGCGCAGCCACACTCAGACGTGCGTCCCCTAGGTGGTACCTCGTGCAGTTGTCTCGTACCGAGAAGAGAGGAGAGCAAAGCGAGGGAGCGAAAAAAGCTACGCGCAAGCCAGAGAGAGAAAGACACGGATGTTTCAAGGTTCCGGCTTTTACGAGCATATAATGACGTGGATTTGGTGGAAGGGACGGAGGTTCAAGCCGACAAGTGTTTTAGGGCATTTTTTTTCTAAAAAAGTGACAATCGTTCCTTTCCCCTTTTTCAGCTTATATAAAAGTTCTATTACAACAATAGAGTATTTTCGAAAACTAGGGACTCACAACTTGAGAGAATTCTTGGAGGAAGGAAGAGAGTATCGATTCTAAGAAAAAAAACGTAGTCTCACTTGTACACAGAGCGAGAGTCCAGGAAAGGTACTAATTATCACAAACGAAGGCTCTCGGCGCCAGACAAAGTAATACCTTCAAACACTTCTACCCACACCATCCTTTCAAACACAAAAGACGATTGAAGATTAGATTTCTGTCGAAAAAAGAAAAGTGCTATCGTGCTCGAACTCTGTTTTATTTGAGAATGGACCACGTTAGGAGGACGGACACGCGGCACGGAGTGAAAAAAAATCAAGACGCCGTGCAAGAAGAGAGCGAACGATAGAAAAGAGGGAGGGGAGGGGGAGAAGCAAGCAGATGGCGGAGCAACTCTCTCTCGCGGACTCACGCATAGCGCGCACACTACAGTATTAGTTGTCGGCGCTTGCCTTCCTGCAGGTCAGTGGCGGCGTCTTTCTCTCTCTTTCTCTTTCTTTCTTCGTTGTTTACGCGCACGAATGTGCAGTGTGTGTTGATATTTTTCGGGGAGGACCTCGTGTGTGCGTGCGTGTTGTGCGGTGCGAATTAGCAGGTGAGTTTTTTTAACAAAAAAACGGCGGGCTCCTGCTGCACATATAGTAGATACACAGCTCTTTGCAGGAAAAGATTGGAATGCAAGACGGTGCGTAAGCTACAGTTGACGGGGATGAGTGATTTTCTTGCTGTTGTCGGTTTCTTTTTTTTCTCTAGTTCTCTCTCGCGATGGGCAGTACTGGAGCTGTTTTTTCCCTTTGTTTCTGTAGAAAAGTGGCGGTGTAGATGGTGTGGTGAGAAAAATCATGTTCTGAAGTAAATCAGAAAAATCCGGAGCGTACTTCGGAAATATACCGATTAAAAATCTATTTTATTAGTTGGACAATAATTGTTCATCAACAACAATTAGAAATACAAGCATCCGTTTCATATAAACCCACGCAGCAACCGCACGGGATTGAACGCAAACCTCGCGCGACGTATATACTGCACTCCAAAGTGCACTATGAAAACTCCGCGAGTGTACCGATCCTTGTGGAAAAACCATCATATTATACACTTACCGGTTTTCTCTCTCCCTCTCTCTCTCTGTCTCTCTCTCTCGCTCTCTCACCGTTTCTCGGCAGTGCAACAGCAGCTGCGTGCTATTGATTATTTCTTGCCCCCCTACGGTCTCAATAAGTATACCTTTCGCGTGTATTAGTGTGTATATATAGCGAGAAAGAGATTTCGGAGGCAGAGCGTACACGTGCTCCCGCACTTTTTTAATCACCCGCGCGTATCAAAGCTCGATGATCCTGCAGACTGGATTTAAATTTATTGCGATCGCGACAAAAGTCGCCTTGTAGCGACCCCTAGACGATTAACGGCACATATGGCGATTTAACGTGAATTTAAAAAAAGAGCTCGTTTGAAAATAATTTCGATTTCGAGATTCGTATACTGTGCATGCAAAATGCCGTATAATCAACTCGTTGCATTTATTATATACTTGCGTGCGACGTATAAACACTGTGCTGTGCGCGTATGATGGGAGGGGCGGGGAAAGAAACTCCT